TCTGGCACTCTGCAGATCACGTGATTGCTCGATTTAAGACAATATGGCGGCCAGTTTGTGGAAATCCCAACCTTGTCCTTAGCGGTTTCTCGTTCAATGGTTTTCAAGATAGCAGCCGGTCTACGGAAACTTCCTGCTTGCTTGCTGCAGATCACGTGATTGCTCGATTCAAGACAAAATGGTGGCCAAATAAAAGAATGGGAAGATCTGGGTACGAGAAAGCAAAGAAAGACAATGGGCTAACGATGACCTCCATATATAAAGCTAAGGAAGGAAACACTTCAACGAAACAGTTACACAATAGGAGAATTAATACAAACTCGAGCAGCGGGGATATGTAACACTCGCCTAAGTTTTCTTAGTTTAAACTTGGTGGGAACGGAAAGAAACGATACTTAAATTTTCTAACTGCACAGTTTTCGATATCGTACCGGGCATCTCGAGTTGTTGCAATGAATTTTTCCTTATTATCCATTCACCCTTTCCTCGATGAGATTTGAGAGTTGTTCCATTGCAACAGTTATTCGAACCTTGATTTGAGGGAATATATTAGGCAGCTGGTATGTTTTGGTTTAAGAGCATTCCCTACTCACTTATAAGGGGAATATGTCAGCAGTTTGTTTGTAATTCTGTTCTGTTCTCGGAGTCGATTTAGAAAATAAAAACCAACACGAAAATAAACAAACTTTGCACATCGCGACCTGCATACACAAAATCGACTGATTGAAAAGGTGTGGTCTGAGAGCGAAAACGATAATGCCTTTTATTATAATGGATTTTCGGTCAACGAATGAGCAGTTAACAAGTATTTTATTAAAAGGCAAATATTACATAATGATTAAAATCAGATTTTGTTAACAATTTAAACACACTGGGTCAACAAGATTTCCATGCAAAAGTAACAGAAATAGAAATCAGGCTGAACATAATATTGCTGTAGATACAGATAAGACATAACGTGAGGACTTGCTAGTTAGTTGATAGCTATCTGGCCTTATTGTTACAGTAGATGGTTCAATTGAATATACCGTGAGCCACGAGTGGGGACCGAAAAGTGTTTACTTCTCACATCGCCGACAAAATTTAGCAAGTGATGAAAGTTTGTAATTATTAGTGAACAATTCCCTAGGCTTAGAATGTTCCGACACGACGTATTCAAAGTAAGATGTTTCTTCATTCCATCAAGCCTCATTCGAAAACATGACATTGCTTTACTCTTAGGCATCTTGCACTGACAAACGTTGGGTTCATCTTTTTCCTAGCATTTGACTCAGTTCGTGATTTCAGTCTGCAAGGGTGATGCTAATCATAAAATTTTCTCGTTCGAAGAATTTACTATCATCTCCTTATCCTTTCGCGGATTTCACTGATTTGTAGTTAACTTTTTTGCAGTTTTAGTGTTCTATATGGGTGGTTGTCAGGAACAATTAACAAAAAGTAAATAACTAAGAAAGCTACTGAAACCTTAAACAACAAATCTGCGCCGGCTTTTACCCGTTCGTTTTGGATTTACTACTCCATGCCCGGTACTGCATTGATCTAAGGTCTGCGGTTGTCAGCCGCGATCAAATTTCCTATCAAATAGCTCCTATATTTCACAATTTCATTTAGGCGCGCTTGTATTTTGATAAGATATCTGTCATCTTATCAAGATCAAAGCCTTAATTAAATTACCTAACAATAAATACATAATAATATTACTGAAGTTTATTAAACTGTTGATAGGTGATTATTTTATTATCATATAAAAGTTTTCACGGCTATGAGCTTTGATTTTTCACACTTACCCTGTTCTCAAATCAAGGTTCATGAAAATTTACACTCTGCGAGGAAGTTTCTCTTACAGATCTTTCTGAAACAGAGTTCAGTGGTTGCTTTCAACAATGCAATTTATTGTACAGTTCAAACAGGAAGTTTTTGTTATCAAAAGTTGAATTCTGGTTATCATGCAAAGCAGAAAACACATGAAAGAGGCAAAAATTTCATTTCCTGCGTTATGAATGTTATTTTTGATCCACATTTCTGATTGGTAGAATACTTCATCTGAAATAGGCTAAACAGGTGCTTTCGTCAACCAAACGGATAACTTAATATCCTGTAGGAAAACTTCGGGCGTAATATACTGAAATCAAAGATAACGCCGAACATGGCTAGAATCGGAACATTATCATGCATTTTTTCCCCTAAAATCAAATCAAACCAGCGCATCACGACCAAATTTTATATAATTCATTGATTACAGAAGAAATTCCCTTTAAAAGATATGTAACAGCTCCTGCTCCAAACCAGGGAGTAAGACAGTTCAGGTGAAGAAGAGAAAAGTTTTCCCACTTTCAATAATCGTTCCTTAGAAGCAATGAAACTCTCAGCAGTACGTATTTCCTCCAACCCACGTTTAAAGTATTCTTTGGTAGCAAGAAAATGAAATTTCTTTGTTTTGTTTCCTTGACTGACACAAACAGATACATCATGATCATCATTTTATATAGTTGCAGACTTTCTCTTACATAAAATAATAAAGTAATTATTACTTCATTTTACAAGAAAGCAACATTTTTATGACAGAATTCAAAACAAAATGCAGAGAGATTTTTTAAATTTATACTCTTTTTAGACCAAGATAATATTTCATGTTCTTAGTGCTTTATTTCAAGCGCATTAAGTATTTAATCGTAAATTCTGAAAGATCAGTCCCTGATGTTTGACCAGTTATCAATCGTTGATATTTACTTGCCTTGGTATTTGAGGTCCTTAGAGACTTTTTGATAATATTGAATGACAAATTATTTTTAATTTTCTCTTGCCTGATATCGACTGCAAAGTATGTATACATGTTAATGAAACTAGTGTACATTAATGATCAGTATCATCTTTCCAAACTTTTTCAATGCCTCCTAGTGGCACGGAGGCATGAATCGTTGTTCAATTTCTTTCCAATGCATCATCTACCAAAACATTTCCACTTTCAGTCAGTCAAACTTGTACCCTACGTAGCCTATAACCTTTCCTGCTTCCCTCCAACGCAAACACAAATTATTCACATCTTATTGTCTTGAAAACCGTTATCTTTGAATGGCTCCGGCAAGACACAAGTCAGTCATCCGGTACGAAAACGGGATCTCATTTACTGTCTTGTTTCGATCAAATCAACTAGTCATTTCGCTTTATCCATATCCACTTGGTTTGAATAACACTGAGAAAACCTAAGAAAAGCTAAGAATGTTGACACAACTGAAAAGAAAGGAAAGAGTATTTTATCTGTTATTTTCATTTTAATTCGATTGATGAAATTGAACAAACAGTTGCCGCCGCAAACAAGTTACAAAGAACCCTTCAACACTATCACATACTAAATAACCTAACCCGGCGGACGTCAATAATCTCCATTTAAAAGTAAACAGATACTGCTTTCAACTTTTATTAATCGTGAACGCCCGCACCACGAGACCGGATGGCTATTTTAAAACGGTTATAAGGCGTAAGTGAATAACAGTCCAGCTTACAAACACCTAGAACTCCGGGTAAAGTTTCAATAAGATAACCTACAAGCGTTCACCTCTTCAGACGATACTGGAAGGTAGGCTTCATTTCAACATGTAAAATATGGGTCAATTGGCGTTCTACTTCAAGGAATATGTCTGTAGTTGCCTTCATTTCCTTTCCCATATCATCCTTTTTTCCTCTGCTAAAACTTGATTGATTTGCAATCATATGTATGGTCTTTAATGTTTTAATGCCATTGAGAAAACGAAATTTGTCCAGAATAGATTTTAATTTTATCATTCCGTTAAATACAACAGCAACTTTCCTTAGAACACTCAACTATGCAAGATTGACAGCGGGAGGTTTTCATAGACACGACTTCACCTTCAAGAATGCAACTGGGATTTTAAAAGAAACATAAACAGTACAACCTATGGCTTTTTACGGTCCCCCTCAGATATTTTGAGGTCACGAGTCATTAGTAATTGGAAAAACCGTGCGAACTATGTTCATGATGAGTTAATCAATCAGTCAAACTTTATTTTTCATGTTAAAATCCGATTAGTACCTCGTTCAGTACATATTTACTGAAAGGCGGTTAACGCACTGTTCCTAAGTCGACCATCTGGTCACGGGAACTTGCTTTTCTCTTGAATGTCTCATTTCACTTACATAACATACTACATGACTTCTACAGCAAACTGTTTCGCAGAATTACCTCGCTATAGCGAAATCTTGGAGTGTTACGGGAAAATTTAGTGATTTTTCTACTTCCTACGTTGCTCTGCCGTAATTAATGTCGTTGTTTCTGGTTTCGAAGCCGTGAATTTTGAACCAAATTTTCTCTTCTTAATCTCCTAGTGTTTTTTGCATCCGCTTTCTTAATTTTACCATTTTTCACTTAGAAACAGATGGAATATTGAAGTAGGAAGCGCTTAACTTCTGATACTATTCAAATAGCGTAAATGTAGAGAGTAACAGAACCACGCTCTCGATAGTACATAAGCAAAAACTTCGTAAAGATCTTTCGATTACACCCATTCCTGTGTTGTGGATTACAACGACCACTGAGTGGTGATTACATCGATGACCGTGTTGAGATTACACCATGTAGAGATTGCATTATTGATTACTTTGACGTGCATGTCAGAGTTCGTCATGCATGAACTAGAATAGACGTCTGTTGGAACCAAGCTGAGCTTTTGATCCTTGACGTCTGAAGTAAGACCATTGAAGCAGGTCGCCGTGTACAAGGAAGTCGTGACGAGTTTTCATACCCACAAGCCAGTGGTGCTTTTCCAAGCAATTTCTCCCCGTCACTACTGCGTTCCCCGCAAAAGAGTCCAGTGGTACCGTCAAAACCTATCGTCACACAAGTCACTGAACACACTAGGCATGGCCAAGTTCAATTTTCTCTGCCTTTGCATTCCTTCGATTGAATATGAAGATGACATAGCTTAAATTTTATAAATAAACATTGATACGTTTCAAATTTTTGCTATCGTTTTAATTTCTAGATGACTGTGACTTCTGCTTATATTGGAGTTCTTGTTCTCGCCTATTGCACTTTTCAGCCCGTGAGTAGTGCATGCAGTGATTGTCCTTGCTGCCTCACAACTTATAAGCAATGTATGGACATTTGTGAAGACCCAAATCAATGTACCACCGTCTGCGTTACAAACAAGGAAAAATGCGAAGAACAATACTGCAATTTAACAAAGCGGAATCCGGAAGGTTGGAGACTAAAGGCAAATGGTGATTCTGTGTCGATTCCAGACCTAAACAGCGATATTCCGCGGGGTGATAAAGAGAAGCAACCATTAAAATATTGGCTGGATATTATTCTAGCAAAACGTGAAAAGTCCATGAAGTATTAACGCCAAAAAATTCATAGCTTGTATTTTTTCATCGTTAGCTTTCTCAGAAATTTGTGTAACGAAGAGATGTAACAAGATGGTAGAGATGCTTATTATTGTGCTAAGAACCTCCATTACTGGTAAAAATAAAGGTGTATTTTGCCCATGAATCTGATCTTTAAACTCGTCGTCGACAAAACACGTCGTTTATGATGTAGACGTTTCCAATGTAACGTGTAGAGAGCTTCTGTAGCGGAGGAGTATTTTTGTTCGTTAAGGATGTTTATCGCACTTTGTTTTTTAGGATCGTACATTAAATTGGCATTGATTGTTTCTCTCGAATAATGCCACCACAGTCAAAGAGTGGAAGAATCAGGGAATGGTAGAGTGTCTAGCTACCATGCAAAGCAAGAGAGCTCTGATTCTCTTAATGAGTCCATGTCACATGTTTCTCGTGCTCGTAATCCCACTGAGTGTGGCACCCAAACATTCATTTGTTTAGAGGAGCTGGCTCCCTCATGAGTGATTCCGTGTCAAAATACCGTGTCAAATGCCTATACAGTATGTCAAAAATTCCTACAGCAGAAGAAACTTTTGGTTTCCTGTCGTTATGAAGGGGAAAGTTATTCTTATTTTGTCCATCACATAAGAGTGTACACCCAAAACTAATTGCAGTACTTCTAAACTTAATTCATGCACGATTTTACCGCTGTAGACTTGCCCCGCTCAAAATACTAAAACGAGTCTGCAAAACCGTTCTTAAAAAACCGCTGTCTACAACGTCAAGGCATGTAGACCGTTTTCAAGTCTGACACGACGCTTAGGTCTCACTTCGTGCAACTTAAAGACGCCCTAGAACCAACAAAACAAAACGGTGTCGTTTATAGGATCCCATGTGAATGCGGTAAAGTGTATATCGGTGAAACAAGGAGAGTCAATGCGAGAAAGGATAAAAAGAACATGACAGAGGCATACGGTTTGGTCGTACTCAGACCTCTGCGGTTTCGGAGTACGCTAACGTAACGGGGCATATTCCTATTTGGAACAAGGTTAAGTTTATTGATCGTGACCCTTACTGGTACACACGTAGGGTAAAAGAGGCTGTCCATTTAAGACCTCATCCCAACTACATCAATAGGGATAGTGTAATCTAAATTCCCGAAGCTTGGATACTCACGATCAAACAACACAACAGCCGATCATTGCAGACCTATGAGGGAACACCATCTAACAACTATATTTTATTTAGAAACTTTCCCCCACTATTCGTTGTTTAGTCCTTTTAGTTTGAAGCAAAAAATTAACATAAAACCCGTGCCAACAGAAAGAAAGTTTTGCATCATATACATGTACCACCAATCATGAAAGTTACTGTACATACGGAAATTCTTGGCTAACAGAGACGGCGGCAAAAACCACTCTTGTCTTCACCCGATGTTATTTTACTTTTTATAGCACATGAATTGCTTTTCAGGAATGTTTTGGTCTCAGTTGTTATTTTAAAATCTTTATTAAACTCATTCACCAACGCCTTAATTACATCTGTTTCACATCGTTACCTTTCAAAGAAGTCATCCGTCGGTTACCGCAAATTAAACCAGATTACTCTTGTTATCACAAAAAAGAGAACAAATTAAAAAGATAACCCAAGACAACAACTTTCCTGGGACATGCCGTTGATTTAATTTTATTAACATTTTACTACTCCATAGGTCTAAAAGAAGATATCCAATATTGGAACAAAAGTAACAAATAAAATATTTTTATTTCAGCCTTACAAGTAAAAAAAAAAAAGGGGTCAAAAAGCAAACGTTTTCCTTTGCAAAACTAAGCAAAACATCAAATGTCGCCTGTTAAGTTTTGTTTTCAGTGACTTTTATTTTTGAACACTTTTTGACTTATTAAAATGATTCCATGAGCATCTTTACGTATCATAAATTCCTGATACTATCGTAATTTGTTTTAGAAGTACGATTCTTCTCTACTCACATGTACAGGCATATACGGTTTACCCGTGTACACATATTGCAGGTTTCACCATTTTGGTCAGTCTTGACTTAACTGACTTAACTTTGTAGCTACTCAGAAGGCGTTTCGATTCCTGGTTGAGATAACATTAATAATCCTTAAAGCACAGTCGCCAAATCAGTATTGGTAGAATTTCTCTTAAGATCATTATTTCCGTTTAAGGATTAACCGTTAGTTAACACATTGAAATGACAAAAATTGCACAAGCCTCAAATGGACGTCTGGGAAACTTGGCTGATGCCACACAGAAGAATACTTATAACTGTTTTTTTTTTTTGCTGCTTTTTTCAAAAAATGGAGAAAACATTCGTATAATTAATCATATCATTCGCTAATTTCAACAATTAAATGATTTATTTCGCTTGTTTTGCCTTATACAGTTAAAGTGAAAAATCGAGAACAGGTGTAGTTGTACCCACGCTTCAGCCTTTGTTCCTTTAAAAAATACATATGTTTCGAGCCAAATTAAAAGTTAAAAAAGGCTGATTTCAATTAAGAATACCACCTTTTGATCCGAGCAAGGTGGAAGAAACCACACCAATATATATGTAGCTTTAAGCTACAGATGTTAGCAACTTAGTATAAAAGAGTTCGTTCAGATTTGAAAATTCAGACGCGAAGCAGTAGCAGAAAGACAATAAAGGTTAATTCACAGCACTGAAAATGTCCCAATTATTGTTATGGTAATGTTGAATGTTTTTCTGTTTACTTCAGTAACTGCTATTCGAGGAAATGGAGAAGGACAAGGCAACTTTTCTAATGATGGTAAAAAACGTATTTTGGTTTTTGTTTTGTTTTTTGTTCCTTATCGGATTGTTTTTGCGTGCTAAGTTGTATTAAGAACTTAGAATTTATTTATCCGTTTACGAGTGATAAGATTTGACTTGATCTAATACACACAATTTTGAGTTTTTTGTTTTCTTTGTGGGATTTCTCTTTGCCTCTATTTTCAACTGTAAGGATTGAAACGAAATCAACAGTTCTACCGCACCTTTTAAAAAAACACAAAGTAGCTTTATTTCTTTTGCGCCTGCTTTTACAATTTATGCCTATCGTTTTAATACCTTGTGGTTGGTGTATTTGACAAAAGTCCTGCTTTCCCTTTTACCTTCAGAAGTACAATTAGAAGAAACATTAGATGACTCAGGTAAGAACAATTAAAATTAATGCAATCTAATTTACCATATCTTGATTCTGACAATGTCGAGAACATACAAGCAAAATCATAGCTATTGTAAAATAGACCCTATTCAAAGGAACATACAATGTCCTTTTTTCAATGGTAATGAAAGTAAATTCAGTCGTGGCCATGACCAATTTTAAGTGAAAATTATCACGTGATTTCTAGTGGTACAACGAGACGAACAACCATAAGAAAATGACTGCATAAACACGAGTACATTTTACGAAGCGCATGTTGATTGACGCATTCAACGTGTGTGCAATCGAATGAGTCGATACTGAGTAAATTTGAAAACATTTGAAAATATTACGAGTGCCTTTTTGCTTATTATGAAAAATCTCGGAACACCTTATAATGGTTCGGAAAATGATCGCATTTTTTCTTGGAATTGAGCATTTTGGAAAGACAATTGTATCATATAAACTAAGCCAGGAGATTTTATAATAAGTTGACTAAGACTTATTGTTATTTAAAATACTCTTGAAATAAAAATGTTAAATATATCTCTTAAAGCTTGAATTTCGAGAAAGAACGTAAAGAGCTAAGAGCAAAACATTTTGTCAAGTATCTAAAAAAAGTCAATTTTACAACGAGTTATTTACTCATTCAAATAACATGACGCCTCATCGAGTTTCTTATGTAATTCCGTAGAATGTAGAGATCTCAGACCAAGGTATTGCAGAGCAATGTGGAAAAATGCTTCCACATCATCCATGTTCGGACACTAAGGAGAGAACGCAAGAAAACTTGCATGTATTGCTGATCCGGATTCCGTGGTAGGTATGTTTAGATAACTTTGGGGTCTATTGATAAGAATTTTGCCCACTTGCTTGGCTTTTTCTCTGGAATTAGTTTAAAGGCTCTTTCTTCATTTACTCTATCTGACTTACCAACCTCGCATGGCAGTTCCATCTGTTTTGCACTATAACAAAGTGATATAACTGTGCATTACTCAGGGTTAGGATTGAGTGGGGCAGCGACCATATTAGGAGTAATATAATATACTGTGTTTCGAATGCAAATACCAAAGCTCTTTTTTGTAACTCCTCCATGGAAGTCATGTAAAGGAAAAGGTCGACGCGAGAATAGCCATATCACATCGGATTGACCGTGATTCCTGTGTAGAGAACGGGGTCTCAACTACACGTGTACAAAACTATGATTATGGGATGTTTTGCTACTTTTGTTCAACCTGTTGTGTTAACTATATTCAAATTTCATGAAGAGAGGATACTGTACCAAACAGAATTATGCATTCTTATAATTAGCAGAAGATAACCTTTCCGCTTTTACATAGCCTTTCATAAACATGAGGTTTCAAGTCAAAATAAATTGTGGATTTAGGAAGACCCGACTTTAAGACTAAATTCAAATAATTAAGCGCCATGTCAACGCCTGTGTTTAAGGCATCATAAAATGCCATACATGCATGAATTACAACAGTTTTTAGGGAACTTCGGCAAACGAAAGTGAAAGACAACTTAATTAACAAAAGTGAAGAAAACCGTATTGAATGGAAGTGAAATCATACATTGTTTTGAAAATGGACGAGTAAGTTGTTACCGTACTTTTTCATAGCATTCTTTCATACAAAAATATTTTCTACTAAAAAGGCCACAAAAATTACAGTGGCTCACGAATTTTGACAATTTTAATCTTTTTTTCTCTAGAGAGTGACTGTCCTCTTTATGGAGAATATTCAGCATAACCAGACGGAAACTTACTGAGAAGCTTACATACAGTAAATGATGCCATATTTAATACTTGCATTATTAATTATGAATGGAAGACATTTTCTAAAGACAAATTCCAACAGCTCCTCCCAAATTTCAATTTTCTTGATTCAAAAGATGCATGATTATAAAAAATATGTAAATTGTCTTTTTTTGTTTGTTCGTTTATTTGTTTTTTGGTTGGTCTCTATGCTTTTATTATTCCTCTAAAGACTAACGATATGGTCAAAATGTTGTAAATCGTCAACGACACTCGTGCCCATCGGTTCGTATGCCAACTTTTTTGGTTCAGACTCCCCAGGAAGTGCTCGAAACTTTCATCGGATATACAAACTTATCCATCACTTGTCTATCAGTGGATATAAAAAGATGATGAATTTTAAAAAACGTTCGTTGGATAAAAGTTCTTTCTCCGTTAACTTTCTCACAGGACGTTTTCCACGGTCAGGCTGATCCTAGCAGTGCGCAGGACAAAAACCACACAATTAACTTCGTACACGGCCTTGCTTACCCAAACCTTCTCTGTAGCTTAGGCGTGATATAGCATCAGACAATGACTTTCGATGCTCTGAGGTTCGCGTACGTGTTGAGGAAGAACTATTGTCATTTTCTCCTCGATCATCACAAATTGATAAATATCTTTCTTTAACTGTCAGTATAGATTTTCTGTGTACGTTTGGCTTTTCACGTAGCTAGTTTTAAGTTCCTAATCCATTTAACTACCCCCTTTCTTTCCGCATCATCCCAACAACAAAAAAAAAGCACATTTATTCGATGACATTACGATTATATGGTATGAGAAATACGGCGCTTTTCCCTAAAAAAGAAATTGCTTGTTGTAGTTTTGTTTGTTTTTTGTATTGATATTTTGTTTGTTTGTTACTTTCTTTCTTTGTATGAATGTTTGTTCTGACATATTTTTTTAATCAGTACGTTCCATCTTCGTTCGTTCGTTTACTTGTTTATTTTATTACCTGTCTGTTTCTAATGGAAACGATTTAAATAACTTTAATCCGTTTGTCTTTGATCAGCAAATTATTGAACTACCTATCTGCGTGTACTCAAAACTGATCGTTCGTACTTCTGCTCTTCTACTCTCCGCCATCAATCGACGATCCCCCGAAATGAAATCTATTAAGAAATAATATAGAGTGTCCATATTCTAAGCCTGATTACGAAAAGGCAAAAGAAGAAGATAACTCCGTCATGAAATGAAGTGTTCAGATTATTAGAAAGTCTCATAATGTGCGATAGTTGCACGACGCGGGTGGGATTAAAACGCTTTCACCTTTGACAAATTGAACTAGCTCATTTTCATTTTCCTTCAAAAACAATTCAGTCACAATACATTGCACAAGGGAATGTCAATTAAAAGCAGTAGATTAAAGGCTCAGACATTAATCTACGTAACTTTGTGCTTTCCGCATTGGTGATTTAAATACCTCTGCAGAGTTTAAATTGGATTTTTACCACTACGCGCAAACCAAAACCACAGCAAATCTGTTTTTCTACCTTTTCGTCATTGCTATTTCAATTAACAATCAAAGTCCAGAATTTTCGCTCTCAAGTTCAATCAATACATTTTGGAGGTGTCTTATCTAAGCTGGTGCATTAATTAAGAGCTGTTCTAGCACAAAGCTGCAGCGAATAAGCGAAATCTTATTACTTTCTAAATCTTCAGGAGTTCAGAACACGGTCATCAACCCTAAATAAATCCAAATTAGTGAAGGACTTTCGAGCTTCACAGCGGCGTTGTTTCAATTGCGTCTTGTTTACGTGTTCTTGTCGTGGTTAATTAAATCCTTGTGCGAATCAAAGATTGTGGCATTAGAGACAAATGTCCATGTTTAACTTGCAAAGTACTTTCCGTTTTATTTAATACATCTTATCGGTGACGCGCAAAGATTCTGTGATTTCATTTATTGACAACGTTGTCCGATTTCATGTAATCGTTTCATAAAATGACTGTCTGATTAAAAGAATAATAAACTTGTTTGGGCCTGTTCCATAGGTTTTTTTTGTTGGCCGAATGGAAAAATGTTATTGATCTCAGAGTCAGTGACATAGAGCCATCTTCCCACGCAGTCATGTCTGTATTCACACGCATCTTCTCAGAGACTGTTTGGAAATAACATAATGCTGAGGAATTAAAGATATTTTAAACAGTTGGGAAATTACCTCATATGCAAACAAAAGTTGAGCAAGATTTCATTGCTTTAAAGAGTTGGCACATTCTCGAAGTTCTTGGTCCAGAATATTTCAAATTCTGCTAATGACCAATAGTTTGACCTATTCTGAAGTGGCTCGCTATTTAGCAGCCACAGTCTTCATATCGTTAGCAGTAAAATATTGATCACGCAAATTAGTTGAGAGCCATTATGAATGCACATTGAAGTGCCATATTGTTATTGTAAAATTTCTCCTAATCTCGACACTTGACGGTGTTGTATTCGGCGCCATAAATTCTTCGTAAGAGCTGGAGAGTGATAAGAACGGTTGTCAGCGATAGAAGAGTGTTCTTGTTGACTGTCATCTTGTTTATCAGCGTTTGCCGGCTTTGTGTCGATTGTGCTCTGTCACGACAAGCGTTATGACCAATTGTTATGGAAATTTGCAGCGAAATTTATCACAACTATGGAACTGTCTTTGTTCAACACGTTCTTTAGGTATTTCCTAAAAGCCTATTAACTGTTTGCTTATTTTCAAAATAAAAGACATGTTTAGGCAGGTCCGATTAGGCCATACTTATTTTCGCCCACTTTGAATTCCTAAGTATATATGCAACACGATCTTCACCCTAAATTGACTGCAAGGACGATGAGCTCATGGAGAGTTCACGCAATGTACATGGCCATAATAAGTGCGTCCCTCAGAGAAAGTCTACAACCTGCCTGTAGCAAGTTGCACTTAACACTAATGGCGGTACTTAGCTTTCTAATCGATGACTAATAAGCAAAACGTCGATGTTGTTAGAGCCGGAGCAGACATACTTCGACAGAGTCTGAATTTCTAGACTGGTCGGTTCAAATCTGGTGGAGTGTTTTGACATGATAACAGGTAAACTTTTTAATTTCCAGTAAGTTTTATATTAATGTAACTTCAGGGCTTTAAATTTTATCCTTTTTACTTTGGTCCATAATTATCGTATGGAGTACAGAAGGAAAACCAGCTGGTTGATATCTTCATTGTAACCTGTCTTCAAAGAGATTTAAGCGGTCGTTTACCGAAAACTAACGGAAATTATCACAACATATCGTGTAAATGTCTTCGCTCGGTGTCTGCACATTTAATTGGTGATAACCAAATTATGGCGCTACTTGATACTGAATTTATAGTAATGGATAATCTCCAATCCTCAGTTAAGCACCATGTACTGAGCAAAGGAAACCGCACAAAATCCGATTCAATGGGTTTTGCTTCTCAGGCCGTGGTTTAAAGGAAAATGTTGGATACACGTGTTGTAATTCATGTTGGTTTCATAAAATACTGCAAGGATCTGTACAAGTCCTTCAGTACAATCAAGAGACTGTGACACTGGAGGTATAATAGTCTGCAGTTGCAAATTTTACTGTTACTAAGTACTACGTGCTCAGTGAGTGACAATTTTTTCTTTGACTAGCCCGAATTCAAATAGTACTTGCATTAATTTCCGACCAAGTATGTTTATCACTTGGGAACCGCATTCTTAATAGACTTATAAGAGTTGATCTATATAATGCAGAAGCGCCTTTGTTTCACGAACAATCATGCCCACTTACAGGGCAAAAAACCTTCAAACGCGCGATCAATAATAGTTTAATCACTGCCAGGTTAAACAAAGGTGATCCGTGAGGCATGGCCATATGAATGACAACAAGAACAGTAATGGGTAACCTTGACATAGAACTCCACGTTTCTCAGACATTAACACACCTGTGACGATTAGCTAACCACGTGGTTTTGCAGATGTGTGAATACTGTTTGTTTTCAGGACACGTGCGTTTTTGTGGACCAGCGGATTAATTTCAGGCTTCAGAAGGTTTCTGCTGCGTCTTAATGCTTTTGAATATATATGTCTGCGAGGATTCAATTTATTCTGCTATTAGATGCACCACTAAAAATAGCTGGTTAGTATAGTATGCAATATTGCGATATCTATGTTTTTAATCTGTGTTCTATAACCTTTTTCAGTTAAGCTCTCTTGTTATGGGTTGATAATTAACTTTCGATTTCACGAAAAAGCAAAACGTAAGTTTGAAACCATTTATTCTGTGCTGAACACAGTCTCCCATTTAGCTGTCTAAAACATGCATTCGCCGATAGTCGATTCCTTCGAGAAAAATGAAGCAAAACTATCTCAATATAGATATTGAGATGAGATGAGATGAGATGTTTTCGATGTTTTAGACATTGTATTGGGTTCCGAACCTTGCTAAAAATGACTGTTGTTGGCTGAAGCACAGGTGCTAAATTGTTATGAGAATCTTTGGTTAGTTGTTTTACTCATCTTTCTATTGGGAATTTTCGTTTTCAAATTGAATTCAAGGAATCTCTCTCTTTGTGGCCAATACGAATTGAGAGAGCACTGATTTCACTCTTCGAATACATGAGAGCCATAATCCTTTGTCAGGTCTAACATCATCCGTAACGCAAGTCTTTCTCTGATCTGAAATATAATGAAAATATGCATGCTTCCGGAAGGGAGGTTTTGAGCTTCTTATCTATGAAATAACACGATATCAGCTAATAAAATTATCTATTAAGGGTCAAAAATCTCAGGTAGCTTTGAAAAGAAAATGAAGTGAAAGCGACATGTAAGGAAGTTCTACACCGTACACTAAAGAGAAGCAACCAACTTATACATGCAAATGAAGCTTTTCATCGACGCACTTATTGTGTAAAGAAAAGTGAAAGTATGGCTTAAGGGCATTTATCCCTATTTTTCCCACGCAATATTTATGCGCAGAAAGTTTCACAGTGTTTACAACATTTGTCGCGTCACTTATTAATTTCCTTGTTCATATGTTATAATTAATGTCATCCCTAACTAATTTATCACAGGTTATGGTGGAAAGAGTAATACATTTCTTTAACAGAAACTCGTTTATTTATTCTAAAAGAGTTATTCACACTTTTTCCAAGTTGTAATGTAGGTGCACATGTTTCGTTGTCCAGTGATAGGTATTTTATTGCTGCATCAAAAATTTGTCAAAAAAGAAACTGATCAAGACACATTTTGAGTTTTTCCTCGGGCTTGAAAAGGCAGTTTCCATTAGTTCCGAAACGGCCAGCACCTTTAATCAAGTTGGATCTTTTGTTTACGAAATAATCGTCGATTTTCCCTTCGGTGGTAGGTTTTCAAACATTGTCTTTGTTTACGGTTCGTTCAGTACCAGCTGCTGTGTCAAGTTTCTTCAGGTGTGGAGCATAAACAAGAATCCTCGACTGACCTTCTCTTTCTGAGTTTTTCGGCACCCTAACGATTTTTTAAAACCTTACTGACAGCTGATACAAAAAGCTGTTTTTAGATTCACTAAATCATTGAAAGCCAGTCAGACACTCATGAGTTCTGCTAATGTTAGTGCGTTATATGTGTGCACCTAACCGCTCTCAGCACGAAACATGTTCACTTAACCATGTTTTGCCAATATAACAACATGAGATAACAATAAGAAGTTAACCACAAAAAATTATGTTCTCTTCATAAAGCGTTGTTATGATGCATAGTTTTCACCGTGAACATGACTTTTTAATTCGTGTCGCATCTAAATTGTTTAAACAGCATGAGGCATTTTTTTTGGCCAAATTGCCCGCTTAAGTAGTCAATTGACCGTACTCAAAAGCCAACAGAATGATCAGCAATAATTTTGTCCACAATTTTTTTTTTTGCAAAATCTGCATTTGACGACTCTCGGGAATATTTAAGAGTGTTAAGGAATACAGTTGACGTTCAAGGAACCGCAACTGGTTTAATACGACAACAGATCTTGAGCCATTGTTCTTCAGGTTAGATTTCTAAAAAGAAAGGCAATTTTCATATTCACAACAGATAAATGTTCACAAAATGAATAGTTACCGCTCCTTTCTCTACGACATGAAGGTTTGAGGCCTGTAGGGGTCCTGTAGATATAAGAAAAAATCTTCACTGGCACAAGTTTTAAAATAGCTGCGATCTTTTAACTGTTTCACTCCCCAATAATTAACCCATTGGCCCTGTTCATTTTCCTCAGCCCCCTCATGCTCTCACAGTTCAAATGTTGTTGTTGTCAATCTAGTTTCCTGATTTTAAAAATTCCACCATGAGGACCACAGCCACGATATTTCCAAAGATACAACTCAGAATTATCAAATGAATATTCGAAGCTAAGTAGGATCGAGGTGAAAACCGATATATGCATCTTGCAGCCGATTACTATCAGTATTTCTGACCGCAGTTATTTTCATTTAATATTTTGTAAGGTGAACATGAAGCCCTTAAAAGATCCATAGATAGCCGTGTGGTGTTCTCACTTTTTTTAACCCAGCATTTTCAGTGCTCTTGCGAATCAAATATTTCTTCACATTGTTTACAAAGCTGGATTGGTACTCTTGAAGACAGATTAAAACGGGCCTATTTTCGCTCTCGGATAGCCGATGTATGAGTTTCTTCCGAGCCTGTTAAGATCAGATGATCCACTACTATTCCTTATTATAGAGTTCCAGAGTCCAGACGTCATGTGACAGTATCTCAAAGTCCACGCATATGTCGAGCGGCGACTTTAGGTAAGACTCACTCAAGTCGCCGCATGCTTAGTATAACCAGTCGTAATAGCGTGCACACATGGACTAATGACGGTTATTTTGAGCTAGGTACTGATATCTATGACTATTTTAATACTTAACAGTTTCCGGGAAAAAGGGTAAACTTGCACTTTTTGTGATCGCAGTTATCTCCTCGAACACTCTTGAAAGGCATTGAAAACGTCGTCCGGTCGATAAAGAAAATACGTAATACATTATTATGTCCAAGAACACAAGGAGTTACCGACATGTGAGGAAATTCTCGTTCTTTCTAAGACATCATATCAAGGTAAATGTGTCCTGTTTGGTTTTCAGTTGTAAAAATATTTGACAACAAGGCATTTAAAATCGTCTCATAACACAAATTCTTCCCCTGTTAGTCATCAAAAAATCCATATCACGCCCTCTGGGAAAGGTTACATTTCCGAGCGCCACTCAATGCAGTGACAGAAACTGGATTTTAAAAATTGTGATAAGGTGGTTCTAAGCTAAATTCGGCACAATAGGCAATTACTGCTGTAGCAGAGACAAAAAAATTTTTCATTTTATCACTTTTTACACTGAACGATAGACTTTAGAATAAGCCTCTTGTCGTGATTAACGAGACTTGCTTACGTCAGCTATAATAAACAGGAAATTGTCCGACTTAAGGCCAAGGTTTTCATCATACATGTAATTCCATAAGCCTAAAATACATCAATATTCTCGAGTTCTTTGAAAAGCATTGTTCATAACAAAAATTCATGCGGTAGTAATTCTAGTTTCGTACATGTTGTGCCTTAAAATGAATAGTGTGAATTAACTCAGTTAATTTCTCACTTCCTCGTATTTAGAACGTGGTCCACCAGGGCAGCACATCAAACTACCTAATTTGTTTTCTCCTTCATTTGATCACTGACTTCCAGGAAAAAGTCTAGGAATTCCCCTTTTTTGGAGAAGGTCAAGGCTCAGACAGTTTCAAGTACGAAAAATAGGGAAAAGTTTCTTTAAATTAAGAAACTGTCAGCTTGAGGCGTTTTTTACGATATTCGAATAAGCTCTGTTGGTAATCGTGTACAAAACCACAACATGTTGCTTGATAATTGGCCACCTTTGTCTTAATTCTGTGTCTCGCCATCAAAAACATTGTTTAACATTGTGTTTTTCCGGACGGTTTCCGACAACGCCATTTCCTCTCATTCTTTTGCCGATAGTCATACAGATTATTTACGAATCCCAGAAATTTTACACAAAATCGAACTTGACCCGACCTTCATCGTCAGTCTCCGGTACACGCCAACGACTGAACAACACAAACGTTCCTGCACAAGTTTTACTTGATCTGGCATCAACAGTAGGTTTTAATCTTGATGTTTTTTAAATTAATTTACTCTATCTGTAAGCAAATTATATACGACAGTTTAAAAGCAAGCGCTGATTCCCTTAAAACGCCTCAGGGCTTTAACGATTTGAGGTTTCTGTCTATGTGTGTCAATTGATCAAATTGGACTCTCACTTATTCTTGTGAAGGTCATTTCCCATGATGAATATAAAAGCAAAAGGAAAACAAGTAAAATAACAGACGACACTTCATCCTTTACGTCCGTGATCACTCATACTTTTCGTCGTATTTTGTTTAAGCTTAACACTACTATGCTGATATTTTAAGCCGATTTATCTTCATTTTTTCACCGCGGACTATACATTCCTGTGGTTTATTCTATCTTGAATTGAGGGTTCTGTCTGTTCAATTGTTGATTTGCACATTTTAACATGGATTCTTGAGTTTACAACAATAGAGCTCACGCATTTGTTATTTGTTGTAAAAATTTCTATTCAGTTGCATGTGGAGAGGCTCAGCCGGCTTGGAATTAATGCATGGGGAATAACACTCCATAGTTTTCATTCTCAGCAGGTCAGCTAACGACTTGCTTCCATTAAACATTTTTTTTTTTTTTTACTTTAATTACAGCTATATCACTTACATCACGGATACAGAAAATAACTTACAGTACAATTACATCTATAGCTACATTACTTACGTTTTTTGTTTTTTACAAATACGTACGTTACAGTGCAATACAATATTTAAAACAATACTGGTTGAAGAACATTTATATATTTCACCTTTAGTGGTATAGCTTCTATGTCAAGCAACCAACTTTTATGCTGAGCACTTGAAAATGTCTTTGGTCCGGGTTCCGGCTCCAGAAAATGATCGTTGTCATCATCAGTAAATGAAAGAAATTTTTCGTCATCATTACAGCCTGTTAAATTAGTTTATGATATCATCACATGGTACAAAACGCCAACACTGAGCCGATAAAACATAGTTAACTTAGAACACTTCCCTGAACATTTCAAGAAGCAGCTATTATGTAAAGAATTATTTTCTAAACAAGTTTTCTACCAGCGAGTTGATCAATGTGTCTCTTGCATCTTGCTTAAAAGATGGATTATTGTACTGGAGAATCACAGACCACCTAATTATAACAAGACTTGCCCAAAGAATAGCCTTCACACAAATGAAACCCAGTTCGTGCACGTACTTATTGAGAAATTTTCTCCCTTTTCATACACAGTCAGTTTGACACAAATGGGGCGCAAAATGAACAAATATTGCACGATCCGGTATCTTCTTTTGCTGGCATCTCTCACTGGGTTCATGAATCTTGTTTACCTAACGTTCCTGGCCGACCTGAGGGGTACTCTCGAGCTTTACACAATGCAACGTTCTTCGTCAAGTGTCCTTCGAAGACAGATAGCAAGCATTCAAATAGACGCGGATATCAAAGCCGCCACGGGACCAAGTTTAAGTTACCTGGAACTGCTGAATTTGGATTTGAAAGACCTAGTTCAAAGATACTTGGCATCTTCACAAACTATTGCTAAACAGTATGAACTCAACAACCTGCAAGAGGAACCGCAGGAAGAGCAAGTACTTGTAAATCACTTTTATCTGCCTCGTTGCCTTCCGGTTCCCTTTCTCTTAATCATGGTTCACTCAAATCCTGTTAACTTCATGGATAGAGAATCCATACGGTTATCGTGGGGTCGAGGAGATAATCCAGTAAATCAGGGCAGTTGGACAAGTCCTGAGAGGTATTTACTGTATTTGCTTTGTTTTTGTTCAGGAATTCAGTTACTCCGAACTATTCCACTACTGCCACACGTATTCTGTGGGCACGTAATTTGTGGGCACGGAACTATAACTGGCATGACGTGGGTGGAAAAAAGTTATTTATGGGGGAGAGAAAAACAGGGTTTCCTCCATCTCTGAGACATTCTTTAGGAAAAAGTGATCGGGCAATGAATTTTCTATCTTCCCTCTAATACTCAAGACTCAAAAGGGTCTTGCCTATTCGGGAATTGAGAATGAATACGTTATAAAAAACAACAACTTTGCTTCAATTTTTTGCTTTGCAATTGTGGCTATCGTGATCTAGAGGAATGTCGCCCTTTGTAACAAGATTTCCAGAAAATGTGAGCATGATTTAATTATAATGCACAGGGAGCAACGCTTTTTTTTCTACGCTCCTTTTTCCGTTTATGTTCTCCTTGGGAAGTGTAAATCAATAATTGTGCAACCGCAACTGAGAGTGCTCATGCACGTGAAGGCTCGTTAATGTCAGTTACCACTATGTGTTTGGGAGATGTCTCCCCTAAATAAATGTTAATGAGACTTTCCGTGACTCGTGGCCTGTCTCGCGACCAAGAACCTTCATCCCATAAAAATATCTGTGGCAGCCAGTATCATTTCATGAGTCCACAATTTCAACAAGCAAATTTCAGATCTGACAAAACCTAGAATCTGCCTAGTCATAAGACTACAATGATGAATGAAAGCCATAAATACGTTAGCATGTGAGCACAGCTACGTCGTAGAATCTCATCAAATGGCTAATTTATGGAATGTGTGTACGAAAGGTTTTTGCTAAATGTCAGCGTGTGTCTTTCGGAATTCGGATATTCATCCTACGTAAGCAGGTGTGTGCCTTGTTGCTATGCCCTGCATATGTTATCCATATGTTCATATACGACCCGATTTACATTTCTTTGGTGGCAACGGTTTCGAGAAGAGTTCCAAAAAAATTTTTAGGGAAAACTTTGTCATTTTAAAGACTTCTTGCCGTCTAATTTTTGATCTCTTGACTTCTTGTTCCTTCACGCTGTGATAATAATGGAAGGTAATTGGATTTCATAATGCTAAAAAACATCATGTCCCATAACTTTGCCATAAGATGAGTAAGCAAACTCGACACATCAAAAAAAAGAAAAAAAAAAAACAAGAGAAGAAATCCTTCTTAATTGTGTTGACCTGAGCTACTTGTTCGGTTAACGAAACAACAATTTTTTGTGATTTGTTTGTTTACACGTAACAAATTTCGTTTAGTTGATAATGGTAATAGGACCGAGTGGAGTCCAATTCGGTCTGTAATCATACGAGTGATTAACAAAATCGCAAGACCGCGAATTTGTCCATCACTGGTATGATTACAGAAAGAAACATGTGGTGCTGCGTCGGCGTGGTGTATTACAAGATAATTTGGTTTAATCAACTGAGTTCATATTGTACATTGGCCACCGTAAAGAGTTTCTAAATCTGGCGTTTCGAGTGTCAGGCCTTCGTCTGAGCGTATAGAGGAGTTGTGGATTATGAGTGTTTTAAACCGGTTGATAAAACCAAACAATGTGATAAAATATTAATCCAGGTTCAAGCCGTTTATTGTACGTTTACAAATCTCTAAAGAAGTTTGGCACTCTATGGAATGAGAACCTTTCGTTTAAGGAATACTCTTTTTCTCCTTCATTTAGATCTTGGAAGACAGTTTTCCTCGTTGGGAAAACGAATAGTTCCAAGCTAAACAATCTGCTGAGGCAAGAAGCTCAGGTTTACAAAGACATTGTCATCGGAGATTTCCTCGATACATACCGTAACTTGTCCTTGAAGACTTTATTAGGTCTTCAGTGGACCTCACACCATTGCAAACCTAAGTATATTCTCAAGACAGACGAGGACTGTTACGTGAATGTCCTATCGCTTGTTCAGTGGCTACAAGAATATCACGTGACCAATGGATCAAGGCCGCTATACGCGGGTAATATTCAGAGGGACATGGAGGTTGTGAGAGATAAAACAAATCGTTACTATGTGTCCGTAATGGATATTAATAGACACAAGTATCCGCCCTATGCCTCGGGTGGAGGTTATGTGTTCAGTGCAAGTCTCTTGCCCAGACTTCTCGCTGCGTCTCAGGAGGTTCCTATCATACCAGTAGAAGACGCTTGCTTTGGACTGTATATGCAGCACATTGGTATCAAACCACTTCATAATAGCAAAATTTTACCGTATGTCTTCTGTGATGGCGCGAAGACTAGCTTGAATGAAAGACCAATATGTCATTTACGCGATCCGCTTGTGTTACACGGCATCAGGGACATTCTTCAAATACAGACACATTATAACGTCTTGTTAATGACGTTTCTTCCAACAATCTGCTCGTACGTAGATAATCAGTCATTTAGCAAAAACTTTCAGCAATCGTGTTAACTTGTGTATAATGTACAAACTATGAGGAATTAAATTATTGTCATCTACGTTTCAAGCCAACATTTGCATTAAAGTTCTAATAAAAAACTTCTTATCAACTATGAAAGACTTCATAACATCTGCGAAACACGAGCAAATGCCACATACACGCCCTGAGTATAAAGAGTTTTAAGAATGATCTTCAGAGGGAGTAATGATCGAGGAGTAATGTTATGATGAATAAGTATTTTATTTTCTAGTTCTCTCACGATTCCGATTTTAAGTCTAGCCATTTATTTGTTCATTCTTTTTCTGCGTTTTCAATCGTTTGAAACCGAAAAAATACTTTACATTGATGGTACATCACAATTAACAACTAGATCACTGAAATACTTAGCTTGCTCATCAATAGCATTTCGTTCGCTCTTTCCCTCGATACCAATTTTTTATTCATTATTAATTCACCTTACCAATTGTAACGCCTTTCTTCTAAAAAGTATGAGTTTTTCATTTAAAATTTCTTTTAGAAACTGTCCGCCTGGATTGATTCCCAAAATCGGGGATGCGAGTTTTCTGAACGATGCTGGACTGAGAGAGAAAGTTTCGTCATTTGCTGTCGATTGCAGTCTTTCAATGAATAAACCCGGCTATGTTTGTACGTAGAGTGGCTGTTAACCTCTAAAAGCACATGTACATTTAATGCTGCTTGGTTCTCCTTATTGCTAATTAGCTGTTGGTAGTTTAGAGTTAGGGTTAAATTTCTTTTTAAACACACGTCTTTCTCTGTGAGGATCTGCTTTTTGTCTCAATCTTTACAGCTGCACTGTCTCTTTAACATTTGACTCAGTGCCTCCTTGATCAGAATCTTCGTGAAGCTAGCAGGTGGCTTTTTCCCTGAATTAATGTGAACGTCGTCTAATTTGAATTTTTTTTAAAAGCTGGGTGCATAATTATCTTTTACCTGTACCAAAATCTTACGAAAACATCACGCACTTTTGCAATTGGAAAGAACGCTTGATAGCTTTTCCAATTCCCAGTTTGAGGTTGAACGCTAAGGCTGTAGTCAGAGCACCAGTGTTGTCCATCGGCCGAAAGCCGGCATAATTAAACTTCTTACGTCGCTTGTATCAGTAGCATGTTTTACTGTTTATTGGTCTCACTGCAATCCTTCCGCGGGGATCCGAGGGGATCTTGGTCATTTTCTAGCTTTGAAAGCTGAACTGGATCTCCCTTCTTTGATGGAGGCCTTTTTTCCTTCCCCCCCTCTCCCCCCCTCTCCCCCCTTCCCCATCTAAATACCGAAATAGTTGTTCTTTTGTTAAAGTAGTGTTGCAGTACAAAAACGTAGTTTTATTTGAGAACCTGCGTTATTCTCTGTTACAAACATTGTAGCCTTTCAACCGGAGAAATACACACTGCAAACGGTATTAGTAAATATGGGACAATTCTGCATTTTCCCCCAGTGAGTTATTGTTAAGATCCCTCCCCCTTTTTGTAATAAGCCCCCCCGGCTGGGAGCCCTAGAAAAAAGTCCCACTGGAAATTATCAGAGGGTTTACTGTAAATGGATTTCGTAGCGAATTTCTCATCTCAGGTAAACTGCAATTAAAGAAATTCCAAACAAAGAGACGTCAGTTCATGATTGTGAAATCTGCCATCATACATTACAGTACTCGTACACAAAGTTAACTCATCTCTTCAACGATGGCCATAACCTATCTATTCTTTGATAGCTTTCTTCTTTGATTTAATGATGGTAGATCGACTTCTTACGGCTTATCAATATAAAGGATAGCCAACTCTGTGAATCACCAGGACGCCCTTAACAAAGCCGGAAAAACCAGACAATTTAATTGAAGATACTTTTTTGGCTACAAGTATTACAGAATAGACTTAGCAGAAGCGTTCTGGGAACCGTTGTCTGAGAAAGTGCCTCAAAGCAATACAAATGATCAGACTAAGTTAGTTTTGTACCTCAAAACAACCGTTAACGGTGATTACAATTTGTCACGCGATCATACATTGCCAAACTCTTCTTTGAGACTCATTTATGATCTAAAAGTTCGCATGCCGAGTTATTACAACTCTTGATAAACTTTTCCCATTGAACTAAGTTGACTTTCGTCAGCCAGTTGACACAGACGGACTATCGCGCACTAGAAACCCTTGGCCAGTGTTCACGGCGCATTAAAACGAAACGGCATATTTCCGAATCTAATTCGTTTTATTTAACAAAATAGCTGACAAAAAAACACAACAACAACAACAAAAGTACAAATATTTTGTTAAAAATTAATTTTAAAGCAGCCAATTTGTACAAATGAACTAAGCAAGAACTTCAAGGTTTCCTATGTAATAAAAACTCGACATAACTTTACACCATATATTATCGATTATTGTCTTCTTGCATGGACCGGAAATGGGCAAGAAGCGAATTGATAGTGATATCTCAAACTTGAAAATGTTTTGAATGAAAAAATATGGTCACCAATTAGAATGTAGGTGGCTTAACCGTGTATCAGTTATACCACTATGTCATTTTGTCGATTGCAAGCGGAATAAAATAGAGAGGACGAATAAAAAGAGGAGAATGTGTCCCCTGCTCTGCCCATTATAGTAAAGTGACCGGCATTCAACTGGCCATGTATCCCTTAAAATGATCAAATCAAGTCATTTACGTGCTACTGGATATAAATAACGTACACTACATGCAAAATGTTACACAGTACCTGACTGACATTTATAACAACAAGAAAATTGAAAATATCGGTTACAATAAGACGCTGTACTCCACGCCTTTGCCTTGAAAATTTTCGTTTGAAGTACTGCGTCTGTTAATTTGCTGGTTACGTATGTGGGTTTGTTGTTTGCTTTTCTGACAGTCTGCCGACTCAGTGTCTTTCTTCTGCTGCCTGTATAAGTCTGTCTTTCTCTGCCTGTCTGTTTGTCAGACGGTCGTTTGGTCGGTCGGTTAGTCAGTCGGTCAGCCAGACTATTTAAAAAAATGAAAACCGTAGTATCATTTGTATTCCACCTCATTAGTTCACTTCTTTCTTACTGCATTAAACTAGACATTATTTGCAGTTTACAGAGTCTAATAAATTACTGATAAATTGCTGATGCACAGCTAGTTTACGAGATACGTAGTTGCTGAGTAGAGTTTCAACTCAAAGCATAACTTTGTTGTTATTCATTGACATTTCCTTTCTTTTGTGCTTAAGTGGAAGTAGGAAAGTTCCAAGAGTAAAGACGAACGCGGGCTTTTAGCCACCATGTTAATTCAGATCACTTCCTGATTGTTTTTAATTAATAAATAACTTATTAAACTATAAAGTTGATCTCCACGGGGAAGAAAATTGCTGCTAAAAGAGGGGAATCTTGACGGTTACTTGCAGGTGTGCCGGTCATAAATCAGAGGGCACTTTTCACAGGTCACAACACAACACCATACAAACTTGCAGTTGCACCGTTTGACTTCTCGTACCTCCTGAGTGTTGTACCCTCCTCCGCAGCACAGCATATCACATCGGTCTCCTCCTGAAGACGTCTTGTTACACACCCGGCCAGACGTGCCTAAGATGCCCAGAGTCGGATTAGGATTACAATAGTTTGGTGACCGGTCGATGTACACCAACGTATCTCTGGTAATCTTCAGTCGTTTCTGCTCCTTTCGCCTTATGCGTCGCTTTCGTCTGTTGTAAACTACTTCAACCGCATTCGCGTACCTAGCTTTTAAAAATTCTCCGACTTTTTCGAAGTTCGGCACAGTTTTCCAGCATGTTTGCATGGTGCAAGAGCCAGAGACTCCATGGCAACGACAGCGATCACTTACAAGGGTTTGAACAGCCTGCAAATAACAATATTAAAAATGTTTACATGAGCAGTGGAGATTTATCCTCTATTTGTTTATTTTGCCATTTTCTAATTATAATAAATCAATAGAAATAAAAGAAATTACATATACATTAATATAATACAATATAACTGAAAATTTAACATGTGACGAGGAAACCTTTGAGAAACCAAGAGGCTTATGTGCTACAGGCTCCTAAAATTTTACAAACGTGGGGTATTAGGGCGTAATTTAGGTAAAAATATTGTAGGTTAAAAGGGAAAGAACACAAAGAACATCACATAAAACAACAACAATAGCAGGCACTCAAATAAACATCTAATAGAACAGCTCGATTGAATAGGAAAAAAAAACAAGAAGGGAGTCAGCTTAGGAGGAATGTTAGCAATTTAGACTTAAACAGGGTAAGTGTGCCAACATTCTGGATTCCTATATTCAGAGAATTTAAAAATCTAGGTCCTTGGAAACAAAACGTAAACTGTCCAATATTTGCTCTGCAATGAGGCATGTAAAAGGAGTTGCATTGTCTGGTGTAACATCAAGGAATGCTACTAGAAAACAAAAATAATATTTTAGGAGAATCGGGAAGAAGGCCTATCTTGAACAAAACGTACTTTTTGATATAATTCTTAATACCGGCCAGACAAATGAAATTTAAAAACCTAACACAATGAAACGAGTACAGGGTTAATCACAGTATCAATCATTAAAATCCTGCCTTTCACTGGACCAAACAGCCCTTGACTGTAAGCACTCTGATGATACAGTACGGTTAACTAGTATGCCGCGATAAAAGAACCATTCTGATTGGTTCTTTAAGCGACAGACCGCTTTCGATTGGGGTTTTTTTAATATCGAAGGTGTTAAAGAATACGTGTGCTGAATTCATTCATTCTTCTCCAAACTCGAGCAATTTACTTGAAGTGACGAGTTCACTTAGTTCGGATGACGTACTTACAATCTCCGATGGCCCATCTCACCGGCTGAGAAAACAATATCTCGGTATCACGTTTTATCATCGTATACTGCGCAATAAAACCCGTTGAATGGTCAAAGATAGAAGAAAAAAGATAACAAATGTAACAGATACCAAAATTTTAAGAATAACAAGTTTGGTAAACAGTTATTAGATTCACTTGAACGATGACTGGTCTGACAAAGTAGACAGATATTAATTTTGTTGCTGAAAACAAATGCCGTGTAAAATCAATTCAGGGGTATAGGACACTAAGAGTTATTTCACATGTTACAAAAATCATTGAATTTTGCGGAAATGTAGGTAAACTCTAAAGTTTCTTTAAAGTTAGTCACTTTCAGGATATTCTGTTCACAGGACGTTCTGTTTTCCCTCAGCTTATTGTCTATGACTCGAAATAAATTAGAACCGCTAGGGATTTAACGAAGGCAGACACAAAAGTGTGGGTGTTTAACCTACTACGCGGTCGCCCTCAAGATCCACGCTCTTAGTTATGCTCGCTTTGCGCGCCCCCTCTGAACTGAAAATAAAATAAACGGCTGTAGACAGACTAGAGTTGGGCAAGATGATATACATTAGGTAACTTTTGTAAACACGTTCGGAAATGTATTGAACATAACTCCCGAGATAGTAAGCTGCGTTCAGCATTTTCTGCAGTTTTTCATTTCACGAACCTAAGCAACAACCGAGCCGATGTCAGGGCAGCGATCAGATATGTTTTGATTGCAAACATTGACAAAGTTATTCGGAAACTTAAAGCTGAAGTTTTGTTTCTGTAGAAAATGGGACAAGTAAGCATTGTGACGCTAAGGAGGTCGAAAAAATTCTGAGTCCCCATGAGGAATCGAACTTCAGACCTTCCCCTTGTGGGGACTCAGAATTTTTTTCTTTGCTCCATGCTCGTGATAAGACGAAAAACATCTTTCTTTACTTCTTTACCGAGCTCAAAACTTACCATCTCTCTAATTTCTAACTACAAAACTCAATTATGTTTTGAACAATCCTATTTGTGTTTTCTGTAAGGTCTAGAGTGATTGGGAAAGCACGCGCTTGACGCTTTCGACATTGCCGATCCTAGCAGTGTGCAGGACACGTTTCACATGAACTTCGTAATAGATCTCGCTTAGCGTGGAGTCTCTGTGGCTCAGTGGTAGAGCATCAGAGCGTGGAATCCGAAGATCTGAGGTTCGATTCCTCATGGGGACTCAGAATTTTTTTCTTTGTCCTACGCTCGTGACAAGACGAAAACACATCTTTCCTTATGATTATGCTTTATAAATTGAATTTTCTTCCCAGATTGTCGTGAGCCTCTAAAAGCAAAATTATCATCCACCTTTAGTTTTCTTTTAATTTCATCTTAAAGTATGAAATATCACAGGAGTCAGCAACAATCATTGCTGCATAGAGGAAAAATATGGACCGAGGTTAAATTCTGACCTTGGACTAGCGCTCACCACCTTTCGAAAAATCGGCCCCAAGCGTTTATTGGAAGCTAAATTTATTATATAAATAGAGACTCAGATTTTTCGATTGGAATTTCCCACGGCGTCACTCTCTTGACTTTGAGTGACAAGCTCTTCAAACCGATCCTTTAAAAAATTCCCGTCAAATTCCAAATCACTCTAGGAGCGGCCAAAAAGAGATGATTTGTCTTTAATGAGGAGATTAATTCCAAAGGAAAACGGCTGAGAAAACAAATAGCAAGCCGACCAGATTAATAAATTAGTTACGATCCCACACAACAGAGGTGTTTACATCTCCCACATCCGTGTTTTCTGAGTCGCTGTCGTCAGAACATAACGACACACCTATGAACAGTTCGTTCCATCACGAATGTTAAAAGTTCCATTTGCACCCCAATCTCTACCCATTTCCCCACTCCCTGCCCTCACGTTTCCGTTAAACCCAACGATAGTTTGTACTTGACAAAAACAGTAAAGGAGTAAATAAGTGTCACCCTAATACTTAAGCTGTCTTTCTTTCTCTCTCTCTCTCTCTCTCTCTCTCTCTCTCTCTCTCTCTCTCTACCTCTACAACATCACAATGATTTTGTCATTAAAAATTAGCTATGGGTAGGAACTTATAGATCACGCAACTGTAAGGAAATTAAGTGGTTCTAACTAATATTCAATAGGAAACGTAATATTGTGCTTTAGAGCTTTCAACCAACAATAGCAAAGCTACATGCGTTTTACGTTAGAAATTTCTGGAGGTTTGTCCAGCTCGTATGCAACGAGAAATTACCGCAAAAGACGGCTTTTCTGTAAACACAACTCAAAAAGGAGAAAAAAAGGTTGGTTAGTTTAACATTTTTAGTTTCAATTATTTCCGGTAACCAATAGTCCAAACGACTTTACACTAAAAATTTATATTTTATGCGTATTGTCTCACTTAGCTTTGCCTTAATGCCAAAACGTAGAAAAGCAGTTGGACAGTTGGACATGAGTCTAAAAATTAAGAAAAGGAGGTTTCGTGTCCTGATATTTGCTTCCAGTCTGACTATGAACACAAGAATATTCCTTCGACCAAATCACTACTTACAACCTATAGCCCGAACGGAATTGAAAAAGCGGTAACAAACAAGAAAACGGTTGTGTTGAATCAAAACAAATTTTTAGGGCAAACCACGATAACTCTGAAGTCTTCAAACCGTGCAAGGAATCGTCACCTCAATCGTACACCGACTGAGTGCGTCTAGTTGTATAAGTTGTACGTGATATGTTCCGAATGCGGCCACAAACCAAACACTGTTCAATATCCGACATCGGCAAGGCATTCTTGTTGCCGCCTCATTATCATAAGTTAAGTAAAAATCTTGTCTATGTACACACTACAGAGTAATTTGACAGCACAAGGCGCCGGCCGCATCATCTTGCTACGTGAGTAGCTACAACTAACGTCAGAATGGCAAGCAACGCATTATTTACGGCATTGTCAGAGATCCAAAAAATATTTTGACAAAATGACAGCTGCTGACGATTTTGTGGGGCGACAAACGGCCTAATGGCCGAGTGAAGAGCAGCACTTGATACACACGCTTTTTCAATAATGTAAACAACAATCAAATTCAAACATAAATAAATACTACACATTAATCCCAACTTCATGTGTTTATCGGTGACGGAAACCGCAACTACAACTGAGATAAGGTGAATTTCGCAAAGAACAAAAAACACCGGTGGATAAAGTGCTTTTAACGGACCTATGCCAATCTAAAAATGAATAAGCTGAGAAAACACCCAATTTCTTCTACCCTTGTTACCCGACATTTCCGACATAATCAAAATATAACATTTTGTTCCTAATTGACATGAACCGAAGTTCCATTTGCTCTAAGACATGATAGCTCATCCATAATCGTTTAATTTTAATGAATCTAGACTACGGAAGAACTTTGAGCATCAGGAAACCGAAAACGTGCTTTAAAAAGATATCTGCTGTGCCAAAGGAAAACTGCTACATGATTTGTCGTCATCTCAACATATGAGTTTGATATTTCTAGTATTAAAGGACCTCCAATTATTTTGTCTCCCGTTAAAGTATGGACAGAGGGAAAATACGTTATAATCACATTAAGTTCAGAGTGGGGTTTGATCCCTTTGTTTTCTTTGGCTGGAGGTCAACCTAATAAGAACAATAATGAAACGAAATTCATTTTACCAAATGGTCTTGAGTCTTGCTGAGCTTTTATCAATGGCCCGCCAATAAATACAAACTTAATGGCTTTGAGCGTTAAGTTGAAGTTGCTCTAGTGTTCTAAGCTATAAAATAAGAACGAGTAAGCGATAATTAATGAACACATGCAAAATCCATTGCGTTGAAGTGCGTTGTTCTGCTGTTAAGAGGAAACTGAAGGCAACACATGATAAATAGCTTGTCGAGGGAGGTACCTCTCCAGATTTGGAGAGATTTAAAAGAAGCCACTCAATCACGCTAACATTATCAACTAAAAGAGAAATTCCAAATTCCAGCGATGTAAGCCGAGGAAGACATTAGAGTCGCTTTCTGTAGGCCAATGGTGAAAGAGAAACAAGATGTAAGGTACCACTGTTGTAATATCCGCGTACGAAATTGAACTTTAAAACCACTTGCAAAATCGTTTACATGACTTTTTCCACTCGGATCGTCTAATGTGTTTAACAGCTAATTTTGCGTGTGGGGAAAATTGGGGGGGAAACCAGCAAAAAACTTGTGAAATGTCTGGAATTGAAGATCGCCTACTGACAAACCAACTTTAATTTGAAAAGCCGCAAATAATTCTATTCTTACCCATAAAATCCAAACCCTGTTGCAACAAAACTTTCTAAAGAATTTTACCACGCCAACAAATTATGTGGAAACTTGATAGGTTATTGGCTGATCGTGTCTAGCTTGAAAATATCATGAAAAAACAAGTATAAGTAAATCGTGGTAAGTCCAAATCATATATTAAGCCGAAAATACAGCGCCTAATACGAATTTTCGAGTTCTGAAATGAAAAAAAATCCCGAGTTCCGTTTAGTGGGCTGCCATCGAACGTCTGTTAAACTGTTTATCTTGTGCGTACGCAAAATTAATGGCCCATTGGACTCACTTAGTCAATAAATGACTCAATAAAAATGACAATCAAATAATCTTCCACATGCTCATGAAATTAAGAAGATGACCGATAAAATTACCAGCAATATCTCTCCCAAAATAAATGCTATTTACAAGTAAACTGTTTTGCTCTGTTGATCGATGAGGATTGAACCTTGTGTCCTTTTCGTATCAAATTTTACATCAGACTGTTTTTATTTGGAACTGAACACCATCATATGTTAACGTTACATCGATCTCGAACAAAGTGATCTCACTTTTCCCACGAGATTTTCATGCAAGCCGCCCAGGTTCCTTCTTTCAAACAATCGAATAGTAATTTTTTATTATGCAATTCTAATTCGTCTTTGAAAAAAGACAATGTGTTATGAAAGGAAGCCATTTTAAGCAATTACGAGCAATTGAATACTGGTCATGAAGACTATTGGAGCTGTTAGTACATTCGTGATTCTAATACTTGAAGAAATAGATATTCTACCTTTGATTTTTTTTCCTATCGTTATATGCATGAAATTTCGTGAAAACTGGCCATTTCGATGAACATTTGCAGTCTTGGCCAGTTCCGTTTCGAACTTATGTGAGTTGAAAAGTACTCCAAAAAAATTCCTAAACCTAAAACCTGCTCGAACACAACATTCTTAATCGCTTAGGTGACATTTAAACCCAACCATCTTATGTTTCCAGATTTTCTCGCAAACTTTCGGATTAACATTCTTTACAAGATAACACTTTATTTTATTTTCTTCAAACTATTCGATGGTGCCTATAGCCTTTAATCTAAAGTGTCGATCGAAGATTGTCAACTTCATCAGAAGGCTAATAACAGCATTAACATATTTAAACCTTGGTAAGAAGTGTGCTAGAGACTCACCAGTCTACCAACATGATTGTTATGAAGGTTCATTGCATGTCTTGCCTTCTTCCGTAAACGTGCCTTCTTATCAGAGCTCGTGACACCTCGCTCGTTCCGTTCAGGTGCATCTACAAACGTCTCTGACAACCAGACACCAAACTTCACGTCATCATTGCAGCCTCCCCACTCCCATCCTCTGGAGGGCTGCTTTCTTTTCCTGCGAGTTTCACAAGCACATTCACTGAGGTTGCCAAGACTGCATGACCTGCTGGCCGCGTGTACCACACCAGCAGAAGTTATCGCGTAAATGAACGCAGCCTCACGACTTCCTGTCACGGAAAAGAGGGAAACTTGTAGCAACGTCACTGACGCACAGTGAGAAAAGTTACACTGAAGATATTTGTACTCACCTATGTTAATAATTCCACCGAATACTGACGAGGAATTTGTGGTGGAGCAATTCCATCGTTCTTTGGCAAACTGGTTTTGACACTCACCAATTCCAAGCTTTGCTCCACGTCTGAGGGTTGGAATTAGGTCCGGTTTGGACTGACAGACAGTCATCTGCTGAGAGGACAAGCCAGGAACTCCATAACAAGTCGTCAGATTTCCACTGCTTCGGGTGCCCAGCGCCGAAATTCCCATCCACCTTCAAAATAAGGCAAGAAACTTTTCATCAACTACACCGCCACCGCTCATGTATTTGTCCATCAAATTGGAAAAGCTTCTGTTTTTGATTTTAATGAATGGAAATGCATGAGATAAAAACGCACTAACATCCAACTGGCAGTGGTCCTGTCTTGGAAGAGGACCAACATTAACAAGACAAAAACGATGGATTCGTTCCTCTCCATACTTATACGAGTTTCTCTTGTGAGGCCCACTGTTCTGTATACTAAACAAAAAAAAAATGATGAAAACGTAAATACAATTTCACACGTGATGCAGCTAGTGGTCGGTTGGTCCTTTGCTTTTATATTATTGAAGTTCACGGCTAGCCAATTTCATTTCACCTGTCATCGCTAATGAACAACAACAGTCCTGATTGGTCGCCCAAAATGACATCAATCGGTTAATGGTGACGTATGGAAAAGTGGAAGGACATGTGTCGTTGACTGGTCATACTGCCTTCCAAATGGAAACAATTTAACAGTACAGTTTGATTTTCAAAAATTCCCGTCATTTTTTCGCCCTGCCATGTCCCAAGAAAGAATTGACACATAAACGACCGGGCATTTTGGCTGAAAAATGTAACCCGGTTAATACCTCTAATAGCTAAATTTCCGCTTAAAGTGTTTATCGCTTGACAATGATTGTTTGTTGATCGCAGAGGGTGGGCGGAGGTAAAGTAGCTAATTACAACTCAATTGATCAAACGAGGTGACCTCAACAGAGCCTCAAGACACTTCAACTCGTATCTTCCCAAAATCAGCGACAGGGATGAAATGAGCGGTACAATATCCACCCACTCTTAAGGTTTCATCTAGTATCAAAATGGATCTTAACAAGCTGTTCGACTTTTTGCGGCACGGAGAGCGAGAAACAAAAATCACGTCAGACAGAGCAGATTCCAATCGTTTTTCACACGCAGTTCTCAAACGTTGTGAGTTATTTTTCCCTTTCACGAAGCAAGGTTACAGAAGTGCCGATTGATTACAATAAGACGGCGTTTCTTTTTCACAATTAAATGTAAAGTACACAGACGGCAAGTCAACCTTTTTACATAAGCTCCCGCCATAGTGTTTGTTCGCTCTGCATCTTGACGTTGTTTTAGGCGCGTTTAATTATTCAAAGAGTGGCCGGAAGAATGAGGTCGCCTTTTCCGGTATCGATAGCTAAAACGGAACATGGGATACATAACACTGGCACAAATTTTGTTCCAACGGAGTGTTTATAGAGTGTGTAATCGGTTTAACGCGAGGCCAGCTTAAAATAATCTATCTTGAAATAAATTTGTCTGAGTCAATGAGGCTGTTAAACCGCTGATATAAAAATAATCTCATTGCGCAGTTTTCGTGCGTGCCTACTGTTCCACGAGTATTTGTATCAAACGGATTATTTTACTCTAGCGTCTGTAATCATCACACTTAGGTTTAAACCAAGATAAAGAGATAATTGAATAAAAGGGTTTCCTTTCAACAAGGCACTACAAAAGAGGGCACAAAATAAGATCGCTAAAGAGATAACGACAATTAGAACCATCACAATAACATGCGTCAAAAATTAATTTCCGTATGGGAAGTCTAGCTGAACGACAATGGATGTTTCAAGAATTGCGCTTCAGCGAAATGTTTGATTCGCAAAAGGTTGAAGTCCACCAATAAATGAATTGGTAAAAGCACCGTGGGAAAAAAGGCAGGAGTGTTGATTAACCTCACAGGAAGGGTCGAATTTTCCGCTTTTTAGACTGTCTCGGATGTAGTTTATCATACTCCACAATGACTACTTCATCAACTTCTTTCGAAAAAACGAAGAGGAGGTTTGTTTTCCTGTTTTGTAAAGGTGTTAGCATCCTCCTCACGATTTCCAGCGAAAAACTCTTGACCCTTGGTATTCAAACTCTAGAACTGAGTTAATTGTCGCCTCACGCCCACTCTACTACCGCACGCCATGTTCTCTATCCATGCTGTTGTCGCTCAGTTACCACACTAGACTGGATTAGAGGCAAAACCCGACATGCTCAGATGGCCAAATAATAGCAAATAAAACAAGAATACTTAAGTTATCAACTTAAACCAGTATCAATTTAGTGATAGGCCAGTTCGTTGTTCTCGGCTGATAAATTCATGGTCACATCAACTCAACAAGGTTAACATGGCCACGCCTGGAGAAGGTACTGACTCATTGAATTGATTTTTACTTTCAAAAGAATAGTGCGCTTCGAAGCCTACTAATAGCAACATAAAATATGACTATTTAGTACAGGTTAACCTCTTGACAATTATTGTGTATACTGAAGTCAAGCTGCGAAAAACAGACCGCATAATGCCATTGTTGATCAAGGCCCTGCTCTACAAACTAAGTTCCAACTTTGTCGATTTTTTCTTTGTAGACTTAGTGAGTTTTTACTACTCAGAGTCTGGTTAACAACCAACTCGAAACCCAGAGCAAAGAAAAAACTAACAAAGCCGAATTTGGTTGCAGAGGGAATGAAAAACCTGCAATTCTTAAACATCGTTCAATGGAAGAAAAATTGTATGAGGAGGAAATAGAAAAGATAGCAATCCTGAGCCATCTCTCTTGTTCTATTTGGCGCTTCCGACATTCCTGATACTAGCAGTATGCAAGGATCATGTAACACACGAACTTTGTAATCATGACGATGAGCCGGCTAACTTAAGGGTTCTCTATATATCAGTGGCAAGAATATCGGGGCGCGAAATCTGAAGAGGCGCGGTTCGATTGAGGTGATTCCGCGCCTTGCACTCCTGTCCAAAATGAATTGGACCTTTCCTTACACACTCAAGATTTTACACTGGCCCCAATCATTTTTCAGTAAGTTAAAAAAGACAAAAGCTCGGTCGGTGGTAAAAGAGGAAGAACTTCTTCATACAAAGAGACAGCTGAAGGAAAGGCAAGCCCATTTAGGGAATGTGAAAGCGAGTCACGCACACCACAAAACATTACCCTGAAGAGGTACACACTTAAAATGTGGTTTACTTGTTGTACATTCTCGGCTGAAAGCCAAAAATCACATAACCTACGCGGTGAAATACTCTTCCGACCATTTTAGTTCTATTTTAGTTCTGAGACTATTTTTAAATAATTAATTCTTCAACTTATTTCACGCCTAATGTATCATTCAATCACGCAGAGCATTTCCACTTTACCACACCGGCAACAAAAAGCACTCAGCCTTGAAAGTTAAGCCTCTGATAGAGAATTGTTGGTGAACTAAATTTCTATTTCATGTAACAGAACTGACAACGCGAGGCCAGGATATCGCGAGTAACGCATGCGCGGATCCCTCGCACAGCTGAAGGAGTTTAAACTGGTACCTCATGAACCCGCAGCGCTCATTTTTGTCAAATTTTTATCAATAGACTCGTTTATATCAATTGAGTAAAAAAATTCGCTCTGTAACGAGGATAAAAAAAGGGAAGCTATCAAACAGTCACAGACTACCACAAGTAATCAGAATCGAACAGCTTCAAGGTTATTATTTTTAGCAAAAATCTTACGCGCATTACAAGGCAGCGATAATTAAAAAATACCTAACCTTAGATCCGTAGAACTCTAAGAAGTTATGGTAATGATCGCACACTTCAGCGGTAAAATTAATCGCTAAATTAGCCACTAAATTGCGTGTTAATTAAATAACAGGATTTTTTAAAGGAGGGAGGACGCGGTAGGGAGGTGCAAAAACAAGCTCAACAAACAAACATACGAGAAAACATTGACACTGATTTCCAGACACATTTCACACTTAATATCGTTTATTGCCGTTTATTACCGTTTACAATAAATGCACGTATTTGTTATCTTTGGATTAAGGAAGAGATCAACAGAACCAACATCGCACAATGGACCGGCCAATGAGTTCCAGAAATCAGCTGTTTTCGTTTTTGCTACTGGCAAAAAAAATTGCCTGCGGGAAACTTTAAAAAGCTTTTGCAAGTATCATTTGCATTTGGAATATACACACGGTTATATTACAATAATAACAATAATAATATCATCATCACAATAGTAAAAAATAATAATCTAACTAATATTAGTGTTCACTGAAATTCGTCCTGTGAGTCGAATCGTATGAGTAAAACGGCCATTGTTCTTCCGTAAAACGCTGTTCGTTCGTGATAAAAACGTGCTTTGCGATTACATTTGCATCTTTTCCAAAGCGGCTGTGGAATATCGTTTATTAAGCTCGCAAACTTAAAAATGGACCAGGATAAACGTCCATTTTCACAAGGTTTTATCGAAACTTCCAGCCTTCACCCACGCATCAAGCCCAGAATCGATTGCATGTCCACTCCTCCTCAGAAAAGCAATTGGCACTATCAACTGCCGTTATCTTCTGAAATTAGTTCCACATACCTGTACTTCCCCGGCAATATCAAACACTGTTACTGTCACAATTTAGCCGCCGACGCTGGAATTGATTGAGAGAGTTGCACAACTTCCTTGATCTCCTCTGGAGTTAATATCCCTTCGTGTTCCAAGCCGATTAACAGCTGTTGTCGGGAGTTTCCTACAAAGTCGTGTCTTAGAAATGACGGAAGCCCTCCTCGTTTGTCTCTCAAGATGTACACTGGACAGCGAACCAGCCCGAGGACCTATCAACAGACAAATAAGGAAGGTTTGAATTCACAGTACAATAATAACAAACATCGCACTCAATCGGAAGATCTGCATATATATTCTCACCGAGTAATTTGAAACTCAAACACTACAAGTTCGAGAAAATGCTTTGTAAGAGAGAAACATGTCTCAATGTCTTTTTTTTGTCACGATCCGAACATAAGTAAAGCGAACTTGAAATGCCGCGCGTACGAGCTAGTTGCACCAGTTTTTCATGGTGTGAATATTTTTCGGGGATAACATCCTCCCGGGAGAGGTGAACTTCAAAACTATTTCTGGTGTAAATGCACAACAGAAGAAACCTTCGCCGATTAAGAAAATAATAAACTTGACAGAGAAATGCGCTTTCTTTAAAAATCACCATAAAATTTTTCAGATCATGACTTTGGTCGTATAGGTACAGACAAGTTACAGCGGAATGTGCACATTTCCTCACGTCTCTCTTATCTGACCCTGTCAATGCACCGGAAAACATTTTAGATTTATGATCTCCTGGTAAGAAATGCTTAGCGAGAATTCATTCTTTTTCCTCCACGATAGGACACGACCCTGATAGTTAAGGATTGACTCTCAATCTCTTTATCCAGAGTCAAACGTGACAGCCATTAAACAATGCTGTGTCTCTCACTTAAGTATTCCGTTGAAAGGGAAACAGTGAAATTTCTGCCGTCTACGAAACTACAGTAAAAACGATAAGAGACTTTTTCTTGCTGGAATGATTTACTAAAATCTTGGGATAAATTTCTTGTGACTACTTCCACTGAGTTTACCTTTTTGCCTCTAAAAAAGATTAAAATTAACCTCTCCTAAATTACAACATCGTACAATATCTTCTGAATGTGAATAAAACACACAAATCTGTCCACCAAAGGGCGTTATCTTGATATAACAAAAGAGAGGCAAGAAGAATTACTACATTGGATCTTGAGAGCTGACAGGTTAATGAATCCTTTGTTTGAAGCACATAAAAGATGGACATTGTAACTAAGATATCTAACGTGAAAAACATAAATCTTTTGCAATGGACTGCTGAGTCTAGTTGTATTAAGGGCGGATAACGCTATCCAGCGGATAAATCGCTATTCAACAGAAAGTGTTCACAAAACATAGTGCGTTATCCACCGGATAGAGATTCATCCAATGGATATCATCGTCCACGCTTCAAACAACCCAGGCCTGGAGTTAAATAATAATAATACAATAAGTTTTCAAAAAAATAATACTACTTCTAAACTTGAAAAATGTTTCAGCATTAATTGTTGTGTGTATAGGGTGGAGTTCAAAAGAAAGACTGACAAACCTCATAACCTAAATACGGTGCCCCTTGTTTCCTTGTCTCAAGTTCTAAGAATTGTTCTAATGGAACATTTTTGGCAAAGAAGTGAAGACAAAGTTTCTTTGTGATGTCCAGTTCTGACACATACTCCTCATACAAATGAGAGATCACATAGTTTTCTTTAGTAATCTTGACGGGATTTGTTGTTTCTCCAAGCTCTTCTACGACCTCTCTATTAATGGCAGTCTCTAGATCTTCAAAATCGTCCACAAATCCTCCAGGAAATCCCATTCGGCCATCAAAACGAAGCTGCATCTGAGGAAATACAAAAATAACCTGACTGTTGAGTTCTGACAAATCTGACGAGCCGTAAACCCACCAATTTTTAAGTTGAAATAGAGGACTTCAAGTAGTTAAGCTCTCACACCAGAATTGTATTTCTATTTTGCAACTGCTCATTACTACTTTGTTCACGGGAGCAGGAGTCACAAAGCACCCTGCCCTGTTGAAGATACCAGTTGCAAGCACATTTCTATTCTGGTGATGTCATTAATCATTTTATTTATTTTTATTAATCTATTTTTCCTTACTACTTACCTTACTAGTGAATTTTTTTTTCTAGAGCTGATTGGCTCGCAAAGAGGTTATCAGCCATGCACTATTCACTTTGGAGAAGGTAAAGAGCAAACAGTAGCTAAAAATTTGACTAATAGTAGATTGCTTCAATAAATGAGGCAGCTCTTCCAAAAAATTCATAAATGTCTAATTGACAGCAAAATCTTATTGTGGTGGCATCAGTATTCCACTACAAAAAAATCAAACTTCCCATAATACTTTAATCTTTGCAAAAATAGTTAGACAAAAACTCAGGTTTTGCATCATTGGCAAGAAATTACACTAACTGACAAACTACGCTAGGAAAGATTGAAAGGATCATCCAAAATTCACAATAGGAACTTTTGCTGTCAATCATTTTTGTTGAAAGAAATCTACCCCAGCCACAAGTGAGCTTAACATGGTAATATTTCACCCATTTAGTTTCTGATTATATGTTGATATCTTCAAAAATAAATGATTTTAAGGTCTGCTAGTTCATGAGCTTATGTAACACATCTTAAAAAGCATTCGTAAGAGTGTTGGATATTCTCCCTCCTACAAAATATCCATTGCCATTATTCAAAAATTCCAAAATTAACATCTCCACATTTACATGTAAATGTAAACTCCCAAAGCAAGAATCTGCATCATTTTTCCCTCACCAGTCCACCCATAATTCTGCCAACTGGCACATATACGTTATGTTACTTCAGAGTAATAATGTGAATAATGCAATAGATAAAGGCAGAAATTTGCTGAAAGAGCTCAACTTAAAATAAACTACATGTTTACCCAAACCAGAACTGAAATAGCTGAACCAAGCTACAACACCTTATCAAAAGGATTCAAAATATCCTTCCCAAGGAAAATTAGTTTGGAATGAATTTGTCAATAGCAAATGTGTCATTACATGGGTTGACATAATATCCAAGAACTATTCTTTGTCTAATAATCCTTCAAAAAATGTCACTCAGGAAGTCAAAAATGTCAGCTATTTATTTACAATGAATTAATCAATGTTTCTTTCATTCATTGAATATCTGAATTCTCCAAAACAATTTTTTTTTTTGTTGTAAAAAGTTGAGCAAAGTTTTGAGTTCTTTCATGAGTCAAACCATTTTGGAAAAAAAGTGTACCCTGTGTCTTGAGTACAGCTCTTGATGGGTATTCAAGACCACCAACACAGTTTTTCTACTATGAACCTCCCAGTTAGTAAGTAACATAACAGATACTGACGAGATACTTTCTCTCTGAGTTTTCAGAAAGTTTGAGAACACTACACAGACGTGGGGCTAGAAAACTAGGCAGATTTTGTAGTCAACATGATGACCCTGCTGCAGATATAGAGAATAATACATGGGTGTGCATAGATATGGAATTCCTCATCAAAAGTTTAACCCAATAGCTCACGCGTGAAATGTCGAGTTGAACATGAGAAGAGAAATTTCATATCTACAAGCATCTACATGTATTATTTTGTTTATCATATGAACACAATAGTTTTTTACTGAAGAGAAAAGTCAACCTTATTAATGAATCAAAACAAAAGGATCAACACTCCAAATAACAATTGTAAAGTGCATTGGTACACTCACAGTGTAAACATACATTAAATCACTACAAAAACAAACAATGGGCCTAATTTTCAATCAACAAAATTCTGAGTTATTCAATAGGTTCTTACTGACTGAATAAATCCTTCAAGTACATGACAAAAAATCGGCCTGTGGCAAATCTTTTCGTTGCTGACTTTCATTCTCAGCTACAAGAAATGCCTTCACCAATTTAGCCACTAAATACATAACTTTCCGTTTTACTTTTTGTATTTTGATTTTCTTCCCCTTCTGGAAAGTTTGAACATCGCTGTCTGAAAGCAATAGACAAATTTGAGTGTTTAGCAGCCATAATCCAAAAAAATGCTGACAAACAACAATAGATTGAGAATGGTAAAGGCTTTGCCATTCATTCATCAACCTGACCAAAAGGCGCCAAAGGCAAGTAATGTGACAGCAGCTGATTGGTGATACCAAACACATATAACAATATACAGTATTTTATCACGTGTGTTGTCACGGCTTTTCTCAGGACTGGAAATCCTTGTAGAACACCGTAGTTTATATCACAAATTGGATTATTATGTCAACTTCACACGCTATTGTATGTTGACTGTATGCTCTCCACCAATCAGAGTACTCAGAGTGATTCTAATGTATATAATGTATATCGATTGAATGTTGTCGACCAGAGTCAGAGTAAATTTAACGTATAATAATGGACGTAACTGGCGTATCCTTTTATCAGTCGATGAACAGTGTTCTTTCAAACCTAAGTCCACAATATCAGTCAAGTGTTCATGCATACGCCTGATTTGCTCTAAAAAACATTAGTTAGCGATAAAGAGATCTTTCCATTACTACTTTGCAGGTGAAATCATATTTTCATTAACTTCTGTACTGAATGAAGACTAAAGGGTACAAGCATGACTAACTGGTACTTACCAGGACAGCCTGTTTCAGTGGATAAAAGCCAAAAAGCTTTTCTTCCACAGGCGAATGTAACATTACATGACAACAGTGCTTGTAACCTTGAAGAGCCAAGGAATTGGCGCGTGAAATAACACTCATACCGCATGAAGCCATTATACAATTACTAACTAGCGACGGAAGCCATCTTGAATTTTTCGTTAGCGAAAAGACTGGGGGTGAATTTTCCAGCCCATTTCCCCAGCGGGGCATCTGGGTTCTCCTTGGTGCAGCAGGTGCTTAGCTAGGGACACATGTAAGTAAAGACTACATTGCTTCAGCGGTCACCCTATCCAGTGACCCTTCAAGGAAGGTAATCCTTCCCAGTCTCATCATTTCATCTTTCTTTCTTGGGATTAACAGAGTATTTTTTAAACGACAGTGAATATATGAAAGTCATATAATTGAACTGCGGATATGAAAGTGATCTTCGTGGTAATGAACACTACTTGAGCAGTAGTGAAAATAAGGCCTGAAAAAAAAATTCAGGTCTGTACAGGATTTGAACCCATGACCTTGGACCAACTCCCAGTTAGCTTGTTAGCTCAGTTGGTATCGCATAGGTCATGGGTACAAATCCCGTACAGGCCTGAAGTTTTTTTCAGGCCTTATTTTCACTATTGCTCAAGTAGTGTTCATGACAGAGAATTTTTTCGGTGGTTTTGATAATCTTCTTGGCCTACAGGGTGAAGTGATTAGCCACAAGCCAAACCGCTCACCTGAATGACCAGGGGTTTTCTATCAGGGATTTCTTTCCAGTAGCCATGGGCTTCATTCATTTAAAGGCAAAGGAAGCCCATCTTTCACGACTTTCGTTCTAAGACTATCAGGGGCTAAAGTAGTGTGGCCGTGCAACATTGCTAGAGCCTATGTTAAGGGACACTGGTTTCTCCACACTTATAAAGTCAACGATAGTGACACTTAAACCAAATAAAAGTGCTTGGTGGCCAAATCAGCCACCAAATGTAGCTGTGATTTGTAATGTAATCATATTCTCACTGAAATCTTTAACAGAGGACGGAAGACTTTCGGTGCCGAGCCGCAGGAACACCCGATTTCCTCTCAGGGCAATGACTCTCGTCATCGTGATAATCTCTAACGTCTCACCTCTCAGCTTCTCATCTCACCCACACTCTTCAATGTTGTTGTGAGTTGTTTATTCAACACAGAAAATTACACAGTACTTAAGGTTTTTTAGTTTTTTGTTTTGTTTTATTTTTTTCATTTAAAAAAATAATAACTCCATGTTAGCGTGTAGAGTTGTATGTTGCTCGCACCGATCAAATCGCCGTATTAGGGTATGTATCTCGCGCCAATCAGATTGCCGCATTAGAGTATGTACCTCGCACCAATCATATCACAGCATTCGGATATCATGCACCAATTACAGCGTTTGGGTATTGTTTTCTTGTAAATGATGTCATGGGATTAGGGGGCTGTGCACAAAAATGACAGTAACCAGCACACGCCAAACAACTTACATTTCATCACCTACTACAAAAACAATGTCCAAAGTCCAATCAGAACATACTCAGTCATTGCACTACATGAACATCAAACAATTTTTTAACGTGCTTGAATTGTGTTCTACCAATCAAATTCCATTTTGCCATATTAGACTTCGCTCCATCACGTGTCATTTCCTTAACAACCCGCATTTTATCACGTATTCTAATCGCTTTACTCAACACCACTGAAAAAAATTCACATGAAATTTTATGTTACTGATAGTGAGTTTTCCATGCATTCTTTTGCGTTTGACTTTTTCTATGAATAAAATTCGCTTTCAGCTACCTTGGAATTAACCCAATTGCGTGTTAATTCCTTCTAAACAAACTGCATCTTATCACGTATTTCACACACAGAGGGTAAAGTCCAGATAGGCAACAACCAATCAAGGAGCCCTCTTTGAAATATTATCCTTTCTCTTGCTCGGTGTATTTTCCCTTATACGAGACCGCAATATATCTTTGTTGAGGGTCTATTGGACATACAGCAGTTCCAGTCTGCTTTTCGCAGTAAAACTACGTGGAATTATATTTCTGAGGCGACTAACTATAGACGAATAATTTTGATTTTCTTTCTGTTAGAGGAACGGCAGTAAGTGTAGGCTCTTTCGCAACCGTTATTTGGTCTCGTCACGCAATGGCTCTCTCTCCAACGGCGAGTAGAGGGCGCTGTGTAACGAGGCCAACCAACGGCTGCGAAGGAGACTACAGTAAGCGCGGCACCGGTGCATTTCATTTTTGCTCAGAAGTATTTGGACAACTTCCCAAAAAATTCCTGCGTAAGTTTATAAAAATTGCTTTTTTTCTTTCTCTTGAAGTGAAGTAATGCGATATTTTCGTTCTTTTGAAAGTTATGAAAACATTGGGAACACGAAGAGTCCCATCTCGACCTACCCAGCTAAAAAAAATTTCTCTTGCATGCTACGCATCCGACGTGATGCAGACGCGGATCACCGAGAATGTGATTTAAAGCGGGCAAAGTATGAATGGTTCATTACCAAGCCTGCCGCAGCCCAACTGCAATTGCCTACTTCACCCTCTGAAACATCACATTTCGGTGTAAGCTAAAAACCCACATTTCTTCGGCAGTTGGCGAGTCAACATATACCCTATCCTCACTGGTAAGCATACAATTTCTCGACAGCAACCGCAGCAATGTGTCAAGTTCGGGGCAAATTATTCAATATCAGAACCTTAATTCCTATGAATTGGGATTCCAACCAGCCTGTTTGAGACAGATGAGCGCAACCACAAACTTTCCTGCGATAATGTAAAGATTATGAGGAGAAATTTGATCCTGATCGTATTTGGGGCGTAAGGAGCCAACAAAACGCACACATGTGATCTGAACATCATATACTTCCGTGCTACTGCATCATTTACAGTGTAGTTAAATATTTAAAATATACAATTTTATAAGTTAGGAGATGATACTTTGAACTTTGCGCAATTTCATTTAAAAGCCTCGTCTGCAAAATTTGTACACAAATACAGCATTTCATTAAAATAAAGGTATCTATTAACTAGCCCATCAACCGTATTACTTACATCACTACGTCAAAAAAATTCTAATTTTCGCACACAGTGCGCGCCTATGATTGGAGACTATTCATTTCTGAAGACAAGTTAAAAGAAGTGGTCAATGCACAGCATTACTTCAACACGCAGTGCTTCAAAGTCACATATACACTATAAAATAACGTGGAATGATAACAAAATCTTGAAAAATTACTCACGAATTCAAATACACAGATCAGCGATACACACATATAAAACTCACAACATGCGATATCGCACCCGCTTGCGAAGGCATGTTTCTTTTTATTTGTTGACGATTCAGTGAGACTAGTATTGACATTCAAAGCGAATTTAAACATCCGAAGTTTCCTCCTTGTCATATGCGGCTAAAGCGAGATAGGTGGTTTTCTGGTGTCGACAGACAAATGAATATCTAAATACAAATGAATATCTAAACTTGACAGGAAGAAGAGAACACAACAGTAGTATGTTCTTGATGAAAATAAGTCGAAACTAAACAAAGATTGAACTTTTGCCAAAATTTCTTTAACATTCATTGTCTGCGACAAAACGTTATTTGGTTCATCGGTCGTCCAGCAATGAATTTCCTCTCTTTCCTTCTTTAGGTGCCTTTAATTAAAACTTGCAAAAATCAGAGAGCAAGCAAGCTTGACACCTTCCACAATCATATAGAGCCCATTTTTCCGATATATATTTTTCATTTCTTTATAAAATTTTGCAAATGCTTCACGCCCCGAGAAAAGCGCTGCAGCAGGCAAATTCATACTCGTATGTTACATTGTACTTCATTTCGAGATAATTTGATAATTTTTTCCATTTCAGTCAATTGCGCCGATATTGATAGAATCATAAAGCAACAGAAACGCTACAAATATCCTCCAGTATAAACACCCTGCTTTCCTATCTTGAGGAATGTGTATGTATATCTACGCACGCTCTAAAATAAATTAAGTCTTTAGCGTGAGATACAACAGCTGGATTTTTCTTCTGTGCCTTAAGCTTCAAGGTGAGCATCCTCTTATTTGAACTGGCCACTTTTCTCTCTCCCTGAGAGTAACATTATCAAACACATTGAGTTGTGTGACCATCCCTGACGTACGTCGCGCGAAATTGTGCGTGACAGATATTACAACTTGCACCATGTCTTCACAAAGAGCTCGGAGCTTGGAGAGAAGGCGGTTTTTTCTTGCGTCATTTAGTATCCGGCTACTGCAGTGAAAAATGGCTGGTACGCACCAAATGGACTGATAGGGGTCTCGGGTGGGGCCCCAAAGAAACCGATCTCTGAGTTCATCTTTCCAGCACGATTTAAGGAACAGGGTTCGGATGCACTTCGGTGGATCTTCGGCATAGATCGTATAAGGGACTCTAAAGATCCAAGAACCTGCAAAGGATTGTTTGAAAACTTTATCAGCAAAGCATTGGATCTGCCAACAACTTAGATTATCAACTTGACAATCATACCTACAGCAACAGTTTGAAAAGAAAAAACAGCAAAAAAAGAAAACCGATTATACAAAACCAATGTGTAACGGGTACTTGCAGTAAAGAGAAAGACATGGCTTAAAAAAACTATTTAACAGATGGTAGTTGCCGCTAGAAAAAAACGAACTTAGTAAGTCTGGTAAACAAATGTTGGCTTTAACACTGACCACAAATACTTAAAAAAATCTATACCTTACTTTAAAAATAAAACCAGTATGTATGTAGGTAACAAAAGGGTCCGTTGTGTTTCTGACGAAATCAATATCAGAGACGCACCTGAGCTGCGATCATTGTTTTGTGTTCTTAAGAAAACCACTTAACTTAAAAGGTGGCCGTAACCATAAAGAGTGTGTGCGGGCATCCGCGGGTTATACCCTATCATCACTCATACAAGTTCACTGACCTGAGTAAAGAGTGGTCGTTCATCTCTGTTGAACTTGATACAATCTGATAGAAGTTTTTTGAAACTCTTTGGTACGTCTGATCGAAGTTTATTTAAGTCAGGCCTAAGAAAACCTCGACCAACCATGTACAAGATCTGTGCAAAAAAAAAACAAACAAAAAAACCAACAAACAAAAAACAGAAAAAAGATTAGCAAAAGACAAACCACATTTCCCTTCACTCAAAGCGCATCTGATCAAACAACGAATGTTTAGGCCATCAGTGATTCGTGAAAACGAAGCTCGGCCTCCTGGAAATCATCACGCGAATAAGCCACCATCACTGAGTCACTCATTCTACATTGGCTATTGGCCGGTGGCTATTTTGAGACATGTTTCTTAATTCCTTCTTCTCCTGGCTTCTCTGTGTGAATGTGCGACTGTCTCTGTGTCTCTATGTAATATGCACGAGCCTATCACACGTGGCACCGATAATGAGCTGTGATAACGTGCAATCCACAGAAAACAATCCTACTATTTTCTCTTGGTGCTTCGAAATACCCAGGAATAACCACGATATGTCAGAAATTACATGCAATTGGAAAACTCATAAATTTAGTGATATACGAACCTGATCTTTATTTCCTACGTGGGGATAGGGTAACATACTAGTTTGTAGCTCGTAAAGTACAATTCCATAAGCGTAAATATCAGAACGGAATGAGTAAGGATTTGGATCCTGCATTCGAACCACTTCAGGCGCCTGCAATGAAGATTGAAAAACCTAACGTTTAATTGAAAACAAGTTCCTTCCATAACTTCGTCTGAAAAATATCAACCGGCACAGTAAATAGCCCTTCAAGAAAATGAAAGCAAACATTAAATGTAGAAGACAGGTATTGAATCGACGACACTATTGAGATGCGTTAATGGCAAGTCAGACAATCCGCTCATGTAATAACGGTAACTGATAAGCAAATTTTCAACCTGGAAGAGGTATGGAGAGCCAGTTCTCTTAACCTTGCGTTTGTGACGACAACACATCCTAGTTTAATATCATTGTAATTCAACAGTCGATGTTGTCTGAGACTATACCGAGCACCCATACTGAAATGACTTTTCGCGATCTTTGCATCGCTCTTGCTTTATTTCATTAAGGATGTACAATCCTGGACATAACTCTTATGGCTAAACCCTCTTCCCCACCTTTGCATTCTTGAGCTTTGTCTCTTTGATTCTACTGTAATCCATCATAGGGGAGGGGGGAACAGGATGCAGGAGGGGAAGAGGAAGGCTTGATCACTTACACAACATCGACAAGGGTTACCCACAATACAATGATAGAGAAGTAGGAAGTATGGACATCTTGAGTGTGAATTAACTTTAAAATGATGCAAAAAGGTTAAATGCGAACCTTTCATATCCCGACCTTGATCGACAAGGCTATCGCGAAGGCCACAAACCATTACACTTATCAACATTAGCCCAAATTTATGGTTTATGTCATACTTTGTGTACAGCCCCCTGATTCCTTGACATCATTTGCAAGAAAGCTGTGAGATGATTGGTGCGAGATGCATACCCTTAACGCTGTGATTGGTGCAAGATATCCAAATGCTGTGATATGACTAGTGCGAGATACATACCCTAATGCGGCAGTCTGATTGGTGCGAAATACATACCCTGATGCAGCAATCTGATTGGTGCGAGATACATACCCAAATGCGGCGATCTGATTGGTGCAAGCAACATACCACTCGACATGATAACAGAAAAAAAACCTCAAAAACAGTTCAAGAACCTACCATCCACAGAATGGATCCGGATGGTTGTTCGAAATTCTGGTTCCCACTCCACCGTGATTTGATAGTCGCTAAACCAAAGTCACCTATTTTAACTGTCAAGTCCTCCTGTAGAAAAATGTCTGTAAAAAGCTAAGGATATCACGACAAAAATCAACAAAATAACAGTGACGCCACAACCCAAACCTAACTGACTTCTAAAATATGTATTCTGTCATTAGGTTTGACCATTTGGTGCGCCACTAGTTTTTTCACCTGTCCACTGGGTAAAGTAGTGACGCAATAGGAAGAAACTATAACTAGTCATAGAGTGAGACTCATTAAAGAAATTGAAACGTCATGACAAAGAGGTGTCTATTAACGAAAGGATACTATTTGACTTGAGATCTCTATGGATTATAGACTTCGCGTGAAGATAACTGTGGATAAAAAAGATATCCATCAGTGCAAAGCTAAGACCCTTAACGGTCCATGTCTCACAATTGCAGAAATGGGTTAGAATGTAGAGGGGAAATATCCCCTCTATAGAGAGGATAAAATTAATTTACTGACACCTTCTTCGAGCAGACGCAAGGAGCAGTGATGTCCAAATCGTTCCCGGTAGACTGTGCAGCCGAACCTATGAGAACCAGCTGGCAAGCTTCTCGTAAATTATTCTTACGATAAGTATTTATCATTATCAAGAGCCAGAAAGATCAACACTATTAACAGTTTCACAATCAGCCATGAAAGACGGCGATCACCTCTGGAAATCGGTATTAGGAGTACAAGCTAAGGCTATAAACTGTACCAACTACAAAAAGCTCTATAATGACACTCTCCTCGATTCACCCACTCCTGGATCGTATTTTACATCACAAGAGTGGATTTTTCTTAAAATAGATACCAACTATTTGAAGCATAGAAAAATTAAACTTACTCCATTCCCTGTGCTGATTGTCTAGCAATGTCCAACAACTGTAGAACTTCAAATTTACTTTCTGTGACATGAAGATGACGGTATAAACTGGAGCCTTCACACCATTGTGTCACAATCGCTAGTTCTGGTTTGGCCATACAGCCCATAAATAACAGAATGTTGACGTGACGCGTTTTCCTGCGGAACAAGATCGATTATCAGATAAGAACACAATAACCCTAAGCCATGATCAGAGAAAATAAAACGATTTACTATGCATTACGGAAGAGAGGAAAAAAAAAGAGTATTTGGGGGAAATACTGGGAAAACTAATTTAGCAAGGATGCAAAAATAAATTTATACGATCGTACTTCACATATTTATTGACTTTTGTCTTTAACTTTAATTACCATTTCACTCACGGTTAAAGTATTATACCGCAAGCCTAAAAACGCCTGAATCATATTCGAAATTTCACTTTCACAGCTTAAAAAAACACCTAACTGAATAATTCTTATTGGAGGGCTGATATCAGTTTTCCCGTCCAGTTTCACATCAATTTTTAGCTTCAGCGGCAAATTTAACGAAGGCTGGAATGTTATCGGCATTGATTGACGCTATCTCACAGGATAGACCAAGTTACATCTCCGTACTCACCTCAATACTGCTACCTCGTTCTTAAATCCCTGTAACTGTTGAGGACTTGGTTCCGACACATTTAACGTTTTAATAGCCACTGCCCCTAAAGATTAAAAACAAAGCAACATCATACAAAGCCTACACAAGTACGTGTAGTTGTCTACTGATTCAACAATACCGATTCCATGGACTATAGTGTGGTTTCAACAGTGTGTGAGTGCTCTGCACGATGTTAGTTATCAGGATATAATAGACGTATTAAGGCATACCATGCCATGTCCCTCTGTAAACCGTTCCATATGAACCTGACCCTATTCTCGGTCCGCGATGAACTTCACCTTCTGGGATTTCCCAGTCGTCTGTGGAGTTAGTTCGCATGCGCTGCATCTTAAAAAAGAAGCATGAAGTTCTATTTGTAGTTGGATTTCAAAACAACGATAACCACTAGCCATCGTCAAACGATGCAATTAACTCTACAATCAAGAAACTAACAGAAATTTACACAATTTTAATTACGTCTATCTTCAAAAAGCTTGTGATAACAACAAAAAATGAACAAACTGCATTTCTTATTTTTTTACTTAGCTGCAAAGCAAGTTAATACATGTTTCTCTCCTCGAGTACTCATTGAAAATGTATCAGGTTTTCATGTTCATCTCTTCTCCAATTCACGAAGTAATTCTCCCACTCATGCATTTCTCATTTCTTATTTATTTATTCAATAATTTATTTGCTTGATTATTCATTTGCTCCATTATTCAATTTTTCCTGTATCATGGACACCTCTACAATTCTTTTCTGAATTGACAACCTATTCACAAGAGGAGTAGTGGTACCCCAAGTCACTTCACTTCATTGAAATCAGGACTCCAGCAATATGGGTCATCTTGAAAGCAGACTAAACCCTAATCTTCCTCATACAGTCTTCTTGAGCAGTGATTGTTGAACTTACCGATTTCTTGGGTTTTTGAGGGCTGGAGGGTGAGTGGCACATTACAGTGCCATTTGGTACAGACTTCGCAATAGGGTGTTCTATCCTGTTGGTGTGCTCATTATTTGGCACTAAGGAATTGTTGGCGAACAATCTTGGATTGGCATTACCAACACTTGAAGTCCGGCTGTGTCTCCTCAGCAGTAACTTGCTGGCTTCAACCGCTGCAGAAACATTATTTGCAGTTTATAAATTACCACAACGTTAAATACTTTACTTCAAAAAGCTAGACACAGGATAAGATTTAACAATAAAATGAAGAGAAAAAAGCTGGTTTGTAAACAGAAGAGCATGAATAATTGACACCGGTTTTTAGCACATTTGCAAAATAGCCATGAGACAAACTAGACTACTATTACCAGAATAGAGTAATTTAGTATCATCAACTGAGTTGATAACGTAAACTGGCCACCGTAAAGAGTTTAAAAGCTGACCTTTCAAGCGTTCGCCCTTCTTAATTGCTCTGACGAAGGGCTAACGCTCGAAAGGTCAGCTTTTAAACTCTTCGTGGTGGCCAAATTACATAATCAACTCAGTTAATAATATTAAATTACCCTGTTATATTCTCCCACCGACTCAGAACCACAGTTTCTTTAGAAACTTACCCCTTTATTCTGTTATCAGAATAGCCCTAACCCTAAGCCTAAGCCTCTACCCTACCACAGGATTCTTACTTGATACTGTTGGTGAACTCTCCTTGCCAAATGTGGGAACAAATGGTCCGCATCGATCCTATGGATGAAAGATAAAACATAAATTTTACCAAAACGACAAACAAAGTTGTCTTACAGTGTGTAAAGACCTGGTAATTGAGACAACTACTGAGAAAGCTGCATGTTTTGCAATATGCTACCAGAAAACCTTTTCACTACCATCTTCAGTGTCGAACGCACAGCTTGCATGCAAGGCTGTGGTCAGCTGCAATTTGTTAAATATTCAGGCCCGTACGGGATTTAAACCCATGACCTCTGAGATACCGATGCAGCACTCTACAAACTGAGCTGACAAGCCAACTGGAAGCTGGTTATTATGTTGATTCAAATACACCCTCAAAGTGGTGAATAAATGACTGTAAATATATGAAAATCATATAAATGTGAACTGCGATTGAAGAAACGAATATGAAAACGATCCTCGCAGTTATGAACATATGATTTTCACATATTTACAGTCATTCATAGTTTAATATGTTGCAAACTACATGTATGAATACACCACCACATAAGCCCCTTCCTGGTTCATTTCTAATTAGTTATCACACTTTTATTCCATAATTTAAATATAAACATACTATGTGTGGGAAAAGTGGCTGGCACACCTCCATTCAACATGATAAACAAAACAATCTCGTAATTCATCTCTATTGAGTAAATTAAATTTCCCCAACTTTTCCCCCAAACAATATTGCAAGAATAAGTGATTATTTTGCAAAACCAGGCAACACTGAAATGGAGAAGAGGGGGAAATAAATAAAAAATACATTGCATAGGGAAAAAATTTAAAAAAAAAATAATAGAGCTTGCCAAAACTTTGCCACTCTTTGCAATTCTTTAAATCAAGCAGTTCTCCAAACCTCATTTAAAGAACCTTTTCCACTTATGATTCTATATCTGTAAACATCTGGAGCAGATATTGAACGTTCTCTTGATTTGGAAAATACTTCATTTGCTGCCATGTCCGACCCATTGTCCTCTACATTAAAGAAGTCAAATTGTTTCTCTGAGAGTAACCTAAAATGTAAAAACAGGAATTTACTACATGTACCTACTATGCACAACAGTAGAACCCACCAACTTGAACTTTGTCAACAGGGAACTTGAACGAGATCCAACTTCCCTTGACCCCATTTGTTCAGTAATTTATTATCAGCTAACTCAAAACCCTGCTAACTCAAACCCTTTTTTTTTTGTTTCTCTTGAGAGTTCAAGTTTACAGGGTTCTCCTGCATTACCCACAGTGAAGATCTATTTTGAGATATGCCATAGTTATGGTAAAAAGATAATGTGTGACTCAAAAAAACAAAAAAAACAAAAAAAAACACATCAATGTGATCAGTGCAATTTAGCAGAATATGGTGATAAATGAAAATATAATGATAATTTCCCTTATTCTAAGTACACTGTATAGTTTGTTTCCATTTTTTTTTGTTATTCAATATAGTAAGAAAAACTGTAACTAGCAAGAATTTGAGCAGAAACAGAGCTAGAGAATGTAGAAAAAGCAGGCCATAACATTCCTCCCACAACAAAATCAACTCACAAGACCCTACACTGAAAGAAAAAAATTAACAACAGAGTCTTCAACTTTCCTCATAATCAGCCAATTGTTGAGCATATGAATTCCAAGATGCTCTACATACATAAATGGATGAAATTCATGTATTTAACATTATTGTGTTTTGCTAAGAAGGAAGATGACATCATAGCCACTGGACACAAACAAAAGCCATGGCAGATCTTCAGTTCGTGACACCTGAGTGAAAGGTCAAAGAAACCTATGACCCACCCCACCATAGACAAATTGCAACTGCAACAATTTGCCTTGAGAAACATGGAGGAAGTGTGTGAAAAGCATGGTCTCTACAACAGAATTTGTCCCTACAATCAATTACAGGAGTTCAACCCAGTTCGAATTAGAGCCATAGATCCACTGATTGAAAGGGCATATACTGGTAATACAATTTTCAATCATAGTCCTACAAGACACATTATTGCAGTGTAGCATTTATCCCAGGAACTTGTTGCCCTGTTTTCACTGATTTTCAATAACTTTCTTAGTGGTGTCTAATGAGTGGACATTGATGTGTTATAGGTATGGAGTGAAGTCTCTCCTTCACAACTTTCTTAGCCCACTATCTCCACATCCCTAAGATCTGTCTCTGTTACTGGCCTATAGTTTCAGTATGGCAAAGGTGAATGCAAGATTATGAGTGAATCAGTCAAGCAAAAGAAAACTTTTGATCTATATCAGAAAACTACATGTGTATATATATGTATGGTGGATATCCTTGTGATATAGAGCAGAGAGATACAAAAATAATAAAGGAAAAGCCACGCCATCCTCAAACTAACAATTTCAAATTATTCCATTTTTCCACCATCCAATCAAACCAATACATACACATGTCTTCCTCCCTAAGTAAAGACAGTCTACAATTACTGCTAAGAATGAGTAAGACATTACAAAACCTTTGTTTTGCATTTACTACATTACTAGCTAAGATGTCGTTGGATACAATCATGATCTCCACAAAGGTAAGTATAATATTATATAGAAATAATAACATAACAATAATAATAATAATAATAATGATGATAATAAAAATAATAATGATGATAATAAAAATAATAATCATAATAATCATAATAACAATAAGAAATTGCGAGTGGCTTGTTTGCTAATTAGTGCTCATGGGTATTGTTGCTCTTCAAGAGCAAATTAAACTATTTACCACAGCACTTTAAAGTCTCTCCTAAAAACAAATTGCCAGATGTAGACATACAATATTCAAATTTTATTTTGCAATGATTTTGGTTATCTGTCACAAATTTCCTTGCACTAATTTACAGCTTAGATTGCACAAGGGTCATACTTTATCATAAAGAGAAAGAACACTTTCAATTTTAAATCTTTCTATTTATGTACCATGATGCAAATTAATCTGGTCTGGAACTAATGAAAAACATTTGAAATAAAAATTACATTGCTACAGGCAGGCTGCCTTCTCAAAGCCTTGTTTAGCTCGATCAGCCTCCTTCCTTTTCTATGATTCCTGACAAAACCATGCACAGGACAACACCATGATGACCACTGATGCTTTTCTTGAGATGTGCAGAACTATTTTCCTTACATACAATCTATCCTAAAATATCCAACTCACTCAAGAGTCAAATACCTACAGTAGTTTAACCTGCATACAATGAAAGAAGTATTCCCTTTCCTTTAAATATAGCCCCAAGGGCTCTTGACCATTGTAACTTAAATTTGAAATAATCATTCATAAAAAAATTTGAACTTTTACCAAATAATTCTCAAACTAAATCATATCCATGTACTGTGAGTGCACTATATTTGAGAAAACTGTAAATTTAAAAAAAAAGTTATATTAAAACTCACCCTACGAAAGCTTCCTCACAATAGGGAGGAACAATTGCTGCACACCTTTGATGGAATTTGTAACCACAAATCTGACATCTATGATGCAAAACCCAAGATTTATTTATAAAATGTCAATTGAAAAACAACAAGGTCAAATGCTAAAAATAAAAACTAAATGAATGGGACTGTTTTACACAATACAAGCACAATGGTCGAAGTATCTGCTGAACTGAACAAAGGATATCCAGGACACCATACAATGCCAAAATGTGAGGAAAAGTGAAAGCCTTTCAATGAATTGAAGTGAAAAAAAATGAAAGGACTGTTTACCTGTATCCAATCCATAGACGCTGTTTACAACAGTCGCAAAATGGGAAAGATAAAAATGTTTTCTTGGCCTGCAAAAAAAATTGCATTGATTAGTCTCATTAGCACTGGTAACATCCCTAACCCAGTTTGTCTTGATTATATGTAAAATCTTACACTACAATTTTTCTCCATCTCTTTACTTGAAAATATACCTAAAATATTGATTATTGCACAGCTTAAGTTTCCTGTAATAGGCCATTTTACATCTGTGTACTTAGTTGCCAAGCCTTTGATTTGGAGTGAGGCTGAGGGTCACCTTGTTGTGATAGAGACAAGAACCTAGTTAGCATTATAACATTAGTAATTTGCATTTGAAAAGTAGCAAGGTTTGTATCATAAAAAAGTTAACCTTGGCCTCACACCTGTTCAAAGGCTTGGCAACCACGCACACAATTGTAAAATGGACTATTGTGCTAATTTTAATTCTTACTTCTCTACAACCAACGATTATTATAACAAAGCATACACTCAAGTACTACTTAATTCCTAAGGAGTTACCATGGTAAAAATCCTTCTGCATGCACAACTGTTCATGTGCAGTTTCACTTTAACTAAAAGTTCCTGTCTAATCACATCCCAGTAACTTAACAGGTCTCATAAATGCAAGAAATTCATAAGTTTTTACTTTGCTTTTTGAATGGCTAACATTATTTTTTAGTGTTGATATTTCCTAAAAGTATCACACAATGGAAGATTTTAACTTTCAAACCATACGGTTTCAGAATTTTCAAAATTTTAAACTATGCAATTTTCTGGCTGTGAACTCAAGCAAACAACAATTAAAGCATGCTACTGTACATGGTCTTCTACATGCAAGAAATTTGCTTTTTTTTTTTGCATCGGAGCAGAAAATTATCAAATCTTTGAATAGAGATTGGTCACAAAATATTTCTTAGTCATTTCTGCCTTGGCATTTATGTGTAGTTTTTGGGTAGAACACGATTACGAGGTAAAACCAGACACAGTTGTTCAAGTAGTAAACTTTTTTTTTTTTTTTTTTTTTTTTTTGAGCACAACTTGTCTGAATGTAATGTTATAAAAAAATTGGTTTGTGTTTTAGCTCTACATATATCAAGTTATGGATGCACTTGGGAGGTTTGGAGAACACTCAAAAAAGCAATTCTCTAGTGCTATCCAAACTCCCTGTATGCATCCATAACTTGATGCACACATGCTATGCATGGACTGATTCTTAACTATTGGCAGGAAATTGATGTATTTAGAATTAACTGTTATCCAGTACATATCACACTACAAAAGGATAAAACCAAAAACAACAAAAATTATTCAGACTTACAAAAGAGTGGTTAAACTGGCCAGTAGTCGGAAGATCATCAATTCTCTCAACTGATAGCTGCAAAGATGATTAAAACAGTTTGTTAGCAACATGCAAAGGAACATTCTTGCACATGCAAAGGGTTAAACACGTGTAACAGTTTCCAAATTATTCAGATCTTGAACTTCAATTGCAGAAAACTACTATCAATGTTTCTTTTTTTTTTCCTTGGCCTCAAGGAACAGGTTACATGAATGGTACATCAAATAAAACAGTTGATGTATGTAACTACATGTATCATTCTAATCCATTCGCCAGAGATTTCCAAAATGCATTTATTCACCCTTTGTAACTGGCACCCTTCACAACTACTAATTGCAAGCAAATTTCTTCTAAACAGGTCATTTTCTTTACATTATTACTCTCAACAACCTGCAGCTTGAGATATGTTAAGTGCTGGCTTAAAATCAATGTTACTATAAAATCCAACCAGAGCTTTCCAATTAATGAGGAAAAGTACTGGCAATAATGCTCAATAAGAAGTCCATTTGGAATCTTCAAAACTCTTTGAGTCTCTTTAGAAACAATTACGTTTGAAAGAAAAGAAAGCAAAAAAAATTAAAGCCCTTCCATGAAAAATCTTTCACCATTTTGATTTTAAAATGTTGGCATTGTTACAGACACTTGTGCACATAGAACTAATTGATGGATGTTATGCCAGTCAATTTTTCAAAGTTTAATTCATGAAAATTCCCCTCCATGTGGACATGGAGGGAAACTAAAGTTTTCTCATAAATAATTAATATTCTTTCCTGGGGTTACCTCTTCTCCATCCATGAGGTTTGACAGTTCAGTGTCCCACCTAATAATATCTCTGTGCAAAAAACAAAATTAACTCACAGAATTAGTTTGCAAGTTCTAACCATTGAGAAGAGAGGAGCTTTACATAAAGGTGGGGAATGGTGCAGCAAGTACAGTGTATGCATGTCTGCAGATCTAGACTTTATTTCAGCAATTGTATCTCACTAGCAACAATGAATTTCCTCCTGTGAAAGAAAATGCTGAGCAGATTTGGTATCAGCCTTGATTTTATCCCATCTAAGAGTGATCTTCAACTGGCCTTAGCTGTTACTGATATGAAATTGACAAACTCTAGTTCTTTTGGTTTAAGGTTATTGTATCATGGTATAATCACAGAGCTGCCAAAAATAGCAATTAGCCCACCAAAACCAACAGTATATAGCCCACCAAACCAATGGCAAGTATGCCATCTTTGGCCAGCCACTTTCAACTCATTTCAACATAATTGCTGATGAAAAATGATACAATTATTGAGACTCGGTCAGAGTACTTTGTACATCTGTGGAATTGGAGTGGAGTGGAATTGAATGCGTAATTTACTAGCAACAAGTCTAAATGTGTGATTCCTCATTCAGATTTTGCTTAAGGATTTGTGAGCACTTCTCTGAAAGCTATGAGACTGCTAAGCTGAAAAACTCCCATAACTACATGTAAACTGACAAAAAAACATGGCATCCACTACAAAATTGCCATTTTAATTATTCCTTATTTGCCCTCTAGGTACTTTGAAACTTATTGAAAGCCCTGTTGTTGGAAACTGTTAGGTGGCCCCTGTTTAAGTCCTTTCATTGTAATGGCAACCAAGATTCATGGTGACCATATCAAATTTGATATCTCATAAAAATTCATAACTAGTTTAATTTTGTCATCAGCTAACAACCTGGAACTCATAATTGCTTTTCCATTCACTGGACACCAACAGCAAAGAAATGAGCCTTTATGGTGACTCTGCTCACAAATATATTAAAAATGTAATTGTGAGAATCTTTTACTTCAGGTGATCAACTCACTTCAAAATCTCTTTTCATTTTAGTTTCCTCTTTTACCAAATGATGAGTGATGTTATAAAACAATTTCTAAAACTAGGTAATTTATTACAGTACTAAAACATTATGTGTATTGATGTTTTAGAGAAGGTAAATGTCCCTGAGACAAATGTTTAACAACAGTACACCCCACTACAGTATATCTAATACAAACATTATTGACAGTGTGGCTGAAATGAAAGTTGACACTCCCTCAAGCCTCAAGGCTCTTGCAATTCATTAACATTGACTTCATTAAATTCCAAAGCTTATCCTTCCATTTTCAACTAATGTGTCTTTTAAATGTTACTTTGGTTAAAGAAGTTGTTTTCATTTAACATCTCACTAATTTCTGAACTTGTTCAAAAAACGATAGACTGTAATCAACAAACTCCTTGCAGAATGAATCCTGTTGTCTATTGTATAGCTTAATATGTTAATTTTATAATATTAGAGAGCTCATTTTGAATCTTCAAACTTGTTTTATCGTATTTCACTAAACATGTCAGATACAATGTAAGTTTCACACCCTTTTAGGTTGTGCTGTCTTTCCATGGTTTGACTGTGAGCCTTGAGGAGTAATACATATATAGTTCTGTGAGATTTTTTGTGTTTGTGTTGTAAGGTTAAGACAATTTCAAACTACAGCATAGGTCAGTTTTCTCTTTGAAAAAAAAAAAAATACAAAACAAATTCATTAGAATTCATTTTGACAAACCTAAATACATTCCCAAAATAAAAGTTTTCGAGACATCAGACAATGGCATTATGCCAGCTGGCCACTAATCAATGTCTGTTGTGTAGATTAGTAAGTACTTGTTACAATGAAAGGGTTTCCTTAAAAAAAAAAAAAGTTTGTCAGATGAAGTACAACTTACAGAAGAAATGTATGAAAAACTGTTGAAAAAATTTGTTTTTGTTTGTATTATTACCAGCAGTGAGTCTTGGTTGCAAGGCAGAGACTATTTTTCAATACAAAAGAGAAGAAAAAATGTTTTATAGTCCTACTGACTAAGCTCAGTAGTTCGAATGTGAGTGTAATAGAGATATGAAGGCATTTTCTGTCTGTTATTAGCTTCATGGGAAGCCACTTCAGTCTAGTGGCAAAATGGAAAGTATGGAATTTGTTTTCATACTTTTCAATCAAGTTAGGCCGCGATAAAAGGAGGCAGAACATCAAGCACTCTGTTATCATTTATGTCCTACATTCAAGAATTAAGCTGTATTCTTTATATCCTGACATCAAGATCCTCAAAACATTTGATCTTCTAAAATTGAAACTAAACATTCACAACTCAAGTCCCCAATCTCAAAACTTTTGAGTAACAAGGATCAAGTTTCAAGTCAGGAATGTCAACTTACATTTCAGCTGTACTGTAGGTCAGTGTTTTACAAACTGATAAATGATAAGGTCACTAGTGGTGTACGTGCATAACGTCAAAACTCACCTAGTTTGAAAATTACATATTAAACAAGTCTCTGGTGCTAGACCTCTTGTTCTCATTCCTTTATCTAATGCTTCTCTCAGCGTCACGTCTGGTTTGCACTTAACCTTAAAAAAACAAAATACTCTGTAAAATCTGCAAAACACAGGCTAGCAATTTTTCCTTACCTGTGTTACAAAATGAACATCTGCAAATCAGAATCACTAATCATCCCTTAAAGTTTCGTGAGGCACTCCGTGACTATTTACTGTGTTGTGTGTGCGCCAGACAAATTGGCCACCTGGTGGCCACAGTATGGGGCCAAAAAAACAACTAAATTTGCATTAAGTCCATCAAATCAGAACATTTGGTAAACCACTTCAGCAACCATGTGGTCATAAAAGGGTAACCAAGAGGGCGAGCATTTTTTTGCAGTGACACGCACTGGGTGTGTTTTTCACATTAAATGGGTGGGAACTGCACAAGCATCAAGCATGCAAAATTTTACAAGTACAATGCACATGAATGATACATGTACAGTGCATTGTCCTTTACCTGTTACAAAACTATTTTAATGAAATGTTTAATACTGCAGATTATCCTTTAAAAATACACAGAAAACCCTTCCAATAGATCAATACACTATCTTTGACTTCTGCCAACTAATCAAGAGCAGAAGTCTATGGTTATTCAATGTAATTGTATTAATACAAAAAAATAATAATTTCAGGACACAATAAAGTTCCTTATGATTACTTCCAACAAAAGTTAGAGTCTTTGTTCCCCATTAAAATAAACTACTAACAGCCTGGGGACCAACTATCTGAAAGTTTATTAGTTTACAAATATTGCAGCCAAAATAAACTCCCTGTCCCCTATTACCAAGACTTGCATGTACATTTTGTTGAAAAGGAGTTGAAATAATTACTGATGCAAGTTCTCAGTTGCTGAATATTATTAGTAGTTATGCTTTCATTCTGAGCAGGGATCTTGCTTTTCCATTTCCTTTTCCATTTTCCTTTGCTTCACTTCCTAAGGGGATGCAATCTAGTTTGTATTCTGCTGTAACAATTTCGTGCGGTCCAGTTCTTAAACACACTATAACTCAAATGACAGAAAACTTAGTGTAAAATCTAAGCTGTTGAAGCAAAGTAATAACAAAACATAAAAGACCTACAACCACTGGTAACTCCCATTCACCCTCAACAGGTACAAGTATCTGGTTAACTTTCAAAAACACCACACACATTTTATAAATTTACATACCACTGTGTACTGATGATTAGGGAGTCTCACTCTTATGTGGGCACGTAGAGGAGGTGAAAATGGGTGATCACTTCCAGTAAAACTACTTCTTGAACTTGGTATTGGTGATGTAGCACCAGATGAAGATGGGGTTGTACTATGGGGGCTGGGCTCTGCAGATGAAGTTGAGCATGTTGCTGTTCTTCTCTCTAATAGGACCTTTTCTCTTGTTGTTAACTCAGTAAGTCTTTTCTGCAAGTCCACATATTCCTGAAACAAAATATCAACTTGAAATAAAGTGGTAAGTTGTGAAAGTTAGGACACTAATCAGCAGCACAGCATGATGATAACATTGGTCAACAGACTTAGTAAAATGGGGATTCAAGTTGTAATCGGTTTTATGCTATTTGATCGACGTACGTAATTGTAACTCAGAAAATAAGCAGAGAAACAAATTTAATCGCTTAGAAGTAGAAAATCCATTTAAAGAACACATTCTGTTACGAACGCAAATTTACGCTCCCGCAAGATATCGTATAGATAAGCCAGTGGCGACTAAGAAGAGAATACTGGCTAATTACCTTTTATCACTAGAATTGTTTATGAACTCAAATCGACATAAACAGATTAAGCCATTTCTCACGTCCGCACGATTCCTTCGAGAACGGAATTGTACCGTATGTCAATTCCCTGGCACCAAAGCATCACAGCAACACAGAAAAGTAGATTAAAATAATTAAGACCAAACCATGTCGCATAATATTTTGCGACGTACAATGTTGAAGACATTACGAACACAATGCGAATACCAATGTTGATGATCAAAATCGAAAATCACAAATTTCTTTGAGAAGTTCTCATCGGCTGCTCTCAAACGGTGATAAAATGTAACTGCGACCAGTGAAAATTTTTAAAGAGGTAACACACCAAAAAATCAAAATTAACATGTTCGTCAATCAGAGCTGGCAAACAACAACAAATCGCCGATCTATTGCTCGAGCGGTGAACTTGATTTCTTGTTCGACTTTGTCAAATATCATGACGAGCATTTCTAAATAAATATTCAATCAACCTAACGGATGGTCGAAATTTCAAAATCTTATCGCTCACCAAGTTTACAATGCGTCAAAAAGCAATGACTTCATTTCTCGAGAATAAATACAAATAAGATTGCAGACCATTGCGTCTAGTCTGTGACTCACGCACCAAGCAAAACAACATCAATCGTGCAAGGAAATAAACTGTAAATAAAATTAAATGATTTCGTAGAGTAGTCATATAGCAGAAGGAAAAAGCTAAAATTATGTGTATTAATTCATCGCTTACAATTTGAATTTCTCGTGGCCGAGATTTCGATTCATATCCTGGCTGACAAATTGAGATAATACTGCAAAACGTTTTAGTTTTAACAGAAAATGCAAATACGCTTAAATAAAAGAATTTTTCAGACTGATGGCGGTTGCTACAGCTTAAAATATTTCGAAGATGTTTCTCTATCTGTGCTTTGTAGACCAATTTCTGATTATTTTCTGCGTGCAACCCAGTGAAAATTGTCACCCACCTCCAAGAAAATCGACGGAGGGTGCTGGACATTGATAACCTGTCCTTCTATCTTGTGTAGATTTTCCTTCGTAAGCTTGATCACCTTTTGTAAGCTATTAACCTGCAAAGGATTTGGAAAGACCGAATGTTGGTAAGATTGCTTTCGTCGATTAACAATTAGCTATTTCCATATTACGCACCATACCACCAAAACAAAACAACATTTGCTCGCAAGCTCTGCACGAAAACCCAAATCGACCACAAAAAAGCTGCAGACAAGCTCGCCAAAGCTTTGCAGTCGTCTCTTTAATATCGACAACAGTTCAGAAATTACCTCCACTTCGTGATTCGTGCAATCTTCATCGAAATCAGCAAAATCGAGCGTGTGTTGCGAATCCACAACCGCCATGATAATTTCTTTTCAGGTAATGATTCATGTCACGTGATAGGAATTTTCGATTTCACACTGAACACGACCCTAAAGAACTCTGGGAAGAGTTTTGGATGGTAGTCGTGGTTACGATGGAGGTTGTTACAAATCTGGGAAACTAACCATTCCTTGCACACGATAATCATTTTGTTTGAAAGAAAGATAAGAAATCGGCTTAAAAATCCTCCATAACTCCGGTGAACTTCTTGCAATTCAATGATCATTTTTGCCGGGATTTCTAGCGTTAAAGAGGTGTAAACGTGTCGTGCTTGAAAGCGACGACATAGTCCTTTCTGAACACAAAAATTATAATAAAACCCTTAGATTTTTCATCGACACTCTTGTGGAAAGCCTAAGTACATGCAAGTTTTAACGGGTAAAAAATTAAAATCCCTGAAAATAATTTTGAAAGGAAAATTAATACGTGAAAAGAATATCGTTTTGATTGTAGATTCACTGGTCAATTAATAGCATAACAAGTAGTCATCGTTTTAATGACCCCTAACTCTTCACATATTTTCCTCCTTTTCTCCCCACTAGGTTTCTGTAGGAGAAGACTCATAAAAACGCGGATAAATCTGGATATCTCGGTTTATCTGCAGAGGGTATTATTGAAAATAGGATCATCAGATCACAGATGGCGTGTTTGCTTTGCCATCATTTAAAAGAACTCAAAAGAATTGTGTTTATTTTCCGTGAATTACTCAAACCGGTTACAATCTCCAACCTTGTAGCATCTTAGGAATCTTTTATCCTTCCACGCTATATCAGTTTGGATATCATCTGTTGAGACACCGAAACTAACTCTACTCAAGCAGTCAAAGACTCGTCTGCATTCAGTCAAGAATATTTTCGACACGAAATCATAACATCTTCCTTAAACTTTCTTTTAAATAAACCACTTAAAAACCATGAAACATCAGCATATGGGCTAAGAAGAAGTAATAGTAAAAAAATGCAATCCGAATCTCTCGATCAATGAGTTGCTATAAAAACTACGAGTCGAATTTTCCAGTTTTTCTCGCCTCTTCTTTAGAAACAAATATTTAATTAAACTAATAAGCTTTTTTGTTCCCAAGTCAGACGCACAACCGCGGAAAGAAATATTAACCATTATAGAAGAGCTTGAAAACTGAGAAGGGGCTAAAACTCAAAAGTATGTTGGAATGACGCCAAGGCCAAATTTTTAAAAAACCTTTATGGTGAGTGTAGATAATCAATAAAAAAATACGTAACTTACTACTGGTAGGATCGAATTGTCGAATCATGTCATTTGTCGAATCATACCACACAGAAAACTAAGTCTCTTTTTTTTTATTTCAGTAAAATACTGAGTGACATTTCTGATCGATGATAGATTCATAGACCCATTCTTGAGTCTAAGAATATTCGCCGTCCACCTGAGCAAAAAATATTCAAGTTAGACTTTACAATTAAGCAAGATCAAGCGTCACCACACACATTACTGGTGTAAAAAATATATATATATTCCAATCAGTAACCTTTAAACGTCTGTAAAAGTGAATTTAAGATGAATTTTTTAGTCGTGATTGATTCATACCTATCAATTTCAAAGAATTAATTTTGATTGTGACGGGAAGTGCGAATTTCCTCCTCTCTTATAAACCTATTTGTTCAGAGGCTCGGCGGAAATAAACGATCTTCAAACATCAGTTACTTGAAGAAGATAAAAGCAACAGTATTCTATGAAATTTCCTGATTGACTGCAATGACAAAAAGAATCCTTACTGAGGAAAAATCCTAAGGCTCAAGGGCAAAAAAACGTTTTTAGCACCATAACCGCACACTGCGTAAATCAGACAAACTACCGGTTTAGAGATTTAACGAAAGTAGTCGAACTACATCAAGTCGAGAAAACGAATGAAAAACTTTGAAACAGCGGCTAAAACATCCGCTCTCTAAGGTCTTATATTGGCATTTAGACTATTACCTCCCACGTTGTAGAGGTTTGAGGCCCATGCAAGTTTCCACTTACCAGCATTACTATACTCGTTTCCAGGGATGCTCGTTTTAGTCCCTGAAGCCACATTCCCTCTGTCGGCCGACAGAGGGCCAACAGAGTGGTTAAACGTCTGTGCATGTGCGAACGTTTAAACGAGGCAGGCGAACAGTGGTCTTACAGGATCAATGAAAAACCACACAAGCATATAAACTAGGCTCACAGTCTTTTAAAACAGCACAACTCGTTTAATGAAGCCCAAAACAAAATAGCATATGAACAAAATAACCTTAATGAAATAAATTTTGCCGGTTCCGGAAAAGTCTTGAGTATAGCTCTTTATTTTATTTTATTTTTTTTTTTTTTTTTTTTTTTTTTTGCCATTTTATAGATTTCTATGGGCGGTTAAATTTTTTTTGACAATTTGCATGACATCGGTTGTTTCCTATATTTTCCTTAAGATTTTTAGGCAGGAAATTGGCGCGCAACTGCCAAAATAGCCGACCCATTTGCGTTTACTCTGCGTTTGAATTAGGCCCTATAGATTGTGCTAGTAAATGAAGTATATTATGTCATTGGCATTGCATGATTTTTTCCAAATTATGATCAAAATCATGCTCGCTTTTGAAAATCTTGCTATTTTTCTTTGAGTAAGCTTTTCAAAAAAGGAAATACAAAACAAGTCCAAATTATATATTTATTCATTATTAATATAGCACGATTTCTCCTTTAATTTAAGTTAGATAATTGCCCTGATGAAACATAATTAACTATTGCACTTAATTCTAGACTAGAAGCGGTGACTCGATGTATCAAAATGCACAATGTTAAAATCATGTTTCTCTTCGAATTCGACGCCGTTTTGTTGCCCGTGAAAGCGGGAACTGAGACCAAGGTAAACTTTACTTCCGGTAATCCTAGTCCTTTAGACGACGAACGATTCAGTATTGCGGTAACCTCCCCCCCCCCCTCCCACAAGACATTAAAAACTGAAAATAGACTGGACCATGGACCGAACTTGAAATAATCAATTATGCGACAAATTATGCTAGAACAATCTATAAGGGCTTAGTTTGAACGCAGTTTTGATTCTCAACGAGATCAGCCCGTTGGCGCGATCGAATAATGTCCAATCAGCTGGCTAACATAGCCAAAGAAAGAAATAAAAAATAGAGGAAAAAAAAGAAAAAGACAGCGGAATCATTAAAAAATGCGTCTTCCGACAGAGTTACTGATTTCCGTTAGAAGCTAATTACGACTCTCACATTAACGATATTCAGCTGCCTGCCTGACTGATCGAACCTGTAGAACACGTCAGTTCTGCGCACTATCAGAACTGGATTGAAAATCGAAGTGGGTCAGCTAATTAATTTTCAATTTTAAAAAGTTTTGAGTGCCGAACGTTGCGGACGTTCCTCGAGGAACTAAAAACAAACGAGAGACCTCAACTCGCATGCCCAGATAAGGCAGGAAAGGAATGGCCCTTCGCTCGCCATCTACACTTGCATGAACTGATAAATGTTCCACCAGATTCTTCCGATCAGATTCTGTCTGACCACGACTTGTATGTTGAAAGCAGTTTTTCTATGCGCAGAGAAATACCGACGGGGTGATACTCTGTCAGGCTATTTTTACTAAAGAAAAGACGATATCAGACAGCAGTTATTCTGCGCTCGATTTAGGTGCCAAATATCACACAGTACCGAGAGCCGCTGACAGCACTTAGATATAAATATTACAATCGGACAAAACAGTTTATAATCGGAATTTACAAAAACAGTTGAGTCATTAGTTGAATCCTAAGTTTCTTGAGGAAAAGGACTGAAACCTTGATGATGGCCATATAATGCTCTTCTTAAGTCGCTTAAAATCGTTTTGTCAAGTTTTCATCTTTCAGGTTACTTTTCAGTCCAAGCATCATTTCCATCCTCAGAAATGTTCAACGTCTCTTTAAGCTTAAGAATTGAAACAAGAAGTAGTGTTGTCTAATACGTTTGCGTTTACCGTGCTTTGTTTACTTTGCATTCTGATTCTTTTGATGTAGCAAACGAGTTATTTAGCAATACAATTCATTGTGATTAGATTGATAATGAAATGATTACTCATAAAACAAGCTCCGAACAGTTTATAGGGCCCAAAATACAACACCAATACTTACCTCCATACTGGGCGTGGCAAATGAACACGCACCGTATGGACTCTGCAGATTTAACACTCCGCTTTCAATGACTTCTAATCTACGGACCATGTTAGAGAGGCTGCTTCTCGTGTTGATATGAAAACAAATAATCTCACCCCCTCTCATCCCGTAGAACACAGTCATCTGGAAATTGAAAACAACAATCGACTTTATTTGCGTCAGAACGTCAATCGCATCCCAGTCCCCTTACCTACGTAGCTGCTGGTTCACTTGGCGCTTTACAAAGAATGAAAATGGGCGTGGGCGTCGCGAAAGCGATGAGTAGAGTTACAAGCACAGAACTTTTTTCTTTCCCATTCCTTTCGCGTTTCGCGGTTCAAGTACACGAATCACAAAGCCCAACCAGCTTTTGTCATCACTATCACCTGCTTTGTGCCCTGAGGCATTTAATTCTCCAAAAACAAGATGCAAAAAAAAAAACATAAATTTATTTTCCGCGTCACGAAAGATATGTTGTTGAGCGAAAGATGACCAAATATCTTGCAAGCTTTAACTTGAATAGTAAGAATTCGTTTGAACCCTACTCCATGTCGGTTTACAGGATACCAGAGTACTCTGAGTGTTTGTCAATAAGATTTTTTTTTTTTGTTTAAGTCTTTCCAAGGCGCCGGAAACATAAAACTTTCATATCGCCGATATTGCGTCTCTATTAAAAACGTGCGGTTTCCAACGTCAGCTAGTTTAAAGAAAGATAACTATATCCCTACAATCAAAATTGTAAAACGCAATTCCAACATCAATGTCATGATGTGATGTGGCGAAAAAGTAAGCACTCACCTTGCACTTTGCTAATCCGGATACAAAACAGTGGTGTACTTCAGTTGGAATCGGCGAGTAAGTTCTCCTCGGTGGATGAATTCAGACTTGTGTCACATAGCTTTAATTTTCACCAGTATGATTTTAAAACGAAGGCAGCATTAGATACTGCAGACTGTTAATAACTGTTTAATGCTTCCGTGTTGTCGGGTTTTAACCAATCGCTTTTGGTCAACGTAGGAGTAAAATGAGCAAAATTGTTTTACTTGAGTATTATGGACCTTGCTTCTCAAGGACGTTTCTCGGTGACATGATTATGAATTGGCTTTGTAATAAAATTTTGAGCGGTAAGGTTAGAAACATAAGAGATTTATTTTGGATGGGCAAGTTTGGAAAGTGTCTAGCAAGAATAATTGTCGATACCTTAAGCAAGTACACTCTAGTTCATTAACAGGAAAAAACCGAGAATAAATCTTCTTGACAACAAATAATTCATCACATCATTTAATTAACACAACAAGGATTGCTGAAGGAAGCCTTAGGTATCATGAGCAAAAATAAACATCATTTCCATAGGACCATTTGACATTACGCCTTTTAAAAATGACAAGGAACTTAACAAGAATGAGCTTTACAGGAAGTTAACAGGTATTGTTTCAATCATCCATCATTTGGCTGGATTCCAAATGGATTTTGCAGCATTTATCCGATACCGAAAGCCAGGGGCTTCTAGAACTTTTTTTCATAAGCGGCGGCCAGTGGTGCAAAGGCGACTGTGCCCGGAAAGGGGTCGTAAGGCGAAACACAAACACGAGACCCTGCTCGTGAGCTAAAGAGACAGCAGTAAAAGGGCTCATAGGTAGCGGTAGACCACTAGTAATCGGCTTTAGCTGAAACCCCTTGAAAGCTTGTTGCCTTGTTACAGAGAGTGTAGGTCTGTGAAACGTACAAAACTGGGAGAACAACTCCTACTACAACCAATTGCGCTTTGGCTGATGTGAAGTTGATTTAGAGGGCCTCGCTTTATGAACAAGAATGTCACGGAAACGCATGGAAACCTCTTCAATGAATTTTTCACGCCACCGAACCAAACTAAACTTTAATTTCAACTTTTTTTCTTACCACCTGAAATTTTTCATCTAAGGAGACATTTACTCGATTCTCCGACAAAATTCACCAGCGTGTAGCCCAGAATTGATACAATTATCATGTAACTAGACTGAGTTTGCTTCTTTAGAAGCAAATATGGAATAATAAACAGATAAACCAGTAATGGCAACCATGATTTGTTATTTGTCTACTAAAATTAGGGTGACACCTGGCTCTTGTTTGCAAAACACACGTACCAAATTATTTATTTTGGCTTGTTAAGTAGATCCTGTTTGTCAACCTACTACGTGACAAGAAAGACTAATACAAGTGGTAATGAACTGTGTTTCTCAGCCTGGGGATGAGTGTTTGTTATGTTTGAAAATTCTTTTATTGTGATCCAAGAGAATATAAACTCTGTGTTGCGAATGCCAAGTGAAGCCGTTCTTCGCAAACTTCTCGATTTTTATTTTTCTCCGATAAGATACAATATGCTCCTCTCGTGTCGATCTAATCCTAGGTGAAATTACTCCTCTTCTGTATTCAATTTGTATTTTTCAATCAGAAAGTCCTCCCATTTCAACTGTAAATATTGACCAAATCATATAACACAACCTTCTCTACACACTCTCTTATATAATCTCCTGTGTGATCTTCCAATTTTTTTTTCTTTTAAAGTTTCTCATACAACGCTGGAATACTGTGAACGAGTGTTAAAGCTGATGTTAGCAGACACCCACGAAGCTCGATACATTAAACCTGCCGGAGCAGGGTCATGGAGTTGACAGTGTTCGGTTTTGGCATCATTTAGAGACACCTTCTGCCGAAATTGAAGAACGCATGATCAACAGATGTGTGCTCTACCAACTTTCTAAAGTGGGTCAGGAGGGGAGAACGAAAGGTTGGCTATGGGTGGGTAAGCTCTAGACCCTGGACCCTGAACTGAGGACTACGAATCTAGAGATTAAGATGCTGGAGATATCTAACTCAAGTTTTTTTCCTGTAGAACTGCGTTGTGCTCAAGAGAAATGATGAGACAGTCGCATTATTCTCCCTAGGTTACGCTGCGTTGTACTTTGTTGTACTGCCTTTTGTCTGTTGTGTTGCATTGCGTTGTGACATGTTCTGTGCCAATTTGCACCATGACACGTTTTTTGAGCTCAGGTATTTACATTACGACTAGGCAGAACCCCTCACGCTTTGAATGTTTAAATTCTGCCATCATTTAAACTTTGATTTGTCAGAATACTCTCCTATTTACTTCTTTCTTTGTGTCGGAAAATCGTTTAATTTGGAAAGTAGTTATCAATCACGATCACAGACCTTAAATAATGAACAAAGTATTTGGGTTTCTTTTTTGACGGCAGAAAAGGTATACATACTGTAATTAAAAATATTCAAATTTTGTACTCATTGCATGGTGATACGTCACTAGAAAAGTAGCGAGCATAAAGCCATGCACAACGTGAATTATTCAAATATTTTATAACCTCGAACGAAATGTTTGAGATTTATTTCACTTTTTAGATTATTTATACCTCCTATAAGTTTAACTTAATCTTTGACCCATTACACTAAGATTTTCTTGCTTTCAATCTCGTTTCAGATAAGTGAGAGATGGATTTGTTTTGAATATAATCCAAGCGCCTCTTTGGTCGTTTACCTCCTTAATCTAAATAATTATATTCAAAACAATTACTACACTTTCGCTCAACAGTAGGGATTCGAATTACACGTGAAACATCTCGAAACATCTGCAATACCTGATGGGAGTTGGTTCCACTTCGAAAGAAAGTGAGAGCGTTCATCGACTTTCAGTTGAAATTTGCATCTACTACATTTCAATAATCAACCCACAACAAGGAAAATTGAAATGGAAACTTACTATGCAGATTTCTTAAAGAAAGAAGATCACACCGGAAAGTGGCGAGTCTACTGGACGACTCTGAACGCGACCGGGCTGTATTTTCAATTGGGAAAAATGGGGGCAGAACATGAGAATTTCCAACAGTTTGTCGAGATTTCCCCTGGATCAACGTGTGCTCTGGCAAAACGAAGAATGTACAGCTTTCGATTTAAGTTGGAGACCGATGGAGTAACTTACACCTTCAAATGTGATTCGGTATTCCAGAGATATCGCTGGATGTACATGATAGATTTGGTTGTGAACGGTCGACCACCAGAAGCACCACCAAACACTATTCCTCGTCCAGTTGTCACTGACTCAAAGCATAACAACACTAACTCCTTCGACGAGAAAGATTCCTGCGATCAAAATAACGCGAAGCCGAATAATTTAATCTTGAAATCTTCCAGTTTCACTCAGACATTTCAAACATTCAAGCGATTAGCGAGCTGGCGCAAGAAGAGGAATAACAGTCTTCCGTCAGCAAGATGTCTACGCAAGATAGGAACGATCTCAACAGGAAAATATGAAAAATTATCCAATATCCATTGTAGCTTCGATTTTGCTGATACTAAGGATTTATTTGATAAACAATACACGGTATGATATACGTGCGTCAGGCCATGTGAGACGAGACGAAACGAGTCACGCAATCAATCTGATTTGAAATTGCGTGACGTTAAATGTGGACGAGGTCCTGTAGGGAAATGTTCACAAGTGGTTTTCGCCTCGAACAGGCTAATATCATCGTGAAAGATAAGGCATTTTAGCACAGGCACAGTCAGACCGGTGTCAGACAGACGTGAGTCAAAGCTGAGACCATTCAAGTAGGTACAACAATTTATGACAAAAACGATCTTGGAAGTTCTCATTCGATTTTTAGACACCCCCTTCTTCCCATAAAATGTTTGAGTCCAACCGCGAAGGTCGAGGGGGAAAATTCAACGATAAAGCGAGAGTGTAAAGGGAGTGTGACGAACACTGGTATAACTACGTAGGAGTTTTAACCCTTTAACTCCCATGAGTGACCAAGATATTCTCCTGACAATATCAATACAATATGAAGTAGATAAGTGATGAGAAAAAAGAAAAATATTAATCAGGGGATTATTAGTTGATCCAATATCAAATTCTCGAAACTAACATCGCAAGAACCATACAGCAGACAGTAAGGAGAATTACTGGTGAGATCTTGGGAGTTAAAGGGTTAACGCATCAGAGGGAAAAATACCATATACTCTTGGGCGCTTTATACACTAGACCCATCAGACCTAAACAAGGAAGAATTTCAAGCATACCCAAGTAATCGCTTCACACTGTTTATAAGTAAAGAAGTTTCTTAAGCGAAAAAGCAACTGCTATCAGCTCTATCTTAAGTTTACCAATTCGGTAGTTTATACTTGTTTTGACCTGATGGGAGTAAACGCAACGGAAATCTTGTATTTTTTTCTCTATCGTGATTTTATTCCCTCACTTTCCTTCACATATTTGATTCCACTTCTCCATTGAAAAAGGTACATTTTCCTTCCTGCACAATCAATTCTCCATAAAATTTACGCTATTGCACGTCTATCGAGACATCAGTTAGATGGCTTTATTTGCATGCGATCAACGCAGTTTAGTGAGGGAGTCAGTCCTTCCTTGACATTAATCATTCTCTGACGCCCGTTTCAAACGCCGAACCTCTCGTGTGTCGCACTAACCCTGACTAAATCCAAAAGTGGCCATAAGGTTTTAACCCTTTCACTCCCAAGATCTATTTAGTAATTCTCCTTACTATCTGCTATACAATTCTTATGATGTTAGTTTAGAGAATTTGGTATTGGATTAACTAATAATCCCATAATTGATATTCTTCTCTATTCTCATCACCTACGTGCTTGATATTGTATTGATATTGTAAGGAGAAATTCTGTCTAAGTCACTTGTGGGAGTGAAAGGGTTAAAAGCCGTACCTAATGTTGTCGACCTCATTCATATCTACAGTAACAAATTGATTCTACCCTGAACTCGCGGCTTCGCCCCTTTTTTTTTAAGTAAGGACCCAAATAGTTGCCACAAGCCACCATTTCGTCTGACACACAGGAGAGAGGCACAACATTAAAATAGGCTTAACACCACACCTACAGTTAGAGGTTTCTCTTGAGAAGATTCTGCGGTAAATGCGGAATGGTTTTACCGCGCCCAAAAGAGGATTAGTTAAGGAAAAACTTGTAAGGCTCCCTGAGGAAAGTCGAGTAGATGACTTTACATGGAGAATTGTCAAAGAAAGTGTAAAGGATTTCAGGGAATTCCCCACAGCTATTTTTTCTACACAAGTACATTTGTCACGAAGAACTTGTAAGTGTAAATGCTGTCAAATGATCAGTCATGGGTAGCACAACTAGCTCCGCTAATGACGATGTTCTGATGTAATCTATATGTAACACTATAAATACTTCAAGGTAAATAATAGGTAAATAATATCGGCCCTTTCATAATTGCACATTATCATTCGATATGTATATATCTATTTTGAATTAACAACTCTAATAATAAATATTGATACTCTTAGCTTGAAAGATCTGGAATTCATTTGAAATATTGTAATAATTAATATGTACAGAGGATATGAATTGAAAAACCACGTTATTTTCTTATGTGTAAAAATGATGCCTTCTGAACCATAAGAATTTAATTTGTTTTTTAAAAAAATATTTTCATAGACATTAAAAACGGGTTAGCAATGATCAGGTTTCTGGTTCACTGTATTCGTTATTGTACTTTACCTTTAGTTTACCTGCTATAATCACTGTTGCAGTTTAGTTTTGTAGAAAGAAACGAAAAAACTTATAGGATAAACAAAATATTTGAAAATTCAACTGCACATTCTGCTTATTACCAACTCTGAGTAAATACTATTAATTGGTCCCATCACGTGATATCTGGGTAAGAAGTCGGTCTGTCTGTTACTGTTTTCCAACAATGGAGATGGAACTTCATCCTCTTCCTTTATCAAGGACCTCATGTCTACGACCTGAAAACCACATCGCTTTAAACTTCAGCTCGCTTGATTTATTGCATCTGCTTCTATAGGCCTACAACTCCCAGGAGCGTTCATGATTAAGACTGTTTAACCACGGGTAACGTCTCGGTATACCAAAAAATTATAAGGAAAGGCCAACAAAGAATTGTATAATTGTTTATTTAGGAAAATTAGTTCTCACATCTTGGGATTCAAGTTAAATGTTACGTGAGTGGTTAGTATTACACAGAAACTCTGGTATAAAGTGCTTTTCCAATAGTGTCGCACAAAAAAAACTTACCCCAACGGCCAATCAGAGTAAAGAAAAATCTTATGAGGAGCCAATCAGAACTCAACGTAAGAATGAGGCAAACTGGCTGAAACGCTGGAAAAGATAGTGGACAAGTCGCGATTTGTTTTAGTTTGGAATAGGATTGGTTGTGGGTGTGATTAGGAATAACTTTGACACTCACTGGAAAATTGCCCCAAATCACTACGGTGATCTCTGATAAGTGATGGTTACCCTCTCAGTATTGACCATCAGTTGCTAGCCGGAGCATGAAGCCAAAGAGATATTAGGAATTTAAACTAATCGTTTAAGAATTAACGTCACCTTGTGAAAATGGCAGCCACAGTTTCCCAGGAGGAAGTCCTTGTATCTAGAAACAGTCATTCCAAAAGTGTCCACTACTTCATACCCCAACCGCGTAGCAGCTTTAATTACCATCTCATTCCGTTCAGCAGTTTTACGCTGTTCTGCCTGTGAAAAACATGCCATTAGCGATCAACGTTGTCTATACTAGAGTTCATATGAGGATTTAACATGCAACAATGGCAACTTTACCAAGTTGTGACGAGGAAGTCCTGGTACGGGAAGGTGGAATCCAGAGCCCAGGCTCTTGATAACAACCTTGATTCCGTTCAAGCCAAGACTGAAGAAAAATTACTTCATGATAAGAAAATGAATAACAGCACATTATTTATAGTACAATCACTCATTTCTGTTTTTTTATAATAGTGATAAAATAGAAAATTTGACATTCTCAACAGTCATCTGCTAACATTCCAAACAAAATAAACCGCGTCAATAACGGTTGATGGTGTAATTACACACTTCACCTGGTTAAGGCTTTATTGGTCTCCACAATGTGTTGGGATCCCATCCACTGAACTCCACCCACAACAAGAATGGTGTTCGTGTTGTTTTCTAAAGGAAGAAACCTGATAGATGAAGAAGAATCATAATTACAACTTATCTCCTTGCAGGCGCTAATTAGACCGCGGACGCCTTAGTGACAGGGGTTAGGCAGGATTTTCCACTGTGGGATACTACACTGTTTTTTGTTTTTGTTTTGTTTTTTTCTTTTAATGGGTATTTTAGAGCATTCAATTATTCTAATAGCATAAATGATCATTTTTTTAGAAGAGCGAACGAGCACCATAATCCCCACCCCTTTCCCCTTTTCTAGCATACGCCCTTTTAGTACCCACAGGATGTTTTGAGCATATCAGTTATATAACCATGCATCCCTCGAACAACAACAACAACCACCAATTCATCATTTTCAGAAGAAACCTCCTCAAACTAAAGGCACTGGAGAGGATGTCAATAGATGAAACTAAAGCGAAACCAAGGGCATATTACTCTTCAAGGTAGACTTCTAGCTATGGTCGTGAATGTCTCTTTCAAATTTTTCCGCAGATACTCCAGGTAAACAATTTCCCTCTCTTGTGGTATTTTTCCACGTGTTACATCAGCCGACTTAACCCTTCAACCCCTGAGAAACACTAGCGTATAATTCCCTCTTACAATATCACCCCTGAAGCAAACAAAACATTTCCGATCCCAGTGGAATATGAACGACTGAAATCATGTAATGCCATCACGAAATCGGTAGAAGTGTTAATGGATGTGTAGGTTTAGGTGATTGGTTAACCGATTTTTCAAAATTTCCTTTTTGCGGTTTACATGGCTAATGTCTCTTTAACCCCTAAGAGAGAGTAGTAACTAATTTTTCCAACAGTATTCCCCCTTGATCAAACGTTAAGGTCACGAGAATAAAAGAAATGTTCACCAACTAAAGAAGCTCTTCATTGTGAAACAAATTCTTCTTATCAGCACCTTAGGAAATGTATCATTTAAAGAACAGTATGGAGAAAACCAACATGAATACTGTGCTGACTGATGTTAAGATGGAAAAAGTTCATTAACAAACGCGATGACCATGGAAATTAAAATGATTGGGAGGTAAACGAAAGCTACGAGAGTTACTTCTTACTGGGCTTTACTGTATTTTAAAATGATACAAAAGACATATAAGGAGATACCTCGCTATAAGCTGGTAGAGCGCTTTGACAAAGACAGGTCTCTTGTTTTCACGAAGCCAAAACTGAGGGTAATACGCGAAGCTGACAGAGGTACGGCCGCCGTTCAACTCGTCGCTGTAAATTTTCATTGTATGCGTCTTTTCCCATTTTCTTAATGAACCGTTCAGCTGTAGTAAAGGAATAACCAATCAAGGATAAAGGAAAAACCGACGGTTTTCATACGTCTTCATCGACTAGATATAGATTACTACACTTATTTGTCATCGACAAGTAGAGGCACTTCATTTCATAAAGAGTGATTCCAACACAGTTAATACAAAGGAACTAAGAGTTCATACACTGAATAATAACACATCACTGATTAACTGCCATAAGGTTGTGCAAGCGAGAAACAGAGAGGACTTTAACTTACTTTCGTGAACTGGAAACAAGATAAAATCAATCTTTAGTGCAGTCAGTATAACCAAGTAATGTAGAATTACTACAGCTCTTTGCCTCCTTAATAAAACACAGTTACACCATAAAAAAAATTAGATATAAATAGAAAGCACCTTTATTCAAAAGCTAGACGTTAACTTCTGCTCTCGTCTCTCCTATCTTCATAGATATAACACAGTTTCATTTGCAAAAATATGGGTTCTCTCGTTTTACGTAACTATACCTTTTCCATAAGGTAATACATAATGCCGCGATTGGTGGAATCTCCGACAAAAAGAATCTAAAGTAAACAAAAAAAAGAGAAAACGTTTGTTACTAAAGCCTCTTCTTTTCTATGGCTAAAAAGGATTAAATTGATTCGTAAGTTCAAAACATTCAAAGGTGTGTTACCAACACAAAGTTACAGAAATTCTCGGTGAAGCGATGAATGCAATTCCTAGTTGTATCAGATTGCATTATGCTCATGAGATGCGACATCAAAACCAATTGGAACTTAATCACCCGCATTTTCCCGCCTTTTTGGCAGTTTTCTTATTTTATCATGAGATCTCACTGGCTCCTTATGGAATTTGATTTTGGTTTTACAATATTCAAAAGAAATGCACTCTTCAATAAAAATCTGGAAGACAACAAGCCTCCGAAAGTTGAGATGTCGAAAGCAACGTAACTTTAACCACAAGCAATGGAAATAATGCTTCGCATAGAGACGCTTATAATCTAGTCAAGCTACCAAGTGCAATGTGAATAATGTTTAATTTGCCTCTCACCTTCTTGTTTGCAAGGCAAGCTCTGGTATAATTCTTGGAAAAAACACTGTACTGACATGTGAGTGGCGACCAGACTGTTTGCCTCCAGAAGCAGCTAGAAGGGTAATCACAGCTGGCACAAGGTAAAACCCAACGACCTGACGATAAGAGGAATTTATTCGAGTGGTAAATGTTTTTCTCACTTTAAAATAGGAAAGTGGTGACACCCAAAGAAACTACATTTTATCATTTCATCTCCTCTTTTGAAAAAAACTTGCATCTACTTTATATAAGATAAAACTTTAGAAAATTAGTTTTCTATGGGTAACGTCGGGTTGGCGAACTGATTGACAAGAGTTTGCGTCCAAGGTTGTGAATATTAATAGCCAATAGTTTCCCTCCTGCTAGTTGTGAGTTTTAACCAAGCTATGTTTCATTCGAGTTAATTTTTTTCATTGATTTTCACGGCCTTTGTGCCATTGGCACATGCTGAGGGAAAACAGTATTTTCCTATTTTATTCATGTACCTAAGGTAAGTATCCTATGATATCTGATACCTCAGTCGAATTCCAATCTATTGCAAAGTAAAGGCAAAGTACTAAGGGTTATGGCCCCTAAGAGTGACTGTCATCAAACATGAAGCTCGCAAGAATAAAGGAAAGAGGCTCTTGATTGTTAAACAAATTATCCATGTCAGCACCTTTGGAAATGAACGTAGAACAGAGCAGAGAGTACGCATACTGATGTTCGGGTATAAAGGGGTATGGTCAAGCAAGTTTAAAATAAGAACATTTTGTCTATCCTCTCTTGACAATTCGGTGTCAAGTTATTACTTTTATTATAATTAATATCCACCTGACTCGTGCCCAGTCTCACAGTGAGGGAGTTCTTTCTGTTTAGAGAGAAAAGTCTTCCACGTTGACTCTGACAACTTCTCAAGACCACACGGCAAGTCAGGAAAAACTTTGAGGCTGCACTCCTTGAAAAATTAAAACAATAATTCCAGTAACTACATGTATGCAATTTTATATATAGCTTGAGCAAAGCTAGTTTAAAAAAAAAAAGTATCTCCTTTAACTGAGTTTGAAGTCTGTACTGTAAGTTACATACCAAGAAAACAAGGTTAGTAAGATATTACTAGCTAGTAAGATTTCAGTTAAAACAAACTTTTGAATTTAGCAGGCCATAGAGTGAATACGTCCTACTGACCTGACCAATCATTCTGTACATCCTGACTGAGAAATAAAATAAATAACAAAAACCAGCTGAATCTAAATTTCTCTGGAAGGTGGGAACATCACCACCACTGAAATCCCAAAGATTCAATAAATACACATTTATAACTCATACAATTTTAGTTCTCATTTCACCACATTGTACACTGAAAAAATGAAAACACAAGAAATTCTACATGGCAGCATTTACAGACCACATGTGCCACCTAGATGTGAACAGATCCACTACCTGGTAAATAGCGCAAACTTGATGGGTAAAATCTTGTTCAAATATTCTCTCTGTCTCAGAGCGTCTTTTACGAAACACAAACAGATGATAGGTATTCACAACTTCAGGCCTACTCTTCCTGGTATCAACAACAAAAATGGAAAATTTGTTCCACCCAACACCAAGAGAATGATTAGAATTACTGAAACAAAATAATATAACCAACTATTAATGATATATAGCTTTATAACAGAGTTAATTATTCATAACTGTTTATGATTCACTATGTCAACAAATAAATTAAAATGATATGTTCACATGATACAGAAAAATTTCGATTTATATCAATTTTGCAAGCCTAAGTAGCTGACATCATGACCATAATTTATATATAGTATATTTATATATAGTATATTTATCTAGACATAGCCAACAATGTGTGCAGAATAACATAGCTATCCTCTTAGAGAGCTTAAGTACCACAGGCAACTAACTTAAGTAAATGGATGACTTTTATAAATTGACTTTAATAAAAGTTTACGAGAGCTGGGGCACCTCAAATCTTGATACAGCCAGTGATTCTCTTAAGGGCACAGCCTTGCATGACCAATCCTCATTTTCCCTTATCTATGGGATTCTACTCATAAAACTGACCCAAGGTAATTTTCTATCCACAATATCAAATCATTAGAGTGACACATATTTACAAACCTATTGTCCTCAGATTTGGTGTCTATTCGTACAGCTAAATGACACTTTGAAGCTTTACCCCAGAGCTGCAGGATTGTGGCATCAAATGGAACAGTTGATTGATAAATGAAGACATCACTGTTGAAAGGTGGATGAAGAACTATTTCGGGCTGAGAACTGAGTTCTGTCAGGACACCATCCACGTTTGGATCTGGATAAAAGTCAAGATGCAGGTCTTTTAGAAATATTGGTTTCATTTATCTGAATAAGCCTGATGTCAGATTTTGAATTGGCACTCTTTTGCCTCATAAAATACACACATTAAAAAAAATTAAATATCACCTTTAAAAGAAAAACACTCAAAATAAACCTACCATCAACACAAACAGTTTCTTTTGATGACCCTATAAAAAAGAAAATGGGTTTATTTTATACATGCATGAAGCTTAGAAACCAGTAAAAGTTATTTTTTCATGAGAATGAAAAATCTGTTCCACAGAAATCTCAAAAAGTAAACCTGAATACGTCCATATCTCAAAAACTACACAGTCAAAGATTTGCAACCAAGCAATGTCACTATTATCATGAATCATATTATTGAATAAACCATCTGGATCATGGCTTTCTCACATGAGTCCCTCTAGAACTAGTTGTAGTCCTTAGAGTTTTCAAAAGGCTATGTGGTCTTTGGGACATACAAAAATATGGATATGAAGTGCTTGCTTTTACTGGGTACAATTAAGTCTAACCTCATCTGAATAAGACAAATTCATTCCTACCTTTAGATATTTGTGAGTCACTAACTGAACCATCTCTGTGTTTCCTTTAAAGAAGGAACAGAAATGCAGCTGTAACAAATTTTTATCAAGGGTCTTACCACCAACAGAAAATGAAAGCTCACACACACTCATAGATTTGCATGTTAGTGCTTTTTACCTGGCTTACAACAATTATCATGATTTTGATCTTTTTTTGGTATGATCATTTTTGCATGATAATCATCATAACACAGCAAAGTGGAAATAACCTAACCTGCACGGTACACATAAAAACTTACGAGGGATGTGTAGATCTCACTGCCTCAAAAGCTGTCAAAAAATCATGAACATCTGGTGTTCCTAAATCAGCTCTTTGTTCATGATTGAACTCAACTCCATTGTCAAGTAATTCTAGCATCAGTGTGTTGTACTTATCACCATAAGGGGTTGGATAGAGCTGTTATTATAGATCACAAATAGAAACAATGAATGATTAACCCTTAATAAAATCTGCAATAGACACAGTATTAGTTTAATACAATATTACAAAAAACAAATTTACATTAAATAAAGTGTGATCTAGATTTAATTGTTGAAGTTATGATGATCATTACTTGATAGCAGTTCATTAGATGGAATTTATTATTTACCTACCTTTAACATAGGAAAGGTTTCTTTTAAAAACAAAAAAATTCAACCTCAGAAATACCCTGAAATCATAAGGCTGTTATTTTCTGAAGGTTTAATACATAAAAAAAATTTCCACCAATTTCTCCTGTTATCCTTTCCAGTGTCTTCAATCTAAGAAATCAGGGGGCAGTTAAATAAACTGCATACAGGGAATCTTTCCAACAATAGAAAAAAAAGTTAAGGATGTTAGTACCTGTTTGAAGTCTCCTCTATGTTGCTTCTCCACTTGAGATTGTAATAAATACTCTAACAAGTCATCTGTCAAACAGTTTTCCAGTACTAATTGGCACTTTCTATTCTAATTTGAAAGAGTAGGGTAAGATATTTCAGTTAGGAACTGCTGCAAAATTTGGACATTTGAAAGCCCCATTTAATGACTCTCTGTTTCAAGCCATCTCTGAAACTTATTCACTTTCCATTTACAATTTTTAAGTGTCTCGTAACTGAAAAAAGGCACACACATGCAGCTTCATTCATTAATATACAGTATGAAGACACTGTCCTATACAGAAGAACAAAACAAAATTCAACACAACGTTGCAGAAAAAAAAGGAATTCTATGATTCAATTTTGAAAAATTGTATTTTGATAGTTTACAAGAGCAGGAAATGGTAATTATTCAGAGAGCTTCATACTGCCATCATTTGAGCCTTCAAAATCCTATATCATCTCTCAGAAGAGCTTTTGTGAGTTGTCATTTGAAAGACACCAGTGATATCAATTTTGACGCAAGGACAATGGGGCAGTTTTGCCTTTGATTTCCCAGTGATTCAATAGTTTTCTATCAAATTTCATGAGAGAATATTAAGTTTTCAAGAACACGCACATAACACAGTAATCTGACCAGGGTTCAAATCCACTCTCTCAATCCAGAGTTTTGTCATAGAATGCCAACTGACATCAAGCTACTCCATCTTCCTCAACATAATAACACACCAAAACACACATTCCTAAAATATTTCAGCCTAGTGACTTCCCCTAAATGTTAAAATCAACATTGTAATAGGGAAGGGGAAGTAGCAAAAGAGCGCGCATCAAGAAAAATATGTTGTTCATTTGTTAGGCTTCTTTCATTGCTGCATAATAACTAATTATTTTTTTTTAATCAAATTCATAACACAAACATAAAAAGTACCTGGATTATCACAGTTTCCTTCAAGGCTTTTACAGTCTTGTAAACATCATGGGAAAATGGTACTGATATCATTTCAAACAAGAGATTGACTGTATCTTCAACTATTTTTTGGGAAACAATCTCATAAGAAGGGGCTTTTGCCTTGAAAGGGTAAGAATAACAGAAAGCAAATATTGTATCAATGTCTTAATAAAATTAAAGAAACTTGCAAAATATAAAAATCACAATTAAAAACAGGACAGTGTTTTACACTTTTGGAATAATTGAATGCTAAGAAAAAGAGAACTGCTAAAACAATGTACCTATAACCTTTGTATTAATTAGACCAGAAGGTTTCAAGTTAAGATTACACTGTCTTTCAAAGGTATGTCATTATTAAGCCATTATTTTCTTGGTCATTAAATATAGGTATTCAATTGCCAAAGCTAGCAAGCAGTCATATTTGTTGATTAAATTCAAACACATGTTATAAGCATTACAGTTACTGATGTTCTTCAGACAACATCAAACTGTTTCCACCCAATAATGTTGTACCATTTTAGTGGTAAAGCAAATCACAGTAATGCACATAAGCAAATGGAGCAGTAGTATCATTAACCTCATAAATTTTTCCTGAAGCTTAACTTGAACCTACCTCCAAAATATAAGGACTGAGTGATGAACTAAACATAACACTGATCTCCAGAAGCTGGAAACATGACTGGCATCTAAACATGAAACAAACAAGAATAATTTCAATTTATATGCAATATATAAATCAGTATTTCTGAAAATCAAAAACCTCACTAAAAATATGTCTAAAAGTAATTCAGACTGAGTTCCACAACTTCACATAAACATGCAAAGGTGGCTTGATTGACAGTTCTTTTGGACTCCTATGGCTGCTGCAGATCTTCTATCTTGCATTAAAAATCATTCCATATGAAGTAAACCCATTGCCTTGTACTGCAGGATGACTTGCCTTACAGGGTAGGTAATCATATTGAGGTAAGTTTTTCCACTGAAACTGTTTTGCCTGACAATGCATGTTAGCACTTGCATCTGAGATTGTTCCCCCTTACAGGGCTGCCATGGATACCTCTTTGGTTTGTACGGCATATGCCCCAGCCCTTCACGTACACTTATCAGAATGGGACTGAAGACTTAAAGCCCTTCCTCTCACATGTTGTTTCATCCAAAGTACTGTACATACCTAAACCTTCTTTGTCTTCCACCAGTATTCAGCCCTGTAAAGTGCATAATCAATGACTGCTCCAATAGAAGAAGCATTTTCACCACAATTTCATCCATCTCCTCAATTGCTTTACTTGTTTTGTCTTCACCAAAGTTTTCAACCAAGTGCAGATAGAACTTTTCAAAGTTCCAATTACTTGCCAAACCATCCTACAATAGCATATGCATTAGAGAGAACTTTCTGTGGTGTTAAGAGTAGTTTAAATAGAAGTGGTTAAAAATGGCACAATGAAACAGGCCCTGAGATTTAATATTGTAGCATTTTTTATAGAAAGCCTGTAATCTTAGTTCTTAAACTTGGTATAATGCTGTTTGTTTGAAGTGACAAGCCCAAAGTTAAACTTCATGACTGAACAAGGTTTTTATGAAAATTGATCACAAATAACTGAAGGGAGAATGCAGTAGTAGTCAAGATATGATAAGCAAGCTAAGCATGAGATGTTTATAACCTAAAATGCCCTCATTTGTTTTTTCTACTTAACACATACTTGAAGTGATCACTAAACCATCAGGGTAAAAATCACCTAATAGCTAGGTTACCTGCTCTCTTGCCACAAGGTGTGCATGCCCTTTTCTGTGTCTGTATATCCTGAGAGGAGATACTGAAGTGACCAGAACATACACCTGAGCTATAACAGCCTTGCCTTCAATCAAAAGAGCATCAGCTGGAAAAAGCTGCATGACGCCCTCTGAAGACTCACCTCTGTGAGAGAAAAATGAGAAAAAATAACTTCTATGAAGATAGGTGATTGTAAGTTACTTGACCAAATGCATGTCTCTCAAAAATGACTGCTTCATTGCCTGCCAGGAGTTATACCTACATATTAACCTTAAATGGTATTAATAACAAAGAGAATTAAAAGAATATATGTACCATTGAACACATTATATACAATATTTACTGCATTCACAATGAATGCTACTTATCAACAGGATGCTGTTGCTAAGGGGAAGGACTTGACCAAACAGCCTTTATCAAGGAAACAAGTCACAATTAATCTCTGGGACTGAAAATTTCCTTACTTGTTCCCGACATTTAGTATGTGCCAAGTACATGTTCCCCCAGCATAAGTTTGACATCTTAACTATCCCTTCCCAACCCAGGCTACCCCAATCCCCTCCTTAACAAAATTATACAGCCATACCTTTTCTTATCACTCAGACTCTTCATAGCTTTCCAGTTATGAAGTGATGTAGAAATTGTTCCAAGAGACTTCAAAATAAAATACTGGCTTCCTCTTGCTTTAATATCTTGATCCAGAGACACATTGATTTGCGCTGGTAACACAAAGCATGGAGGTGATATAGGTCTGTTTTCAAACACTATAATAAAATAAAAGCAAATCAGCTTTTTTCTCCTCAATTTAATGCTTTTTTTAAAAAAAATGTATATATGACTTGTATATAAAATTTGAGCCAATTAATATGAAATATTCCAGTACTACAGGTTTTTGCTTTTAAGAATTGTTAATATTCTGACACCTTATGACTTTTCTGCATGTACCTGAAATGAGTTTTGATGCTGACATCAAGTAACAAAAGCCATCATTCCTTAAAAGTAATTTTTCAATGCCTGGAACTGGAGATACCTGAAATTAATGAAAAAAAATTACAGATACCATCAAGCAAGAATTTAGATTAAAAAAACTTTCAGCACAGGGAAAAATTTAGAGTAACCCACATCAAATAATGTTTAAGATTGCTTGGGTGGAAGACCCATTAAAAATCTAACTACGAGGAAAGTACCTGAGCTCGTGTCAATCATCAGTTTCTGAGTTCTGAATTATTCTGGCACGTCTGGAGCTTAATTTTCTACTTGCAAATATCTTAGTCTCAGATTGGGAATTTCTAAAAATCTCAAATTTTACTGTAGGATTAAATGTGATCTACAAGCCTCTGATGATCTATGATTTGTTGATAACAACACCTTCTTACTCTCTGATTCTTTTGGAGAAAGACAAGATCACTGCTATTAAAACAAGGTGATGTCTCTCTGCCAGAACACCAATTAATTCCCTGCCATTTCTTTCTCATGTAAGGAAGTATTTCTGTATCTGTGGACAAAACCACTCTGTAGCCAAGAGCCTCAAGAGCATGCTTGAAAGGTTCTAAAATATCCTTTGTATTTAATTGGGAGTGGTTAGCCACCAAAACATCCAACTGCCTTCTCATCATCTTTTCTTCTAACTGCATGAATGAAAAAAAAACATCACCAGTTAAATAAAATTAAACTTTTCAAAGTAAAAGTAAATGCTGGCATTCTGTGTTGAACTGGAATAAAATACAATGAACATTCAAATAATAATGACACTTAGTATTTGCAATCTTCCTCAGTTTCTTTCAGCTGGCAGCTGGGTTCCTTTACACAAAATTGAAGTAAAAACAGAGTAGGAAAAAACTACCAGCTTGCAGGATTAAGCTAGGCATCATTGAGCAAAATATAAGTTTATTCTTTTTCAATAAGTTTCCTTCTGTTTCGGCGGTTAACTATAGTTTTTGCCTTTCTAACTTCAATTTTACTTTAGATTTTCATCAAAAGATGATCTCACAGGATGAGATTGACTTGCCAATTAGATGATGCATCAAAGCACAGGCATAAATAAGCAATCAACATTTTGAATCTTTCATTAAAAGTTTTTTTGTCTCAACAGTAAAACAACCAAATTGATGAAAAATTAGTACAGCCAAATTAATATTTTCAATGGGGAAAGAATGCACTAAATGATTTTCCTCAGCAGTTGGAAACTTCTTTACAAATGCAATTCTACCTTGGGTCATCAGAAGCGTGGATATCCAAAAAAAAAATTACTCTATGCTTCCAGTCATAGATCTGACAAATAAATAGAAGTGCAGGCTCACTAACAATTAACAGCAAAGCAAACATTTTGAATCAAATTAATTCTTTACTTTCAGAGTGTTATGGGTTTATAGTGAAGATCATGTCCAGCTTGCTTTTCTCATTTTGTTTCATAGAATTCTTTCTATACCATATCCAAGTAAGGTATTCCGAAAGAAAAGCAACCTTAATTGAAAATAGAATTACAACCTATGATTTTTTTTAATCCTTTTTAGTAATTCAAAGTGTAATTTGCAAATTGAACTTAATTCAAAGGAAACAAGCTAAAAAGAAAGTAAGTACATAATTAATACAATTATCAAACTTTTATAACTTAAAAATTATCAATTTCTAGAGAGCATCACAATTTTATCTGTGCTGTCAAATTTCAGCTGCTCTTATATGAATGTTAACATAAATTTTTTAAGAGGTATTTGCAGAAATCATTGAAAATGTCAGAGATCTCAATTCTAATCACACAGAAAAGTTCTGCTATCACTTACAGGGGATAAAAGGTAAGCTGTAAAACGTGAAAAAAAAAACAGAGGAGGAAAAACAATCAAATATTTTGAAAAAACCGGTGTAAGAGTCAGAACATATTGAAGCCTAAATCTGAAGTAATTACTGCGTCTTCTTCATAAGAGAGAGTATTACGAAAAATGAAAAAATACCACTCAATTATTCAACAACTTTTTCACCAAAAATGTCAGCTTGTGTTTAAATTGTTTCACTGTGAATCAAATCTTATAATTGAGAGACACTTGAAGGGTATTCCCCGACGACAAAAGAACACAAAAGCACTGTAGTGTACATGAACAAAAAGAATATCATCAAAATAACGCTGGGATAATTTAATGCTAGTACATCAACACTAGTGAATCAAAATGTGTTCGGCCTTCGCATGAATGGATTCATGAATGGTTTTTCAACGTGATAGTGGTTTATTAAAAATTCACAGCTACCGAAAGAAGTAACACGAGGGGAAAATCGAAAAGTTCAAACATTCCGATGTGATATTCAGCTTCTCGAAATTAATTTAACTTTTCACCTTAATCTTAACGTTAAAAAAGACATACCTCCTCAAGCCTTTGAAGTAATCCTGTTTCCCTTATCTTGCTGGCTACCATTTCCTCTGTTGTAACATTATATCGCAGTTTCTGTAGAGGAGTATGGGAGACTGCACTATCACCATCAGTTCTCGTAAACGCATTTTCTTCAATACTAGTTCCCTTTACTCTCAAAACCTCAATCAGCTTCACCTTTTCTTCTGTATTTTTTATTTCCTTAGAATGCGAACCGTCGTTTAGAAAATCAGGGTCATGTTGAACCCAAGTTTCAATCCAGTAAGTCGACAAAAGCGACACTAATGTAATCAAACCCAACAAGAAGACAACACGTTTTCGCCTGCAAAGCTGAATTAATCGCATAATTTTTTGGCCGCAATGTGGAGACTATTAGAGCTGCAGCACTGTGGTTGCCATCTCGAGAACAAATCGTCTCCTTCCTCACATCCATTAGAGAAAATTAGAGGAAACTCCAACGGTGATTCGTAGTATCATTTTCCAACTCAAGGTTGGCATAGCGCGGATGGCTGAAACCAGAGAAACTATTTCTTTGTGAGTCTTGGTCCTTCTTATACCGATACAAATTCACCTACAGCAGCTCTAGACCTCAACACTTCTAAGCTTCTGAGGTTTACGTAGCTTTACATAAAAAGATATTTAAAACTCCCTGTCGGTCAATCATAAAGTGTAATGATAACAAAAATGTCACGCGCGTTATCCCTAGTATCCAGGCCTTCACTCCGTGACACATTAACCGCTTGGGGCCCTTACAAAATCCTAATCACTTTGACAGATATATTTGCTCTCGCCGTGTAAGCGTTAAGGAAATATGTACATATTTTTAGAGTTCTTAGTGAGTAATATCACCGAGATTTACCAGTTTGCCGTATTTTGACGAGCCCGCAGGAAGAATAAAAATACGAACATCGAGTAGTTAATATCCTAATTAATATTTATCACAGGGTGCGAACTGCACGTAGCTTGAGTTTCACTTTTCAAGCATTTTCGAGTATATTTCTTATATTTCCTTTATATTTCCTTTATCATACATGTATATATATATATATATATATATTTGTATATATTTCCTTTATTCATTTTCGAGTATATTTCCTTTATTATTATGCAGGTGTTTTTAATTATAGCCGATGTACGACATGTGACGCGCGTCCAGATCGACCAAATTAAAAAGTAGCGTTAAGTTGGCATTAAATTATTTTTAAGACTAGCGTTATATCGGAGAGAAAATGCGGTCAAGGCCTGAATTCACCTTTAAACACCTCAGAGATTTTTTTTTTTCGGCCAATATTGCGCAATCTAGTGAGGTGCTCTTTCGAGATCCAATTGTTCAATATTCATATTAGTTTAGGGCACTCCCAGAAATGGCTTTTCTATACTTCAGAGCATTTTCTTCATCAGAGTACCGCCAGTTGATGTATTGGTTTGGGAATGGTAGCCTGCTTAGTCAGCGGAAGCGAGTGAAGAACTGGGTAAGCTATTAACTGCAATTGAAGTTGTCTGAGAAACGGCTGCCTGACCGGACCTGTACAGCGCGCTTAAGACAGGAAATTTGCCGTGCCGTAAAAACGGGAAGTAAGCGTATAAAGCTTCGGGTAAGGCCTTTTCAAAAAAGAAAATTAATAAGGTCTGAAATCTCACCATCATCTTTGAAATAATAAATACTCCACCGCAAATGGAGACTCCTTTATGTCATAAATCTGTGAAAGAAGAAAAGAAAAGAAAACAATGCCAAACCAAAATGCACTTAAAATTTTCCACAAAAATAAATAGCTCTTGATTGGCCTCAGTCAGTGACGTCACCACACTAAGATCAGAATGACATCGCGCGACAAATTGGTGTCGATTTCATGCATCGGCGACGATAGAAAAACAAAAACGTTCCATGTAGTCACGGCTCGAGAACAAACGGCTGGATCATGGAAATTTACGAAGCAAAGTATGACTTCTGTGATGATTGTGGCGAAAGCTTGCTTAGTTTTAACAAAGGCGAGAAATTTTTAGTCACGAACAAATCTGATGGAGGATGGTGGGCCGCTCAAAATTTGTCCAGTAACGAAATAGGATACATTCCTTCAGCGTACGTTGAAGTAAGAGCGGTCATTTTTTTGTTGTCCTTTTTATCTATATCTATGAATCTTCTTGAAATGTTGGCGTTCTCTACCAGAAATTCTGGTTTGTTTGAAGAGTAAATTAAAGATAAGCCTTCCGTTGTTTTTCGCGGTTGTTGTAACACAAACATTGGGAAGCCTCCAGCTCAGAGGCAAAGATTGCATTGCCTAGCAGTTATTTTCTCTTCGCTGGAATTCGTCTACATCCCAGGTAGCTATCCAGATATATTTCTCTTCATTAGTGGCATGATGTAGTCCAGGATCAGAGTGTTTACACTCAAAACAGTTCAGAACCGCAAACTATTCATTGTTAACATAAATACATCGGTGGTTGTGCTGTACACGAGCGGAAACTGTGCGAATCGAGAGTTCCCCCTGTAACTACTTAGGGGTAATCACGACATCGTTAAATTGCTTCCGCCCGAATGAATGCTCTAAACATCACACTGCTTTTAGCTTCGCTCAAGGTATTCGTGTCTTCAAAATTATGAACGAAAAATTTTTGATCGTTCTGCAACGTAACTTTCGCCGTAAGATATATTGGCTGCGTGATAAGCCTTACTACTTTAAACTACTAGGCTCGATGGTCTGCATCTACGTGGAAAAATCGAAATCTTTCTATTATATACTCGACGCAGACTCGTAATATCTTACCAGTATGATAAAAAATACAACGCCAGTAGATTGGTGTAATCGATCGTTTGAAAGGAGGTAACATTTGATATAACGTGATGGAAGCCTCAAGTGCGAGTGGGGCTTCGACGTGCGATGAATTCAGTGTTACTAGTTTTCCTCTACTTATCTCAGCTACAGCTGTGACTTAAAGTACATCTACAAATACTTCTCCAGGAGAAGGTACCTTTTTACGTTTGCATTAAATTCGAATGTTAATCGATCATTGTGTCATAACTGTTGAAGCGATCGGCTATTTACTCTGATGATTGTGCGCGTGTTTGTTTAAGGAAAATTAGTCGGCAACAATTACTTCTTAATCTGACTGAAATTTACCCCTTGGCTAGCCTCTTATGAAAGCGCTGTTATTTTTTAGTTAAAAAAATCAAATTCCTTTTTTACATTTTGTTACAGTTAGCTGGTAATTGTCCTGTGGAAATACGAGATCCTTAACGACTTGACAGTCAAATTTCTTCGACGTTTAGCGCTAATTTCCGCAGAATGAGGTAGATATTGTACTGTTCTCCTGGCTGTAATGAACGTTTGCGATCGTTGAATATTAATTATTTTCCTACATAATTCACTACTTGATATTGCATACAGGTGTACCCAATTTTCAAATATGAATGAGTACAGATTCTTTAGAATCTGAAGTGACTGCTTAGCTACGATAATTTTGCGATTTTGGCTAAAAGCTTAATTTTTATAAACATTCACAACTGCCAACAGTAAATTGATCTACACGATTAAATTGGGAAGAGTATTTACATGCATTTAACCTTGGAAATTATCCCGAAACTTGGTATTTATCTTCTTTTCCGTGATGTGAAAGGCCACACCTCCTTTGATCGTATGGATGAGGAAACAGTTCGACAAAGAGAAAAATCAATCTTTTCTTCTCTAACCGGGTATTGCGACTGCGCCACGCTTTGATTCCCAGTTGGGTTTTTCCACGAAGTTTAGATTTTATTTTGTTTTTTTGTTTTTGTTTTTGTTTTTGTTTTTGTTTTTGTTTTTTTTTCTGATTCGTGTACTGCCATTTTACTGTTCATTTGTCTCTTTCATTAGCACAACAATAATAGCTATGAGCGCTTCACCAAATTAGGAATCACGCCCAGTACTTCTCGCGCGACTTCATCTCAAGTATTCACTTTTGACACTGTTACGTCTGTTGTTGCTCAATCGCGGGAGGAAAACTTGCAACGTAAAAGTTTGACCAGTCTCTAGTTCGCACCTTCAAGCAAGAATTTTACTTCTTTTTCAAGGTTAGTAGTGCAAAACTTGTCGCACTGACTTATTTTTGTGAGAACTCGATGTCATCTTTAAAATTAGCAAGAAGGGCGAAGACCCATTTGTTTACAGGTGTTTGGAAAGTACTCTTCGTAAGATTCTTCTGCTCCTGTGGCTTTTCGACAGCATCAAGGAAGCGCTCTATCTATTTTTATTCACCGTAATTTTAAATATTATGGTTCTGAATCAATCTAATATTTTCCAATCTTGTATATTGCTCATTTTATCATATATTTTCTTCGTTTAACATTGTAGGAAGAAATTTATTCGAACTGTCATGTCATGAACTTTGAGTGTCGCTGGACGTCGTTCGATTCGAAGCCATATTTTCTCTCGGAAATTTCTATTTGTAAAGTAAATTGATTTTATTTCTTGACGTTATGCTGTAAGTTTTACAGGGTAGTGACTTCTATTGCAAGATTAAACGAGTTTCAATCAAAATTTGGCAAACGTAAATGTTCGCTATCGGTGAAATCGTCAGGAATTACAAATCGCCTAAATTTCGCTTTCTAGTGGGATGGTAGTCACTAGAATGGTTTAAAAATCTCGAACCGTATTTCTATTCCTTTGCTTTTTAAACTTTCGACCGATAGTTTCGATAATAGCGCTTTTGTTTTCTAGAGGTTTACCTGTTGTTCTTAATTCGCGGTCGCGCATTTGAAATTCAAATTTCCGATAATTAGATGTACAGCTAACAAAAACAAGATTAGGTTTTAAAAAAAAAATAGAGCCTTCGATGTTTTTGACCGCCGTTTTACCCCGGTAATTCAACGTGGTAGTACCTTCGGGTTTTTTTCCGGAAAATCTCTCAAAATTGTCGCGAGATACGCCGAAAGTGCTTTAGTTTCGAGGTCTTTTACGAAGCAGACCCTCTGTGCACGCGAGTTACAGACAGCGATCACAACAGGGTTTCTGCAATACTTTATCAGTTGTTCGCTTTTTTCAGCTGCACGGAGTAGAAACCAATCTGTCAGCCACAAGGGTGCGCAGTTTTCTTTGAACATCCGAGAACTGTTGTTTTTCTTGCTGCCGTTTTTTTTGCTATAATTTCCCTAAGTATTCGAGCTATGTAAGAGATAGACAATGTGTTTCACCCCGTAAATTCGTTTTGAGTAATGAACCTTATCGGCTTATATTTTTATTTACAGAGGCACAGGGTAAAAAAATTATTGTAAATGCACATAAGTGACTCAAAGTCGCAGTTTTGCATAATTTACTAAAAATATAGCATTAAGTTTACCATTGTGGTTATTTTCTTAAATGATGTTCATGGCAGGTGCCAGTGAAGTGTTTGTGCCTCTCTGCTACTTTTTTCACAACATTGTCAACCACCAAATGAACATTTTCAAACAGATAGTCGACTAAATAGCTCTTTTACGGTTTGTTTCCAAAACGTGTCTAGTAATATTCTTAGAATTGCTCAAAGCCTTAATGTTAATCACCTGTACTCTCAGTTATTTACACAATTTTTCATCATCCCTTTAAAAAAATTTACTTTATCTGAGTCTTATTCAATTTATATTCTGTGGTTTTGAGTTTCTTTATATAATTTTCAATTAGACCATACCTAAATCTCTTGAAACTGACGTTTATGTCTTCAGACCATACTTTACTGTCAACCACAAAGTAGTTGACTTCCCTTCAATGTAAGCACCTATATCATCCCTGTTTTAACCCCAGTCATTAAGGTAGTCTGAACAAGAAGTTTAACATGTTGGATTCGTAATCTGATGGTTGTAAGTTAAATTCATTTGCCCTGCTGCCCAGTCGAATTTGTTTTTCATGTCTTAGAAAGACTTTGTAAACAGTCGACTGGTTTTATCTCCCACCAGTTGGAATTCTGAACAACTTGCCTGATGTTTACTATTTGTTTTGTTATTTCAATTTGTCCTGTTTGTGCCAAATACCAATTGACACTTCTTTAAAGTGTTTGTATTGCTTATTCTAGTATACTGAACAACAGAATTAGACCTAATGACCACCTCTTACATGTCGCTTGGTTCTCTTTGCCGCACCTTTCCTTAAATGTCAGAGTTTACTCTGCCATTTGTTTTCTGAAGAGATCTGATGTGATAGGGTTAATTTAAAAGAAATACTTTCAGTGGCCATTTGGCTCTGAGATTTAATGTTTGTGGTGTCACTTCCATTGGTTAAATATTTATAACAAGTATTTTTTTATTGTCTTTTAAATTTACTTTTGGAAAGTTGTCTTTTATATGCTAATTCTTGAAAGGGCATTCACCAAGAAGAGTTTAAAGTTTCTTAAACCTTTTAAGTATCATATTTTATGTAGATCATTATTTGGTTGATGTTGGTACTTGTCTAACTTTGCTTTGCAGTGTACTGCAGTTATCGATCCACTCACATTAGACCATATGGATGTGTCTTCAAAACAAGAGAAAATCAAAATGGATGCCTTATGTGAGCTCACAGCAAAGATTCAGCAAAATCCTCATCCAGGTAAAGTGTTTTTACTTGTACAAAACAAGCACAGTGTACATGTGTCTGTTGGTTTTGCAAGAACTGCCAGTTTGAATTCAAATTAAAAAAACACCTATTACAGTAGAAACTCTGCTCAAAGAGGCTGGATACAGTTTTTCTAGGCTCTGACCAGTTATATTCATAGCACGCAAAAACCAACTCTCCCTCTGTGTAGTCAAAAGATTTACTGGCATGTGTTGGCCAAAGGTTGGGTGTTTAATACAGTGGACTTGGCATGGCAATTGTTATTAAGGTATCACAGAAGGAAAATCAAAGTTTTCATTCAAACTGAGATAGCATGACAATTATGTTTGCTAACCCTGTAAATAAATACATTTTCTTAAAGCTTTATGAACACTGCTTTTGAATATTTGTTTTCTAATTTTTTACCATTGAACAGATTAGGAGCTTATTTGTTCTTCCCGAGATGTTTTACAAGATAACTTAATTTGACAACATGTTTTGATCAACATGTTTCTTTTTTATCAGAATATGATCTCTACATATTGAACTAAAAAAGTCTGTCTGGGATTTTTATTTTAAAGCCTTGTTAATTTTTTTATCATTGTTTTAACTTCAAGAGCTTTTGAGCAAAGTTTTTATGGTGGACACTATATCTCAAGTAAGAAGGAGAAAATTGAAAATCCAGGAAATACTTTTAGGGTTCATTATATTCCCAACACAATCTCCACATTTCACGAAAACTGACTGAATATCAGCCAAGAACAAACTCTTCAAATATAAGAAGCAGAGCCAAAACACTTTACCACAAAAGCCACTTGAATTGTTTTGGGGCATCAGTGTTTTTTTACATAAATGCCTTTCCACTTCACACCTATGAAGTCATTTAACACTGTTTGCCTGTCAGCACTGATGCATCCTACAGTAGAGGACAAAGAGCAAATACAATTTGTAAGGAGTTAGGTTGAGAAGGTTTTTAAATAAGTGAATATGTAGTCATTTGTGTCAATGTGGAAGGTGCTTCAACCAGCAGAAAGAGGAGGAAAGAGGTTAGGCAGAGAAAGGAGAGCTACACAATGTCACAGCTTTTCATTGATCCATTATCAAAGTGCAATGCTATGCAAATGACAATGGGCTGTCTGTGATATTTTTTGCAAACTAACGCCATCAGCAACTTCAATAGAAGTAGGGTCTGGCCACTGAATCTCTTAAGTCTAGTAGGAACCCCTATGGCCATCAGTGAACAATATTTCCACTCTGATGCAATCTGCAAATAAATTTTCCTTTTTTGAGAATGGCATAAGGGACTTGTCACTTTTGGACATGATAAAAGCTTGAAAACAACACTTGAATTACTTAAACAATCTCTCTATCTTTCAAAAGGAACCAGTGTTGGGAGACTTGATAATGAATTAGCAATTTTTGAACTGTACAGCAGGTCTCAAAATTTAAAAAAAATTCCAAGTCGCCTTTTGGCAACCATCAAAGAAAAAATGGTCGCCAAATGCAAAAATGCAGTCGCCAGTTAGTACAAGAACAGAAGCTCAGATTAGAGCCTCATTTAATTGACATAGTTGTTCGGCTTCTGGAACTAAACACATTGAAAAACATCCTCTGGTAGCTGCTGCATGAGATTCAGGCTCCAAACAAACGTTTTTGAAAGGCTTTGAAATGCTTCTTGTTCGCATACTGAAAACGATCTTGCTTCCTGGTAATTTCAAGACTGCAGCAAATTACGAAAATCGCTCAGTGTATCCTTCTCTTGTGATAAACAATTCATGACTTTCGGTGTAGACTCATCTGACTTGATCGCGTACATGGTGAAAGAAAGCTATTACTTTGAAAGCCGGCTCCTTGTGACAGAATTTGCTACAGAACGCTTTTAAATTCAGTGGCCTTTCAACAAAATATTGCGCCCGCGGTTACCATGTGGAAGCCACTGTGATGTCGTCTCAGAAGTCGCAATCTTGAAGCAATTTCAAGTTTTAACCTAAAGGTAAACAGACTAAATTTGCATTTCCTTTTACAGAAAAGCAGAAACAAGACTGAGGAAATTGTTAATCTTTTATTTATCAGAGGAACATAGTAGCCAAAGTGGCGACTAAACTCGAAATTTTAAGTCGCCAAGTTATAAGATTTAGTCACATTGGTGACGGTATCAGTCGCAATTTCGAGCCCTGTACAGTGTGCATTGTAATCTTTAGTAGAAATTGTTAATTAGGTGATGAGATGAAGTTGACATGATGAAGTGTCATCAATCTCACGCCTTCCATTCTACTCTCAAATGACATTTTGCTTTATATCTCCTGAAGAAAAAAAGATGCCAAAATAAATTTTGCAGAAGTTGATAGATCTTTAGATGATGTTAATTATTCAATAATTTTTTTTTGTCTATGATACCTTAATATCCTAATGCTATGGGAATATCTTGTGGCAAAATTTTTAGGGACAGTCTCAAAATCTTAAATCAAGTTGCCTTGACAGACTGTGCTGTACCAAGTATTCATGTATATCAAAGTAGAAAACCAGTTGATTACTATTGGACACCTAACTCTTTGTTAAAATGCCAGTAATTCATGGCCAAAAAACAACTTTTTGATGTTTTAAAGGAAGGAATCATCCAAAGTACCCTAAAGAAGACTACTTGGGTGATGGAAAACAAACTCCCCCCACAACTCCTGAGTTAAAGAGGACTGTCATACCACACTCTGCCTCTAAGGAACAGGATGAATTACGTAAAGACCTTAAATTTAGCCAGCAAAGGTAGGTTATTTTGACATGGTTTGAGTACTTTAGTAATAATTGAGCACAAAGTCTTATGAAAAAATTTAAGTGTAAGACTAAAGAAATTATTTCACCTGCTAACATTATCTACCAGAAGGTGTTGAAAGTTCCAAACACAGTAACAGTTGTTCTGTCATACTGTTAATTGAAAATGACAAGTAGTATGCATGTGGTAATCATTAAACCTGTTTAATTCAACTTTTGATAATACATTATAATAGCTTGTATATGCATCTAAAAAGATGAAAGCTTACTTTTATATACCAAACATCAGTAATGGTCAATAGCTAGTACTGTTTGTGGAGCTTAGTTTCTTCTGACAAATAAGAATTGTTCAATCAATAGCTAGTGAGCATAAGCTCATAGTGACCTTGGTTAAAACACCAGGATTTTCTTTTACTGGGATGGCATGTCTTGCTGATCAAAAATTAAAGTTGCTGTTACAAAATTAACCATAAATAGTCAACAGATTTGACATTGAATATCCTTAAGGTGGCTTTCCTCATCCACTCTCTCCAGACAGAATTGCTGTTCACTACTTCATTTCCATTGTGTCTATTAAGGGTTAATTGAATTATGATTGTAATTCCTCCCTTTAGGGGTATTCAACTGGGAAGACCCGAACTTATGAAAACATGGGAAAAGTTTGAACACAAAAAGTCTGCCAAAGCTGAAAAGGGTAAAAGTAGTGTTGACAGTGAACTGGAATCCAGATTTCGCAGCATCTCTCAGAAACAAGAGGTGAGGAGAGGATGGTCAATTTATCCATTATATTCTTTTAGCACATTGTTGCAAAGTTTTTTACATAGGATTCATGCATTTTTGTTGGTTAACTCTCCATACTCTAACATCAGTATGTATATTCTTCATACTGTTCTCTATACATTTTCTATGGTGCTAATGAAGAGAATTTGGAGAATTTGTTTAATAATTAAGAGTTGCTTTTGTTGGTGATCATTCCCTCTATTCTTGTGACCTAATGTGTGATTCAGGGGTGATATTGAAGGGAGAAATCAGATGCTTGTCACTCTTAGGGGTTAAAGGGTTAAAATTATTATTTTCTTTTTCTCAAGGATTTTGAAAAGCAGAAAGAGACAGAAGCAACAAAACCAGAGTTCATGAGAGTTAGTCTCAAGAAATCCTCAAGGGAAGTTGAGGCCACCAGCTGACCAATCACCATGAAGCTTAAGCCAAACTTAAGGCATTGAATACTATGTTTTAAGAAAAAATGTAAGAAAGTTCTTGGATGTGTAAAGTTAGAAAAGCTTATAGCAAATGTGTTATTTTTATATACTAGTTCAAGTTACATTGCTGTGTTTTTTGGAAAATATTCTTAAGAGGCATAGGTAAGATACTGGTAATCCAGAACAAAGAAAAGCCCTTCCTAGGGTTTTTTTTAACTCTTTTCATCTTTGCTGTTCACAGATAGAATAATTTTTTTGAAAAACTCAAGTTCAGTATTATTACTAATAAAAGAATGTGCTGTTTCATGAAAATTATACCAAATCCCACAGCTGGTTATTTAGATTCTGATATTAAAAAGGTTCTCTACCATCTTTGAATAAGCCAGGCATTCTATGTAAACAATGTTTTTTTGTAAACAGATTCAACAGTTAAGGCTTTAACACTGAAATTTAAATCTTAAAACCCATTTGTAAAAAATTGTTGCCAAAACCGTACCAGTCTTTATACAGTACCAATCTACACATCTTTCCACACAAGTCGTAATTTAAATAACAAGCTCTTACAATTAAACAGAAACATCTTCAACTCAGTGTGTCCTGCTTGTTTTCAACAGATAACTTTGAATTTGAACATTCAAGTGAAAAACTTTAAAAGCTCACTTCAAGTTAAACCAAGGGGGCTACTGGTTCTGTAGCTATGGTGATTACACTCCCAAAGTAATGATAATGTACATGTTACTATCAGGCTTAATGAAAAAGGCTATAGTTAAGAATTATTATATACAAGGAAAACATTGACTTGAGATAAAAAGGGGTTCAGGGCAATGTTAAGGAAAATCTTCCTCCTCTCAAGACAGTGAACATTTTAAGAACTGATGTTTCCCTGTTGTTCAAAAACTAAAGAGGCCAATAAGGGCCATACATTGTTGTGGGGGATATTTGGTCTTATTTAAACATTTAAGCGTTTCTGCTTTAACACATTGTTTTAGGGGATATTTGGTCTTCTTTAAGCATTTCTGCTTCCCAACCACACAGAATTTAAGGCTACATACAAGCTCCAAGCCTTAATGACGGGGGTTGGGGGGGAAAGGATATTTTATTAAAACTACAGAAACTTTAGTGTCAACATCTCAGATTTTATGCAAGTAAACTTATGCGTTCATGACAAGCATGATAAGTTATACTTGTTTTGTTTTAAGAGAAAACCCTGTCAGAGTGTGAAGCTTGTTTTAAGAGCAGATTCACATGTTTCTGTGATGCACTTTGTGAACCATGTCATCTTGAATTGCTGGTCTAGGTTATGACGATAGTTATCACAGCAGACTGCAGCCAAAGCGAAGTCATTCTTCACCAGTCCTAACACTGCTACACTGTCCCTTGATGTTGGGTGGCCTTTGAGGGGATAGAGTAATGCTAAACATATTCCTCTTTGTCATTCAACTTGCTTACTCTTGTAATGTATGGATTATGAAGGCATTGTTTGGTTATCACTTTTCCTTTTCATTATTTTGGTTATTGATTCAGGTTCGTAGCAAAGCTTGGTGACTAATTGATTAGTAAGTCACCATCGCTCAATAATTATACAAAATTTGTATGTTGTTATAGTTCTTTTTCTTGTTATGTTTACTTTCATTTGCATACTTCTTATGTAGTCTCCTGAATTTTAGCATCAGTTGAGATTATTTTTTGCCACAATTTTTGTATTAAGAGTTTTGATTGACTTTTGATTTTTTTTTTTTTTGGTGCAAATTTTTTTCATTTTCAAGCAAAATAAGTTATTAGTTTTTAGTTAGTGTACACTAAGTGTTAGATGACTTCCTTAGTTATGTATCCTTTGCATTTTATCAGTTTTATTTCATTGACACTAATATTAACATTAAGAATAATCTGCAATATAATCTATGACTCGTTTTTATCAAAGTATGGGTTGATATACCAGGAAGTGACGTCATGTAGCCATGACAAGACTACTTCAGAATAGGTATCATCACTGTAAGACTACATGACAAGCGGATACTCACTATTCACAACTAAGTGTTTTTTTTCTCCTCTAATAGTTTGCTGCTGACAGTTGAGATTTTTTCTTCATGTTTTGTTGATTAGTTAATCTCCGTGTTTACTCTTACACTAAAGTCAGCCAGAGTAAATCACATTTTGACGCGTCACGAACAAATGTTTCCATTTTACGGAAAGGCAGTTTAGACAAGTATGTACTTAAAACAACGCAGTTCCTAAGACAATTTTATCAAAGTGAAGGGATAGGACATATGTAAACTTTGCTATTTTCGTTTGTGTGATGTACAGAAGGAATAATTCATAGACATTTTATTGCCAATAAACAGAAGATTTATGTTGTTTTGCGAACTAAATACGAAATTAACAGTCAATATTGGTGACTTTATGGGGTGTCTTCACAAGTTGCAGAGTTTTCATAACAGCATGTGTCCCCTAGTGATGTCTGCGGACACCAATCGGTACAGTAGAACCTCGATTATCCGATTTCATGGAGAGTGAGCTAGCCGTTCCGGATACATATATCTTATTTGATGTTTTGATGTGTAGCATCGTTGAGTATTTTTACGAGTTGTGCCGTATTTTGAGAGGCCTGCAGGGCTATCCAAAATAAAAACAACGAGTAAAAATATTAGCGACAATAAACGCCAAAACTCCTAACAAGCATCGTAAAGATGTCTTATTGCAACGATTTAAAATTAGCTCCGTAGATTTTTCAAATACTGCATTTCAGTCTTGAAAGAGAGAACGTAAATATAGAGAGAATGGCTTCTAAATTGAAAACCAGCGATAAGAGAGTGGTACTTTTAAATTATGTCCGCACAGCACCCATATTTCAAAAGAATTTGGAAGAACTGTCAGGAAAGTTGCCTGATCAAAGGAGAAACAAAATATTCTACCTCTTGGAAGACTGTAACATCATGGATAAATCACACTAGAGATAGCAACTGTTCGAATCAATCGCTTTCGTTATGATATATTCACACCAACAAATATATCACTCGAAGACTTCAACATCATGAGATAAATCAACTCACTAGAGCTATCAACTGTGCGAATCAACTGCTTTCGTTATAACATATCCACACCAACAAGAATATCACTCAGAGGCACAATGTAGAAGCAAAACTTAACCATCTGATATGTATACTAAAGAAAAAAGCATTAAAAGAAACAATATTTGATCAGGTTTAGAACAAAGTTCAAGTCAAAACACATGGTGTTTTCTGTAGCGTCAACTTGGAGACAGATCAGTTCCTGCAAAGATAACGCATAAATTTACTGAATAACTTCACAAATAAATCTTTTTTTTTAACGAAAATTCCAAAATCGAAGATTACGCATTTCCAGTATTTCTTCAAAGGGACTTAACCTAAATGTTCTCAGTTGACCTTCTAAGCAAAGAGGAAGTTGAGCGAGAATTAATGAAATTAAATTAAAGTTAGTGTGCTGGGTATGAAGCCCAAATTCAATAAATAGCTTCCCTTATCAAAAAAACCACTTCCCTTTGATTTTTAATAAATCATTTTAAACAGGTATTATTCCTGGTAGACTAAATAGTTCACTTATCACTGTATTAAAAAATGATGATAAATCATTCTCAAACTATAACCAATTGCTGCACTGCTATTCTGAAAATAACAGAAAAATTAATGCATAAAAACGATTGATAAGGTACATTGTGAAACACAGTATTCCATATTGAAAACAGAGAAGATTTGGACCTCGACACCAAAATTACGGGATGTAATTGAGGAAAATAGGCTAACAGCAGGGATCTTTTAAGACTTATCTAGCACATTTAAGGAAGTTCAGATTCGAAACTAATTGCGAAATTAAAACATTATGGAATAAGAGGTATTGCTCGAGATTGGCCCTAAAATTACCTCAAAAATTAAAGGGGGTAAGTTTCTAAAGAAACTGTGGTGCTGCATCTATAGGGGTGTCACAAAATAATTTGGTTTTAATTAGCTGAGTTGATAATGTAAATTGGCCACCGTAAAGAGTTATAAAGCGGACGTTTGAGCGTTGACCCTTCCTTGTTCGCTCTGACGAAGAGCAACCTTAGAAATAATTGTCAAATTGTACGATTCAAAACCACCAGTCGAAGAAAGCCTTTCTTTGAAAGTTAACATATAGAGATCCACAAGGTTTGGTTCTTGGCCAACTTTCATTGCGCTCATTTAAATGAACAAGTTCAACAACAACTTCATTTTTATCTTTCTTTAGAAGTAAATTCCTAACTGTTAACTGAGGATCTCCAAACCTTAACTGAGGCCTCCGATGATTGATTGGTAAAGGCTGAGCCATCGAAACAATGAAGTGAGGGATATTTAAAAATCATGAAAATACAGTCTTTCCTCTTAAAAACAAAACAGAAAAAGAAAGAAGGAGGATCTAAAGTAACCATCAGTAATGGAGAGTTAAAACAATTACATGTAAATTATAAGAATATACTACTGGAATAAAAGGGCTGTTAAATTTGGACCAACCTCCAAACAGAGATGAAAAGTGCTAGTTTAATTCACATTTTTTTGCAAAAGAAAAATTAAGAATTATGGTCTCCAGTCATTTTAAAAGAAATGAAATGCATTATTGTGAAAATTGGATATTGATAGAGGGGACGATTAGCTTTGGCCTTACGTGTGAGACATGTAATATTCATTACAATAATGGAACAGAAACGTGCATCAGAGCTTGTCACCGTTAGACTCGCAAAGGTTTTTCAAGAGCTCCTGCGTAATAAGAAGCCTTTATTATTCGAAAATAATCTTTTTAAGAACAAAAATGTTTTTTGGAGGCGAAGTATTACTGTCTTATTGATGTGTGAACATCCTCGCGTATTTAAGGTTCCTTTTGGGCAAAAATCAGTGAATCTATCCACATCGAATGCAAGGCGTCAAATTAATAGGGCTGAACAGCGTCACGAAGTTACCAAAGTATTGAATACATCGATCACACGCAATCAAGAACTAAATGATTCTGCATCTCATCAGGTTAAGTTTTGGCTGCGAGAAATGAGTAGTAATGTGATTTAACGCGAGTGTTTTTGACGATTCTTGAATAGGAATAAACGCTTGTAATGAATCACCATTGTAAATTGAGCGCTATATGAAATGCTTCACAGAAAACCACTGGCCTCTTGCCTGAGGCCATTTTAAAGTAAGATTTCCAACGGATTCAAAACTTAGTCTTTCAGTAATACAACGTTTGAAGTATTGCGATAAAGTCTTGATTCTCCCTGAAAAAGGCCACCATTTATGTCACAATGAACGGGAAGAGGTGGTCGCGTGGTTGTCAAGCAAAATGAAAGATTTCAATATCAATTTCTTAGCACAGAGTCGCGACCCAATAGCAAAGTCAATTTATGTAAGGAATAATCTTTTGCCCGCTGGCTAATATGAATGATTCCTAACTGATCACAATTGAAACGTTTCACGGCGTGAACCCAACCGGTGAAAATTACTTGAGATCATATTCGTTTAAGTGGCACCTTTTGGTCGTGTTTCATACTGGGAATCGTACAGAATAAATAAATTTTCAACGACTCAAATAACAAAGAGGTGTCTCGTGATATCAATTACTGCCTACTAAATAAACATTTTCAACACCTTCTTTTATATTTACTGCCGGAAGGCTTTTATTAAAGCACAAGCGAGGGACGATGCAGTGAGGACGAGGAAAAACCAGAAGTGCGGTGAGTTTCACAGTTTGATGACTTTCGCTCGAGTGCTACATGACGCTAAATTCAGTTTTCTTCGAGGTAAATTCGTCCACTTTGGTAGTTTTGAATTTCAATTAAGATTTGGCAGTCGCCTTTTTAACATATTAAGCACAGGCTCTTAGAATAATAACAAAAATTCAAAATGCATCCATAGAGGAAAAGTGTTAAGATGTTTTTTGAGCGGTTTATAAGAGATTACTTATTTTGAGGGTCAGGTGTTTAAATTTATGAAACGGCTCATTTTTAAGTACAGCTACATCATCTTCTTTCCATCGAATATCGACAGATCGGTATGTCCTGCTGAGAATCGTATTGGCTTTACGTTCAATTCATCTCACGCACTGTACCGTTCAACCATTAACTGTCTCTCAATCACTTTTTCGTAATATTAACATTCGCAATATTTTATGTTCCAATCTTCTTTGAGATTTCCAGAGCTCGTAGAAATGGAAATATCTCCGCTACGAAATCCGCCGAGAGCTTTACATGAAAAAAATCTTACGAGCATGTAATGTTTAGCTTAACTTCTTTTTTCGCAATACCGTTGTGAATGACCTCTAAATATCTTTGCATTCAATGTTTTTGGACTTCTTTTGTTCGTTTGCATTATTATCTTGGCTTACTTCAGGGCTGAGTTAAAAAATTCCTCCAGGCGAAATGTGATATCAAGTAGAAACTTTAAGTTTGAAAGCTAGCTTGAGAAACAACATTTTACCCGAAGTACCTTAAACTCCATTTGCCAATCCATCTATGTACCTCTCCATATACACCTCGGTAGACAAGAACTTCTGTGCAACAAATTGAAATTGTTTAAAAATAAAATAAAACTACAGAAAAATAGAAAATAAGAAAAGATTTTTAATTTGTACGTATTCCATAACTTTAACCCGCCATTTATTGAATTATTAGATGAACAAATGGTAATGTAAATACTTT